TGGAGCAGCTCTATAAAGTATCAGCAGAAGAGGGTATAAGGATAAATCGCGAAAAGACAAAGATCTTGAGTCCGGATACTATTCAGTTTCCGATCGAAAATCATGTTTTAGAACATTAAGCTCACCTTGGTCAGGGTATGAAGCAGGCCAAAGAAAACTAGACCACCGAAATAACAAAAAGGAACGGTTGACATGGGCAGCGTTTGGAAAAGTTAATTTCGTCTTCAAAAACCCAGCTATGCCTATTAACCGAAATCACTGTGCAAACGAAAAAAAGTGCCAATAGGCAAAGAGTTATGGAGACGGCAATCAGCGGACTAAGATCACAGACTTGGTGGCGAAGATTGCTGGACTGTGGCGATGGGTAAGACAAGACAGCATCAAATGGCCGTAAAAGATCGTCCAGTGGACAGGAAATCGGAGTGTGGAAAGACCGCAACGGAGAAATTCGCTACAAATGACGTCAAACAGCGAGAATGAAAAATCATGGACATTCAGGAGTGCATAGAGACGGGCTAAGAAAGAAGAAAGAGAATTCGTAAAAATTCAAAAAATACTCGTTTCAGCTAAGAACAGGAAGGCACGCGTGAAGTGTGCGAAGACGCCCCTCAACTAAACTCGGCAGAGAGGAGAAGGTCCTGTGGACCGACGAAATTCGATCTCAAGTACCTGCTTCCCACGATGAAGCACGGCGAGGGTTCCGTTATGATGTGGGGGTGCTTCAGCGAGGCTAGCACCGACCAACTGATTCGCATTACGGGCACCATGGATCGCCAGAAGTACTGGTACATTCTGCAAGATGACATGCTTCCTTGAGCACGCAAAAACATGGGTTGGGTTGATCGTCGAACAGCTGTGGCACAAAGTTGACGGACATTCGGGCCACTTTCGCCGACGAGAGGCTCCAACAGCTGCAGGCGGAGTAGGCGAAGATCGACCAGACCACTATCGATTCGGATTCTTCTACACAAGTCTATGTCATGTGAAATACATTGCAAAAACTATGGTGAAAAATTGTCTGGTTTCAAAAAAGTTATGTGGGAAAAACCAAATTATCATATACTTTTGAGCGGTACTGTAAATACAAACAGAATTTATAATAAAATTAAATTAATGACAAATCCTCAAGCTCAAAACATAACGTCAGAAAACTCTTTGTGAGACCACAAATAAATCAAAATAATACAATGACTATTGTAGCGGTGCAATAGACGTAGCGTGAATTTGTATTGTAGAGGTAGTTTAAACAAAGGATGACTCGAAAGGTTTAAGTCTGAACATTAAAATGAACATCCCGCAAGACCTTCATGGAATTAAGCAAACCGTAGACCAATATGTATAAGACCATCATATCAGATACATATTTGGGCCTATAAACAATACGAGAGATTACATTTGTGGGCCAAATATCTCAAAAACCTACTTTGTAAAGTCTAATTCATAAACTCAACCAAGTTTGTTTCTACTAACCGTCCACGTAGGAAACCATGCTGTTGATGAATGAACTATAAACATACATTTAATACAATGCTAGATTGCTCACAGATCTGTGAGTTTCTTTGATCAAAAGTTATAGCAACTGGAAGTATACCCATTCTCTGGAAATGATCTTTATTCATATGCTGCACTTTGTAATTATTGCCTCCATCTACTTACTACTCTTGTTGGTGCGAAAGATAAACCTTATTCAAAGTATCCGAACTCAATTCAACAGCAAGAATTAATTCGTCTAAAGTTTTGTAAATCGATTTTTGCTACAATGACTGAATTGCATTAAAAAAGCATATATCTAAGACGTTTGTATCGGGAATATTGGTGGCTGACATAACATTTTGATTTTGAACCCAATTTTATTTGAAGTTTCATTAAACTCAATATCACCAGGAAGAATGTGTGGTCTTGCTAAAATTGTTTGACGACGACCGGATCTTGGCCATTTTGCTTGAATTTCGGGCAACAATTTTTGAATAATTATATTCTTATAACTACTCTTCTCTAGTGACATTAGAAACCACTTTCGTTTCAATGGTCCCAGCTGTCCGATTTTTACTGCTCCGTTTAGCAGGTTCCAAAAACACAAAAAGGCAAAATGCCAAGTTTTCCATCGAAGTTCTTGTTTTCAGAATGATTCCAACGTGGTCAAGCTACAGCGGCTAAGAGCATTACTTTTGTGAGAAAACGCTTACTTTTGCTGGTTCCTCTTTGCCTTCAACTAGGTAGTACTTCTCAGCTGTTTTTGTGAGGTAAATCTATTTCTCGTCTACAAATTCGGTCATACATATCGATGAATTTGGGAGCTTTTGCATTTAACCTTTCTGGTTTAAGCATTGACAGACAATGTTTCAGTCTTTCAATTCTATTGGCGTCTGCGAGGAAAGGCTTGACTGCATTTAAGTGCCGTCGTAATACTCCTGATCAACGAACGAATAGTACCTACGTCGATTATGTAATGGTACTGACTTTATTAGCGCCGTCTCAATCTTTCTCGGTTTTCGAGCAACGCGTCCTTTTTTCCGTGACTTTACATCTGTTACTCATCAGATCTGTTACACCATCGGCTAACGATTTTCGGGCTTGATGCCAAATTCGGCTTACAGTTTTTACAGAAATGTTAAATTTGTTCGCTGTCATCTTAATTGAGCCTTGTTTCAGTTTGATATTCTTATTCAATTCCAGTAATAACGGCTTGCCTTGTGTTGGGACTTAAGTTTGGTCTTTCACGATCGTTTCTTGTCAAAATGTTTTCCCTCTCTACCATTATTTTTTTAAACCGGATCTTTATGTGAGGTCTTGAAATGAATGGCAATGAAAAACTTAATCTTTAGTAAGTGTTTTCAAAACGACAATTGACGTTTAAAAAATCGATATTGGACGCTTATTTCTGGGCGGAGGGAGTAATTGACAAGAAATTGACACATCATACATAGATTAATTAAATAAAGAAATAGTTACTTACGTTATAAGCCTGGTAAACGACTTATAACAGTAGAACAGAATTATTTATTGTGGAGGAGGCGACGAAGAAGACGAGTCTGGAATATCTAAACAAGTACTGTTTAAAAGTTTTAAAATGTATCATACATTTTATGTCATACTGTCAAGTCTGGTTAAACAGCAATTACAGTGTAAAACATTTAATTATGTCATGTAATTTTGTCACCTTTTTTTCTATGGCAACAGTGTTGCTGCTCATTATATTGATGATGTAAACATCACAGTAAATAACTTACCTGATAATTTTTATTTAATTCAGTCTTCCAGAGACACATAACATTAAAATAAACTTTACATTTTAAATACAGACTTTCAACTTTCACAAACATTAAAATAATAAAAATAAAGCTTATTAAAAAAAATTCATGTGGTGTAAACTAGGAAAAACTTATCAATACTAAATTATTTTTACCTTTCTATAGCATCAACCACATATCCATCAATAATTTGAACATTCATACACCAATTGATGATAAAGGGCCGATAATCGAAACCACTAAAAATTATATTTAAGGATAAAATATTGTTATTCAAGAAGCATAATAACGAAAAGACATAAATAAAAGCAGCCCATTTAGTCCCATTTTAGTACCACTCTGTACCAATGCCCAAAAAACAAATTGAGACAAAGTTATAACAACACAAAAAAAGCAAGGATACATTTTGTTTCCAGTCATTGTAACGCAAGGATTTCCCGCAATGGAAATGCTATTTAAATTTTTCAAGTTAACAAGCTGTGAGATTTCGTTTAAATCGGAGATGTTGTTCGAGGCGAGTGTCAGTGTTATTAATGAAGTTGGTAAAAAACGATCGCATTGCCTTAAATGGCCGATTTTGTTATTGTGAAGCAAAAGTTCCTGAAATTTTAAGGTTAAATGAAATAAAAACGAACCACACCCAGTAATTAAAAATAAATGGTGGTGTTAATTACCCTTAAGTTTTTTAAAAAAGACAGATCCACAATGTGTGTGATGCTATTTTCACTTAAGTCCAAGTGTTCAAGGTTTACATTTGTATTTAGGTGCTCAATAGTCTAAAATTATTGAACATATTAAATATAAATGGGACACAAAAAAAAAATCAATACACACTTTAATGTTATTTTTTGCTAGATTTAAAACTCTTAAATGAATCAAATCTTTTAAACCTTCGATAGTTAAAATGCCATTATTAGCCAAATTTAAGGTATGTAAAGATTGCAATCTGCAAACTTGATGCATCCGTAATAATTGATTTCTAACAGCAGAAAGCTAAAAAAACGGAGGTTATAATATCACAGAAAAAGATATCCTTATCACATATTTACATACTTTTTGGACCTTTGTATAAGAGTCTATGTTATCCAGTCTTTGTAATTCATTTTCATCTAGTATTAGAGTAGTAATGTGCGAGTCGTGGAGCTGGGGTTTGCTTAGCTTTTTAAGTTTTTTGCCCGACAGGTTCAACGTGTCTGAGTTATCTACAATGAGGTTAGTAGAAGCAATTCCGTTAGGAAAAGAAAGTTTTAAACGGGACATTACCCATTTGCTCGTTACGCCATATATTTTTAAACCGATTAAAAGTGAAGTTGTTTATTTTTGTTGAGTAATTGTCACTTTTGACGCTTTCACTACGTTTGACAGAACTCATATGACACCACAGGCATACCAACAACATCGCATAAGAAATAACTAGGCCATATTAAGTTTTTTGTTCAAAACGAATATTATTTAAATACATTTATTTAACAAGCTGATTTGTTTTTGATGTTGGCTTCATTATGTAAAGAATGCAGATGAAGATGGGTTAAAATTGATTTAATTATGAAAACTTAAATAAGTAGTGATTTTTCTTTAGGTTACCATTCCTGTCAAAATCGTGATAAATATGGAACGATTCGCAAGTGAAGATGACTTCATTTTTCATTAAACTATACACGCGAATATAAAAGTTGACGCAGCGGGATTCGATTTGCTGTGATTGTGGTTGTTCTGCGCGAAAAATGAACGTTAAGTTAGTGTCCTAATTAGTTCGGTTAATTACGACTTTGTCTCGCGTTGGCGATAAAATCCGAGGGCAAAGTTTCCTTGCTCGACTTGGACTGTGCTACTACAGCAGTCCCCGATTGATTTTTAACCGTTCTTAGACGACTAATTCAGGGTAAAGTGTAGCAAAAGAACCCGTCAAACTGGAGCGCCTACCAGAATACTTACGTGACACTGTGGATTGGTTTATGGGGTGAGTTTTAAAACCACCTTCAGGAGAAATTCCACCTTTGAAAATGCCTTATTTCCCTTCTCCGCTCAGTTTTCCGATAATTAAACGTAGGACGGTTGCGAATCTATTTGTTAAAAAAAATATTTTAACCTCCATAACGACATTAGTACTAATTTAATTAGGTATCACATATTCCTGATGTAATGTGGTTAAACAAAAGTATTGGAAAACTGAGATCGGATTCTCCAAGATCGTTACTTCCCCTGGATGCAGAACAGACAATCAGTTGCTTCTGCAGGTGTGTACAGATTGATTTTAGCACAACCCTTGGTATTTTTTTGTTTATAGAAAAGCCAGACGGAAGGAGAGGGAAGGAAACGATAATTCAAGCAGTGGTGACAATAAATTGTACTTAGAAGCTCCTGTACTTGAAAGAAAACTGCCTGAATTGGATATGAAGGTTTTAGTTGATTTACCAGCTGGTTTAGACTACAATGAATGGCTTGCATCGCATAGTAATACCAATAAGATTTTTTTTTTATTCTATTTTTGTGTTAATTCAAACTAATTTACAGCTATGGCCCTATTTGATCATGTGAATTTAGTCTATGGCAGTGTTAGTGAATTTTGTACTATGACAGGGTGTCCTGATATGACTGGACCCAGTCAAAGGTAATTATAATTTTTATTATTAAGAAAGAATCAAATTTCATCCTTAATGCCATCCTTATTCCACAAATTAAAACAATTTAGAAAGTTTTTTGGCAAAGCATGGTGAAATGCTTCTTAAAACCCCATTTCTCAGCCAATATTATTTCAAAAAAATCAATTTAGACTAAGTCTTTTGGGTCTGGTGGCAAAATGCGGATGTTGAAATGCCCGATTTGAAATATTTAAGGATACAGAACACAATTAATTGGTTGTGAGGTTCTCTTGTTATAATCAAAGTACTATACATGTAAAAATCGTATATAATTGGGTTCTAAAAAAAGTTTGGGACTAACTTTGCATAGGTTTAATTATGTGCAGAACTACCTGATCCATTTCTACATTGGTTGGTGTCAGGGTTCGCCTGATTTAAATCACTTGATTTAAAACACAATTTTAATCAATGATTTAAATTAAAAGAAAAATGAAAATAAATATATTCTTTATGTAAAAACTGGTAAACCAGGTAATTAAAAACTAAGCCAAACAAAAATAATATATAAATAAACACAAAAAGCAAACAATACTTAGGAATTATAAAGTTTATATGAAAATAGTAATTTTCTGGCTTTTTCTACATTGGAGTAGACGAGCCCAAATGTTGTGAAGACGCCTCTCTATTGAAGCTGAAGAACAAACAACACATAAAAATTGTTTTAAAGTTGAAAGAAATTTGTCAATATCAGGAAGGTTCTTTTGTGAAATCTACCACTGCAAAGCAGTAGCAATGGATATAACTTCCTTGCAGAAAACGAGTTGTTTTAGTTACATTTAAAATAAATACAATTAAATGTAAGGGGTATGTGCCTGTTTGTATTTCTGATAAATTTGTATTTAAGACTGTGATAATTCCAATTTTTCGTCAAATGAACTTTCCAATTTCTTCCACACTTCTACAGCATCATATAGAGAAGCACCTTTTTTGCAATTTGTGAAGTTCCCAGGCTATTGGCTTTAAGATATTTAAGTAATCTTCTACAGATTGTTTGGGATCAATATTAGTGTATATTGTAGGATCAATTTCCTTTTTATTTTCTTCACATACTTTTGACACTACATATTATTTACAACTTTTCCATCACTATATACAAGCCATATACTTAGATCTAGCCACGTGATTGTTTCTAAAATATTTCATCATTTGGGTCACAACATGCTCTTTGACTTTAGTTACTTCATGCTTAGTCTTTGCAAAGCAAATTTAGAAAGTGAGCTGAGCATCTATAAGTTATAACAGAACCACTAAAGCTTAAGCTTCTGATCTATGTCTTCTTATACTTGTCATATTCACAGCATATCAGTCACAAATGACGTTACATTACAATTATATTTCGCTTTACAAAATGAAATTATTCCATAAGCAATTTTTGTTAAATAGATCAAGAGTAGTATCAAGATTTTTTTAAATCAATGATTTTTGATTAAAATTGTAGATTGAGTGTGGTAGGCAGGATACAATTTTCAATTTAATTGTTTCAAAGTTTGCATTTCGTTTCTTGCCAATTCCGGTTTTCCAGATCTAAATTTGTGGTGGTTTCAGATTCGTTATGTTTTCTTCTAAGTCAGTATGTTTTAGTTTATTTGCAAATTCATCACATCTTCCATAGCTACAATTAAATATGGTGCACGAAAATATAAGTTTGAAATGTTTATATTTATATTGGGAGCCAAAGATATACCATTAGGATGTATAAGATTTGTTTTTAAGATAAGAAGCGGTAGATAGAAATAAACTTAATAAAAGCACTTCGTTTTTAATTAATTGGTACTCAATCGTAATTACTACAACGGTTATCTAACAGTGCTACTTGGACTGCTCTAGTATCAAGGAGAGATAGAAACTTAATTGCTTTAATACTTAATGCTTTACTTAATTTTTATCTGGAAACAATCAAAAAATTTGACTATTATTTCTGTTTCTAATGATTATAATGCTGAAGTTAAGGTGCTTGTCCATTGTTAAATTTCTACCTGAATTTCCAATTGGCGTTATTAATCATTTTGCACAACATGAGTAGGTGAATTAGAAATTTCACAATAAACTTCAAAGTTGCGGGTATAAAAATGATTTGTCATCGGATACTAAATAAAATTTTATATCATATTTTGGCAAGATTGTCTGATTACAATTGTTATTGAAAATTTGTCAATTGGCAAATCGAAATGAGGGTCAACTTGTGTAACCTTGATTTACATCCTAACCTAGTCAAGGTGTGCAACTTTATTTCAACTTTCATTCCTCTATATAATATTACGGTTCAGTTCGGTTTGTCACTTTGTATTCTGGGCTGATCATTTCAGTTTGAGTGTTCTAAATAACCTGTATCATTGTTAATTTTTGTGAGAATTACAAAGATGCCTAATCAAGCTGTGGTTGACTGGCAAGGATACGATATCCCTCATTTTGAGGTGAGATATTTGTTAGACACAAACTTTATCTTTGTGCTACATGAAAACATACGTGTTAGTGCACCCAGAGATGGATTGCCAATATCACAACGACATATTTTCTGGAGAGTAACCACCACAGATTACCGTACTATGGTGGCTTAGTGTCGCAACCAAAAGGATTAGAAAAAATTAAGGGTGTTGTAAAGGAGTACGATATTATACAGCCTGTTCTGAATCAAGCGAAATTAAGCAATTAAAAAAATTTAATAATCCTCATTTAGAAAAATGCGACATGTTAAAGTCTTATTAGGTGTTGAGAAAAAAATGTGGTGAAATGTATCCAGAACGTGATCAACCAGACAGACGGTATTTTCTTAAGTTATCCAGAAGATTTCGTAGTAATGAAAGAGTCTTTGTGGAAACCAGAACTCAAAAACAATTTATTATAAATGAAGAAACAGAAGTCAATGTTTTGGCATATTTCGAAACGCACAAAACCAATTCAGTCAGAGATTTTGGAAAAGTGGTTTAAAATTATGTACAATATGGAGAATTCTAGAAAAATATAAATTTGTGCCCAATAAATACCGACCAGTGCAAACATTGGTGACACTGAAAGGAGGCTAATCTTTTGTCAATAGATCGCAGGTATGTGTAGGCAAAATGTGAACTTTCTAAGATGCATTTTGTGGACTGCATTTGTGGCAAATTTTCACGTTTCAAATAGAGAAAAAATATGCACTATTGGTCTCGTGAAAATTTATTTATTGTTCATCCCAGAAATCCTCAAATACAATTTATATTTATTAATGTGTGGTGTGGTCTAATAGCGAGTCAAATAATTCGGCCAATTGTCTATGAAGGCACATTGAGGAAGGAGATACGTTGATATGTTTCGGAATTTCTGGAAACATATTTAGACAAAATGAAGCTGCTCCCTATCAGTTTCGTGAAGTGAGAGTGTTACTAGAAAGGCTTTTTCAAAATAGGTGGATACCGCACAATTTGGACCATTGTTCACCTGACATAACTCCATTGGATTTTTACTTTTGTAGTTATATCAAAAACGTTTAAAAGCTATAAAACGTGTAATAAAGAATGTCCAAAAATGTATTGAACAAAACGGTGATGTGTTTGCACATCTATTGTGAATTTCTTCTGTTTAAATAAAATGAAAAAAGTGAACTCGAATCTTATTTCACAGCCATTTACAGTGAACTAGGCTAATATGAAACTAAGCTGATAATTCCGTTATTTTCAATTTTATTTATTTACAATTTATGGGTACAGAAACAGGACAAACCCAAATGATCTGTACCACGAAAAAAAAAAATTACAATAAAAAAAAGAAGGAAAACAAGGAAAAATGAATAAAGAAAAAATCAAAATTATCAAAATTAAGGCGAGGAATTAAAAATAAAATTAAACATAAACTAAAAACACTGGAATTCAAATATTATTATATATATACAAAAAGATGATAAAATAAAATAAACAATGCCTAATAGTAATAGTAACGGCTAAATTAAACATTATACAAAAACAGCACCAACGAACTACCAAAATGTAGGAGGCAATTCGCTGACTGCATTAAAAAGTAAGCGCTTAAACGTAAAAATGAATGCTGAAACAAATGAAAGCGAAGAATATGGGGGGAGGTACATGAATATTAACCGAATTCAAAAGAACTGTGAAACCACACATAATGTGTAAAACCTTGTACAAGAATAATACATAAGCCGATATTGCAGAAAAAATGCTACTACTTTACTTATTTAACCGACTTTGTAACTCCACTAATAACAAAGTTATCAATGGTGCGCACTTAATTTAGAACAGACTGTATACACCAAAGGACATTAAAAGAAAACTTTCTTACAGCAACTCCTTGAGAGATGTGAGAAGACACTCATAGTTGATGCCAAGGAGAAAATCATAAATTATCTGTTCTTCTTATTTTCGTTCCTTATTGATTTATCATCAAATTGGTGAATTCGCCATAAAAATAAGAAATGTTTATAATCCATTATTGCTGTAAGTGTCTGAATGCCCTAACATATCCATTATGTCTACATGGTCGTTTTTTCATAAAAATCAAGAAAAATATTCCAAACGGACACTAAAACAGAAATGAAGCCTTCACCAATACTAAGTTTGAAGATCCTATTCAAACAATTAATGCAGTTTCTTCATGCCTTTTTCCATAGAAAAAGATACTCAGATATATAGTAAATCGAAATTTAATATATATAAGTTATTTATATATATTATATAAGTTACTTGATTGAAAACATTATTGTCGCAAAGATTGAAGCTTCAGGTTTTGTTGGGCTTTATTTCAGGCCAATATTGTTCTCCCCCCCCAACTAGTATGCGATCCCACTCCATCGTACTTTATTGCCGTTCTATTTGCTTCCCCCCTAATCTTCTCTAGCTTCAAATCCTCTCCAATATCTCTCCTCTATCTGTTGCACAATCTTGCGTTTCTTCCAACTCATAAAACATTTTGTTTCATCTGCCCAAATCTTTTCCGAATATTCGTTGGTTTCCTCCAGTTCCATATCTGTCCTAATAATCTACTTGGCTTTCTCCCTCAATTAGAATTGACAAATGAATTTTTATTATTTTAATTTTATAAATAAAAAGTATTTGCTATATACTTTTTGTTATAGAACTTATCTATGGTTTGATGAGAAAGGCAAAAAAACTAAAGTAGCCGCCCCACAGTACATAGATTACGTAATGACCTTCATACAAAAGACTATAAGTGATGAGAATATATTTCCTACTAAATATGGTAAATAATTAATTTCAACCTTTATTTATTAAATAAGTTGTTTATAAAAAATATTTGAATTTTTAGCTAATGAATTTCCCTCTTCCTTCGAGTCAATAGTTAGAAAGATAGTGAGACTGTTATTCCACGTGGTTGCGCATTTATATGCGGCCCATTTTCGAGAGGTTGTTCTCTTGGGTTTGCACGCGCATCTAAACCTAACCTTTACGCACCTAACATCTCTTCACCATCGATTCTCGTTAATCGAACCGAAAGAGACGGAAGTGTTACGCGATCTCGAGATTGCACTTCGACTTACGGACGATGGCAGTAATCAAGAAAGTACTTCCGGTACGGATGGCGTAGATTCCGGTGGTATTGATAACGCGGAATCCGATAACAGTAAAAGTCAATCGGAGGAAGCAACTGGTATGTATTTCGAGATTTAAACTTAAGGATTATTAATTTTTTTTTGTGTTTTGTGGCGTCTTTTTGTATTAATTTAGTAGTGTTGTTTTTTTTGTGTAATTTTTTTTACGTTTAGCTTAATTTTAGAAATATAGAAAGACATAGAAAAATAGAAAGAACACTACTGAGAATTACAAGTGTGTTTTTTGTCCTTTTTGTGTGTTTTATTTTTTTAATTATTTATTTTGCTAGTTTAATTTTTTTTGGTTTTGTAATTTTCAGATTTTTTTTCTGTGTTTAATATATTCTTTAATAACAGAAGAGTGACAAAACTGAAAGAACTGAAGGGAGATAATTTTTTAGGTGGCGAGCAAAAGTCGTAGTTAAATACAACAGCGTGTGGCTACTAGAGAGAGTAAATTATCCTAAAAACCGCAAAACGAAAAAAAAACTTAAAAATCTAAACTAAATGCAGCTTGCACTTTTTCTCTTTATTATTTTCTTTGTGTTTTTTTGTTATCGTAAGAAAATAACGTTGTTTAAAGTTTAAAGCAGGCTGACCTCAGAGTTATAAAAAGAAAAAATTAAAAAAAAAAAATACTAGAAAATTTATCCACTCGTAGCTGTTAGTGCAATGTGATTTTAAAAACTGAGACACTATAGTGACTTCCGTTTTGAAATAATTATTGTTTTTCTCTCCGATTGTGTCCGTATTTAGTGATATAATTTATTAATTAATTAGTTAACATTGACGAGAAAACACGTTTTTTAAACACATTATTAATTAATTCAAGAGTTACAAAAAAATAGTAATCAAGCCAATTAAAAAATTAACTAGGTCAAACTGTGAAAACAAAATGTACTTTATGCTGTTAAAAAAAATATTTACAAAGTCGTATTTTAGTACTTAAAAGCATTGCAAATTTTGCATTTTCATTTAAAAATTTCCTTTCTCCCATCAATAAAAGAAAATCTACCCAACACCTAAAGATTTCCTTCGCCTTCAATTTGTTGTGTACAAAAAAAATTTGATCGGAAATGATGTGTAATAAGTACGTTTACGACAGCGCTTTCACTTATGAGAGTGCCATTCGAACAATTCCTTGTACAGTGTTGAAAAGAGAAGAGACAAAAAGATTCAGAGTTGCTAAGGGTGTATATATTATGATGTAAAATAAGATTTAAAAAATGAATTTTTAGTTTTTATTTATTAGAAAATTACAGTAAAAAAACCACTAGTTTATAGTATTGTTGAAGAATAAAATCACCTAATGTTACACTAATTTTTTTTCTTTTACTTCTTAAATCCTTAATATATAAAAAATATACAATAATTATTTTTTTCTCCTTATTCTAAATCGCCGACAGGGTGCTCTATTTAATTTTGGTTTGTTATTGGTGTTGTTTTTAACCTCGACCAATCTAATCGATCTACAAACGTTAGCCACTTCCCGTAGAAAATAACCGACTCCTTCCGCAACTGGGTCACACAAATCCCGCAAAGAAGTGAGTATGTTAAAAAAGAAAATCGCTGGAGGTTGAATAATCGCGTTAAAAACCACCGATAAACATGGTTTAAAAAAGTAATCGGATGTTAATTGAAGTAAACCGATTGTTAATGGTCGAATTAAACTTTGCAGAATAAATCTGATAAAGAAAAAAAAAAAAAAGGATTAAAAATTATATTTGAACTTAACATCAGATAGCAGAGTAATTTTAATTGTTTTATTTAATATGCTTTGTTAGTTGATCAGATGGTAAAAATGTTTGATTAAGGTCATGTTAAATCTGAAATGTCTTAAGTTCAATTTACACCTTGCAGTTAATGAAAAATAATGAGAAATGAGTCGTTTCTGCATTTTACAACCTAATTAAACTAAAACATACAAGAGAACATCTGGTAAGAAGTATTTGAACGTTATATAAATATCTAACTGTCTTCCAGCATGTTTTGCAACTTTTAGTTTTAAATGATTGATTAATGTGATTATGAAGAAAATAAATTGAATTTAATTTTTATAACAGTGGACAAAATTCTAATTCAATATTAACGTTTTTCAAATTCCCACTAGGTGTATTTATTTCAGAATCGACTTGACACATTTTCTCGAATCAAGTTCGTACTTTTCTCTTGCCCTCATTTATACCTTACGGTGTTGGGTTTTTTTATCCATCTTTAATACATATTTCTATCTCTGGCCTTACTCCGTACTTCGGCGAGTTTCCTCCCTCTTCTTTCAACCATCTTCTCAATCTCTCCCTCCCAATAGGCTCTTCGTCTACCACGCTTTCTCTTTCCTTCTGGTCTCATGTTCAACATTTTCTTAGGTATTCTATCTTCTTTCATTCGAACCAGATGACCATATCAACTAAGTTGTTTTCCCTCTATTTCGTGTACCAGGAGATTTAAGCTAATTTCTTCTCTGATGTTTTTGTTCCGTATCCCATCTCTTCTGGTTTTCCCCAATAATTTGCGTAGGTAATGTATCTCTGTTATTATTTTTGATTTGTGCTTGCCCAACATCATCAAAGTTTCTGATCTATAATTAAGTGTGGGTATGTAGATAATTATAATAATGGTGTTATTTATTTGATAGTAGACTGCACTTGCTTTTGCTGTTCTGTTGCGTATTTCCTGATCTATCTTTCCATCCTTATTTATTATGGTTCCAAGATATTCGTACTTTTCTACCACCCCCAGTCGTTACTCCTCTACTCTTACGTCAATATCTCCCCTTTCTTGTAGGCAGGTATTCCATATTTTTATGTTTTTTTTTATAGGACATCTACTCTGCCTGACATTAGTACAACATCGTCCGTGTAGATAAGGTCTCGAGTGTAGATCACGGTTAGGTTGTTGTACCCCAGTCCCGTCTGCGTAGTTTGTCTTTTGGCTTGCTTTATTATTCTGTCCATGCTACAATAGTAGTAGGCTTAAACTGTCACCCTGTTTCACTCCTTTTTCCATTCTGAACTCTTCTGATGTCTTTCCATTCTGTCTAACCCTTCCTATTATGTTATGGTATACGCTTTTGATTGCTCTTTTTAGTTTTGGACTTGCCCCCAGTTCACCAAGTTAAAGTTTCCCATATATGTTGTCTCAGTATCTGATCGAAAGCTTCTTTTAGGTCTAGGAAGACCAAATATATATCCTTATTCCTGTCCGTTGTTTTTTCTATTATTGTCCTGAGGTTGTACCTATTTTTGTCTGTTTGGCCCGAATGTCACTCTTTGGGTTTTTCTTGTATCTGGTTTCTCAGCCGTTCTTCTAGAATTTTTGAGTATAGTTTGAGCGCAACCGGCACCAAACAGATTATTCTGTAGTTTTCGCAGTTGGTTATTCTTGGTTTATATTCTTTTCCCACTCGTGGGGTATTGATTCAGTATTCCATGTCAGCTGGAATATTTTCCTCAGCCACTGTACTACTTTCGGACCTCCTCTTTTTAATAATTCTGGTAATATACTGTCGTCACTTACTGCTTTCCCGTTTCGTGTTTCGCTTAGGGCTATTCGCACTTCTTCTTCGCTTATCTGCTTTTCCTCTCGACTCTCCTCCCTTTCTTCTGTATTCTCTTGTTTAAATTTTTCCTCGTAGTGGGTTTTCCAAATTTTTAATGTCATGTATTAGTTTTGGTTCAGACCCAAATTTTGGTTTAACCTCTTGACTACGTTCCAGAATTGTTTCTGATTTTGCCTATAATTTTCATTAAACTTCTTTCCAAATTCTTCCCAAGTTTTCAGCTTTGCTCTCTTTACAGCTTCCTTTGCTTTCTTTACAGCTTCCTTTGCTTCTTGTCTCTTTTGTCTGTACTTTTCTTTGTCTGTTGCCGCTTCCGTTTTTCTGAAGTCCCTCCATGCCTGCTTCTTCTGTTTTATCTTACCCTTGACCGTGGTATTCCACCACTTAACTCTCTTTCAATTTTGACCGGTTTTGATTATTTTAGTGATTTTCTCAATACTTTCTAGTTTATATTCTGGTAGCTTCATCTAGGCATGATGCCTCAATTCACACATTCATCCTGAATAATATTGTAACCTAAAACTAACGATGATTGGGAAGAAGGCGAGAGAGGAGAGAAGGAGGTTGGAGAAGAGCTTGGTGGAAGGGTTGTTGGGCAGCCAGAGAGGAATGATGCAGGAGTAGAGGACATAGTTTCTATAAATTTGGAGATGGGGGTTAGAGAGCTGAAAAGGTGAAGGGGATCTGTTGGATGCTGGATATAGAAATGGGGAGGAGGGCTTGAAGAGCATCATTGCGAGAAAGCAAATGATGCTTGAAGAGTTCAGAATCAATCCGTTTGAAACATTCCCTATATTACCTCTGAAACTTGAGCGAACCCTTTATTACAATTGCAAAAAAAGTTACAATAAGTCAGCAGATCTAATTAAAATATCATATTGGTAATTAAAGAATGAATAGCACACCGCTGTTCGAAAGAGTCTGAGTATACCAAATCGAATTATTATTCCTAGGAAACAACTTTGATTCTAATTATTAAGGTGAATAAGATTATGTGCACCTCAAAATAAATCCATAAAATAGTGAAATGGTTTTTTTTGTGTTTCAAGGAATTATACAAAACTAGTCTGCAATATTACAGATAACATTAGATAATCGTTGGGGAAAAATTAAACTGACATGAGTGACCAAAGACGCAAGCAGTGATACAGTATTTGTGCTACAGGTGACGTTTTTTACTTACTTATACGAACAGCTAGAGATAAGGACAAATGCTGCTAGTTTTAGTGAATCTTGTAAGTGAAGAAATTTGGGATAGCAGTTGATAATGTGAATGTAGGGCTACAAAGGCGTTATTAGGACGATCTTCACCGCAATGGAACTCCTCTTCAACGTCCATGAAGACATTACTACCATGATTGACGTTACCTATGTTTTAATCCTTTTTGTATGCCTTTTAACAAATAGATTATAAAATCGAGACCTTTTCTAACTGTGATAGATTCTCCACCGTGTCTTGCTTTTTCAATTAACTTCAGACTTACTTTACAATAAATAATCGTTCTGAAATATACAGAAAACGCTTCAAATACTTATTTCCATTCTATTACTTAGTTTTTTCCTCCTACTGATTCTTATTCTACTCTTTTTCATCCAAAACCAAACATCTTCATGAAATCATGTATTTATCCTCCCAAAATGTCGCCATCTTGATATTACATTACGTTACATAAATTATATGTCGGGTATTCGGAGCAACCAACAATAGATGATATTATCAAATTTTATCGTGTGTCTTTAATCGGCAGTGCCCAGTAAAGACACCCATTAAAACTTTAATGCTGCTACGAGTAAGTCCTAAAATATTCCCTGGTTTGACAGTGGCGAGAAGTCTCAGGAGTCTCTCTTCAGCCCACTGTTCAATCCTATGTTTGGCCATCGCAAATGATATACCATCTGCTGGCTCTGGCCCCACAAACGCTTTAGCGCTGTCCTCTCGTGCTAGCTCATCTGCCGCTTCATTACCAGCAACCCCAGAGAAGGAGACAAGCAACCCCTTCTCTCTCAAGAAGGATTTTAGCACCCATGTCAATAGCAAATACTTCCGCCTGAAATACAGTACAGTATGTACCCAGGGTGTAAGCTTGCTTAATCCGAAGTGTCTAGAAGTACACTCCTGTCCCGACGTTTTTGATTCATCTGTAAACATGGAAATATCTGCATGAGCCAGAGAAGTTTTTTCATTTCGTTTTCGATCGAGGACTGCCGTTCAGGCAGTACAATCTGGTATCAACCGGCATTGATAGCACAATATCAGTGCTTATAGTGTCTTCCGCAGCCCATTGGTAGGACATGTCGGAACAGTTTTCAGCATATTGCTTATGCCTGTAAATGGTAGTTCTCACTTTCTCCAAATGCAAATGCAAAGGAGATAGCCAAGCAGAACATGCATTGCTAGAGTTGGCGTTGTGCTTATAGCACCATCTTGGTCTTACGTAACTGTCTAATCACTATTATTATAGAATTTCAGTCAAGTCAAGCTATAAGTGATTACATTTTAATAAAATGAGTCAAAATATACTCTGATATCTGATGTTCATTAAGCTTCACTATCACACAGAAATACTACTATAATGGATTTTCCCGTCCGAATTTCTATAAAGAATAGTTTAAACTTACTTTAAAAATTGTAAAATAAATGTTGTTAAAAATGCAAAAAATATATGAATAGTTCCAAAAAGTTCAGCCCAAAATTTCGTGGTATAAGCTTCTGTTTTTTCCGCTATTAATTCAGTTGTTAAATTTGGGGTAACATCTGTGGTTTTTAAATAACTAAAAGAACATGTTTTGAATCATTTTCTACCTGAAAATACAATGTATTACCATGCATTTCCGTGATCAAAATAATAAACATCAACGCGAGTTGGTTTATCATTTAGGAAACCTTGTTTACAAGTTTTTGGTGGTTTAAAACTGTTATTAACTTGGGCTATATGAACGGCTGGATTTACACCAACCGATTGATTTTCTTGATTTTTACAGGGTGCGCAATGAACGGGAGCTGTAATAAAAGCTCTTGAAGTATTCGTTGCAACAGTAGATGTAACGGGTTTTGGGATATTATGTATTAAATCAAACGTTAATTTCTACGAAACAAATAAAAATTATTAATTAGTAATTTTATGGTGATAATTTACGTTCGGTATATTTTCTTTATCATTTTGTTCAATGTTAATTTTATACAACTCAATCGGTTCTTTCGATAAATCCTTTTCGTGTCTTCGAAATTTCAATAAATTCAAAAAACTAAAACGGCTCTCTTTGTTACTTTTTATTTCAACCATTTTTCGTAAGTTTACTTTTTCAAATGTATGTATTTTTCGTTCTGGCGGTTTTAAATCTACAAATTAATTAAAAAAATGTTTAAATTTATTTTTAATGGAATTAATTTAATTAACTTTGTGAAAATGTGTTAATTGCACGAACGTAATCACGATAAGGACATTTTTCAGCATGTTGACATAACAAAACGTTTGGATTTTCAATAATCTTAGAACATTCGGTCGTTTCGCTTATATCTATGGGAAGGGCGGACATTTCTGACATATCACGAGGTGTTGATTGAGATTCTTTTAAAGATCTTTTAACCTTAAAGAAACAATTTTTTTTTTAATTACGTTTTTATTTATTTATCTACCTCAACAATTGAGCTATATATTGATGTTATAAAAGACTCGTCTTTATCTTCGTTACTGCTAGAATTAACTAAATGTGGAGTGCTTGGTCCCATTAACTCAATTACGTTTGTTAATTCTTCTTTAATATTTTCAATACCATTCTTTTCATTTTGTTGATGTTTTAATGTTGCTAAATTTGATTTGAGTAGAAAATTAAAGAATTGATTATTAATTTTTACCTGTTATGTCTTTAGTTGTTGCAGTAACTCCTTTATTGGAAGTGGATTTTTTCATTTTTTTGTATAAATAATAATAGTTAAAAGTAGAACTTGGTAAAATCTGGTATATAATAAAGATAACTTTCAAAATCCTTTCATTTTGACAGATTTTATTTAAATTTTTTGTTTACAAGCCAGCTTTACAATTAAAAAAGAAGAAATTTTAGAAGAAAGTATATATACACTGACGATTAAAATTTTACAAACAGCATTGGCGATTTATTTCAACTTTTATTTTTAAAATACATTGATATATTACCATTTATTTAGATACTTTAACTTTTGTTGTGCAGTTGTACTTAATTAAGTTTTATTTAGATATCTTAAAAAGAAAGCAATCGTCGTCGTTTTCGATATTTTCCACTTTTTTTCGTTTAAAGTGGAAAAAGATAAAAATTCATAAACTAAGTACAATGTTACACCTTACATTATTTTTTTCTGTATAACATAGTGACTAGATATTTTTAATTACAATTAGAACGAAAAAATAAAATGAATCTGAAGCAAAGTAATAAAAAAAATTGCTACTTAATTAATTAGTTAACCTGCTTCTTATGATTTATATGGAATGACAATTATTGTTATAATTTATAAGAAAAGAAGTTAAAAAATCAGTTCTTATTGTCTGTACAAAAAATATAAAATTAGAATTTCTTTTTTAGCTTAAGAACGATTTCTTTTTGCTTTTATACATATTGATAGTTATCTTTATTCCTTAAAAGAGGTTGATGTTCGATGTTTTTGTCCAAATCGAAACTTGTAACCCAATCTTTCACTTGAGGCTTAACCATACCAAAACAATTACACTCAAAAAACTCAGCAGCATTCATTATCGGTCCTTTCGAAAAAGGACTTTTACCAGAATTCGTTATAAAATGATTGTAACGACCCCTATTCATTCGTTCGTTTGTCGTCATTCCAAGACAAATAATCTAAAAAACAGCCTTTATTTATTGGTTAATTCATTTTAAATAACTCACTTGATATAATTGACATATTAACAACATTAAAACCCATCCAAAATGTAAAAGGGCGTTGACACCAACCCATGCGACCCAAGGTTCACATCTCGCAATAGTTAAAAATCCAGCCCAATAACTAGGAGCTTGATCGACGCGACAAGAATCTTGACTCCTCCAAAACAGCATGATTCCATACATCATTTGCGAGCACATTATCACCAAACTCGCAACGAATCCCATAAAATATTTATGATTTTTTGCTCCGATACAATTCGCGACCCACGGACAGTGATGATCAAACCTTGCGATACAACAATTACACACCGAACAATGTTTTGAACGAACGGGTCTCAAAACTAAACAAGTCGAACAAAAAGTGGTCGGTTCAAAGCCGGAAATTCCTTTTCTTTCGGCTAAATCCATGATCGTCTAAAAGAAAAATTACAACAAATGATTTTATAAAATTTTTTTATTTACTCGAAATCGTAAATCTTGTGATGTTGGTACAACTCCGGCATCTCCAAGCCATGATTTGAGAAAACAATACCATAGGAGACCGCTGCTGGTGAAGAAGACGAGATTGAGGAGGAGACTCGCGTTGGGCAAGACGTAAATGAACCAGGTGAAGTAGAACCAGACTTTTGTCGCTAAATAAATGCTTAGCGGTAAAAGGGACATAAGGCGGTCGTCATACAATACTTGTCCGGCTGCGTTTAGAACTAGGTATAGGCAAAGGAGAAGGAACAATTTGATCAGGATTATGATGTTCGCACCGAGGATTACACCGGCTGTGTAAAAAGCAATGAATGGAGTTCCTACCATACACCACCATCTAATTCTCTGGAAGAAAATTATTTGTAATTATCAAATAATAATCAAAATTAATATAAAACATTTTTGTTTACAAAATTTGGATAAGAGTTTGACAAACAACTACCATCTTCCAGGTCAATTAATTTTTATTTTCTTCTTAAGATGTCAATATTTAATTTAATAATATATCAAGAATCCGGGGGTTCAAATAAGGGCTCGAATGGGGGCTGAGAATCCTGAGTAACCTCACTTAAAATCAATCCGTATGGAGGATGGGGTGAAAGCAAGCGAATGAACATGGAAATGATTTTGGAATCTTGGAACGTCAAAACAAAGATAACAGCTATACAAGAATCAAGATGAATAGACAACAGAATTGGGAACACGAAACCTTTATTGCGGACAATAGCATCAAGAGCAGTACGACAAAATTCCGCAACAACTTGAGAATATCTACAATACAACACCAAAGAATGACACCAAAATAATTATCGGAGATATGAATGCTAAAATAGGAAAGGAAACGGAATCTAGGAATAATATGTCTCAAAATGAAAGGTAAGAATCACCATTAAATACAAAAGTGCGTTTATACAAAACCATAATGAGGCCAATCGTCAGCTATTAGATGTGAGATATGGACAATACACCACGCAATCACATGCTAAATCATTTGGATACTTTGCCAAGTGTATGGAACATGACGCTTTTTTTGCCATGCCATTCTTTATCGCCACATCTCAACACGCCACGATTTTTGAAACGAAAGAACGTCTGTATATGGCCGGCTAATGATTGCGATGGGCAGGGCACGTGATGAGGATGGACGATAACAGGATCCCAAAATGAACCCTCAACTGAAGAATGCAAGGAAACAGGAAGACCTGGAAGATGGTGAGAAGATGGAGTGATGGAGGATTCCAGGAACTTGTGGATGGAGACAAGCGACAAGCGATAGCGACGTTTGAAAAGCAAGTTTGGTCAGAAGTCGGGATGTAGCGTCGTGGGAGAGAGAGAACAAGAATCTGTGTATACAACGGTTATCAGAAAATTGATTTGGAGTGTCGGTGAACTATCTTCATACAGGTCAAAAAACTTCAAAGTGAGCTTGATTTTGTAGAGGATCACTCAAACAGCATGGTGCTGCAATCCCAAACATCATACTTTTTTATCCAGTGTCATACCCCTTTGAATGCCTTCACACAATGATCTTCAACGACATCCTCTTTTTCCTTCCAGGTGGTGTCCATTGATATACTTGTTTGTATACTTAACCAAACCATCTCAAACCTCTCTTTTCAATCTTGTGTATGGCAGTTTCCGTGGCTGACATTCCAATGTCAAAATTCTTATGTCAAATCTTCTCCTATTTGGACATCTTCGCACTTCTAAGTAAATCCGTTTATGCTTCTCTTTCATGGTCCAAACCTCAAAGCCAATATATTCCGACCATAGCTTCTCCAATAAGTTTTTTATTATTCCGATTTATGCGTTTATCCCACCAGATAGAATTAAGTACCACCATTACCTTTCTGGCTTTATCAGTCGTGTTTTTGATTTCCATCTAACCAATACCATTTCTGTCGAAAATGGTACTTAAGTATTTAAATTATTCTACTTGACGAATTTCATTTATGTCATCAATAAAAATTCAGTCCTTTCAATGCTGATTTCTAATCACCTTTTTGTGTTCTTTGCCTTTTCAACACAAAGTCTATGTCACATAGGCTCAATGTGCACAAATGTGTGTTATTAATCGAAACGTTTTGAAATACCTTGGACCATGACTCATGAGCTATTCCACTTTCTTATTGCAGCGTTTACAGCCCTGTTTAATACAGGCGATATTATCATCATACAATTCTTGGATTATTCTCATGAGGTAAGGACTTCCATGAGGCATTTTCTCAATCAATTGCTGCAATATAAACACATTCTACATGCATGAGCTACCTGGACGCTAAACCCACTTTAATCTTCGCTAATTACACTATCCATTTCGGTTCGTAGCCGTTTCTGTATAAGTTTACCATATAAGTGGCTAAACAAACTGATGACGTATCATTGGACGCAGATGAATTGAATTATTTCTTTACAAACACCCCTCTTGACATAGTTAAGAATTTACCAACTCCTTCCTAATCATGACGCTGTGACATTACGGTTATGCTTAAATGTAAATTGAGTTTGAATGTTGTCACTCAAGTTGAGGTTCGTGATATAATAAACTCATTAAAGAGTGGCCCTGCAAGGGACTACCTTGGATTCTCTGTCAGTTTTATAAAGAGAACTATCAACCTATACAGTGTGTTAATTAATTATTGTACCCGACGTCATCATTGCAAGTATGCAACCAACATCACAGTATTGGTATTGCAATACGCAAATCGCGTATTACAATATATGCACTATATATCTCTCCATTAACTAAACTTATAAATTGTTCTCTAAAGGAAGGCAGATTTCCGGACATTCTGAAGTGTGCATTGGTAATTCCGGTTTTTAAAAATGGTATTAAAGAAGATACCAAAAATTACCGTCCCATCAGCATCCAGCCAGTGTTTTTGAAAGTATATGAAAGGATTATCTATACTAGGATCACAGATTACCTGGAGGGGTAAAATATGTTATTTGGTTGAGTTTGTGAATTTCTGCCATAGTGCGTTTGAAGCTGGCGATTATTGTGTCTCATTGTTCCTGGACCTGTCGCGCGCTTTCGACTATGCGTCACACCGCATACTCCTGCAGAAATTAGAAAATAACTATAATATGGATTATATTACCATAAATTTGATTCAATCTTTTTTGATGCGTAGAACCCCAACTGCAAAAATAGGCGAATTAACGTCCAATACTGTGAATGTAACAAGAGGAGTACCACAGGGATCGATTCTTGACCCTCAACTCTTCCTTATATACTTTAACGATTTTCCTTATTACGTGAGTAAAAATATGATTGGTTTAAAGTGCTTGCTTTATGCGGATGATGCCACATTGTTGATTCGAGATCAAACTACGACGATGCGTTGAAACTTTCGATGGAGGCGTGTCGAGGGTGCGTGACTGATGTATTGCGAATGAGTTGTGTTTAAATAACGATAAAACTGTTCAACTTTCTTTCAGTTTGTTGAGGCTTGAGGTTCGCAATCCAAACCTGGTAACATTTTTGGCGACATATCACCGCCCCCTCATTGCGCTTTGCTGATCATTTTAATTGTATGGTGTCTAAGAGATGTAAAAATATTTACTTACTGCGCAGACTTGCTGCAGGTGTATCACAGTGTGGCGAAAAACGCTTACTAAGCATTTGTTCAATCATTACTTAGTTATTCAATTCTAGCATGAGGTGCAGATCCTGGGAGTGAACAAATGTTTAAAATATAGGGTTTATAGAGACGATTGTCGACCTGCTTTTAGTAGGCTATCTATTTTAACTCTACCATCTTTATACACGGTGATTTATACCATACGGAGCAGACTAAAAGGGTGGGTACTTGGGGTCAAACTAAAGATTCTTAATTTTTCTTCTAAATAATGATCAGCATTTTGCTTGCTGTGAATTTACTTTACTATGACTCCGACATCATATGATATAAGAATCGTTAACAAATAAAACCATACATTTTGTCATTTTTGCAAATTATTCGCAAACCGTGCAATAAAAAATTTATTTGACATGATCACCACTTGGCCAAGTAGGGTAGTTTAATACATATCGAATTTGGAGCTTCTATCTTGAAATTTACACGTCAAAAAAGCCGATACCACAACCGATACCTGGGTAATGCCGGCCGATTTTCAAAAATTCTGCCTTAATTTAGTAACACTAGGGTAAAAAAAGTACACAAGTGGGCTAAACTTTACCTAACTTTTGGCTTAGAGAGATTGGACATAGGATTAGGGACCTGTCTGAAAAAATAAATAAGAACGCTACCATCCTTGGTATTACTTGATACAAGATGGAACTTGAGGAAATATTAGCATCCCTGGATTGTGGTGCGCATGAGTACAAACTCGACATGTCGGTTGATGATAGGATAGATATGACTTAGACAGTTCGCGAAGTGAGGTAGTTGAAAATTTGAGGTTTATTTAAACAACTCTGCAGTTTACTCTACTTTAGATTATAAATCTGTTGACTTACAGAAACACCCTGTATATGTTTTATCTATGTAATAACATATTTTAGCATATAACTTAAAGAAAACTGAGAGAAAGCTATATGAGTATGTGAATAAAAAGATTATGATTTCTGTGTACAGATTTGTGATTCTTGTAATAGTAACATAGGGCTATTCAATTTCATTTCATGTCAGTTATAGAAAAAAAAGATAACAAATGTATTAGCAAAATCAAACATGTTTAGAAACACCTTTATCTCCCTTTTATTACAGTACATATATCTTTTATCCATTTTATTAGCTCTCTCAATGCAACAAAAAAAACTTGTCCACCAGATAACACCCACAAACATCAAAGTTGATTATCATTTTCACTTGTATTATCTTTTTTGTTGTGTTATTGATAAAGTCCTTAACAAAAGATAACACCTTCAACTGTAGTAATATGATACTATCATAATCACATTGTACACACCCATTAAAATATAAAAACTAATGTTAAACAATTATTAACACTTACCTTATCTTTTGCTATCCTAAATAAAATATTCCTAGATCGACTTGTACTTATCCCCTCTTTAACTTTTTCTGAAACTTTCGCTCCTAACCAAAGCGCCCCTAATTGCGTTTGTAACAATGATAATGGGGTATCACCCCGATGATTCGGTATATTTAAGTTAGCGTGTCCCTAAAATCAATTAACCTTAAATCTAATTTTCATTAAAAAAACATTTAATTTCTCATTTTACTTGAAGAACTAAAGCTGATATTGCCGTTGTATTTCTAGTTAAAATCGCCCAATGTAAAGCGGTATTTCCTTGATTAGCATCTGTTAAACTTGGATTTGCCCCCAAAGTTAACAACAGTCTTGTCGGATCCAAATTGCAAACTTTCCAACACGACCACATCAAAGGAGTCATCCCACTACGATCCACCAAATCTGGACTTACACCTCGCGCTACAAAATATGCTACAAGGGCTGTATGTCCAAATTGAGCTGCTAAATGAATACATGAAGCGCCTTCCGCATCCCGAAGCGTCGGATCGGCACCTGCATTCATTAAAATAACCGCCGCGTCTAAATGACCCTGTCTTGTAGCCCAATGTAAAGGTGTAGCGCTTAATTCACCGCCAACAGCATCTACTTCAGCCCCTTTATCTATGAAATATCTCATAATTTCTTTTCGATTGTTTATAGCAGCCCAATGAAGAAGAGTTACTGTTTCGCTATCACGTTGATTTACATTGTAACCAGCTTCTACTAAACTCTTTACTCTTGCAAAAGCTCCATACTAATAAATAAAAATGTTTAAAATAATTTTTATTTTATTTAATAATCTTTATTTTTGAAATATTTCTATTGATTTTAAAAACTTACAAACTATTTACATATAAATTATAAGACAAAGAAACCGTAATATTAAAGATGAGTCAGAAATGTAACAATTTATAAATAATATATGCAATAGAAGTACCTGTGTGGCTTTAACAATATCAAATCCGCTATAATCATGTTCAACTGCGGGGACCGCGGGTTCCCTGGGCACCAAACTGTGGCAGTCTCGGTCGGATCCAACGCAGCCTCCCGCGGAGGCGGCTGCCCCACAAGAGTTCTGATACATTTTTAAATTATTTTCCCCGTAATTAATGACATTTATGATACAGGTTAGCTGCACACCACTTTTGATTGACAAATATTGAACAATCGAGTTGTGGGGATTTTTGTTTTAACACTAACTTTTTATGGATTCTTTAAGTAACATTAACTTAATATAAACATATTCATCTTATTAAAAATACAAAAATTAATAATTAGTTGCTAATTAACGACAAAAATAACCAAAAAGCTTTAAATTTGATACAAATTTGAACTTTACCAATAAGTTGGTAGTGCTGACTTGTCAAAATAACCGCGTATATTATTTGAGGTTATGAAATTCATTTTGAATTAATATTGTGTTAAGTGTTATTAAAATGGCAAATACCGGACAAAGCCCGTCTAAAAGAGCAAAGTAAGATTACATCGCATTTATAATCAATAACTATTAATTAATTTTTTTTTTAAGAATAATTTCTTATGGACGACCCTCTCTACCAGATATAGACCCTACTAAAGATGTCTTACTCTTTCAACAAATTGAGCTTGAGCACTATATTGGTTCTCATTACCCTAATATGCCAGGGGCTCAAACAGGACCGGTCCCTATCATGCGCATGTTTGGTGTAACGGAAAATGGAAACAGTGTTTGTTGTCACATTCATGGTTTCACACCTTATTTTTATGCATCTTTACCTGATAAGTTTGTAGAGTCTGATTTAATGGACTTTAAAGTAAGTGTTTCACCTTAAAATTGATTATTATAATTGATTTGTCTCATATTTTAGTCAAAACTTAATGCAGCAGTTTTGGCTGATATGCGTTCAAACAAAAATAACTTATCTGAGGCAGTATTAATGATTGAAATAGTCATGGGAAAATCTTTGTGTGATTACACAGGGGATGATGATACCAAGTTTGCTAAAATCACTGTAGCTTTACCTAAATTGGTTCCAGCTGCTAAAAGATTATTAAAAACTACTGCTGGTTTAACCCCAGCTACACAATACCATGATTTTTCTATATATGAATCAAATGTTGACATTGAAACTCGATTCTTAGTCGACACAAACATTTTGGGTTGTTGCTGGATCGAATTGCCAGCTAAAAAATGGTTCATTCGTACAAAAACCACAAATTTTCACATCACAACCCGTTGTCAATTAGAAGTTGATGTTTCCTTTTCCGATTTCATTGCTCATACTCCTGAAGGCGATTGGGCGCGTGTGGCTCCTTTTAAAATACTTAGTTTTGATATTGAATGTGCTGGACGTAAGGGTATATTTCCAGAACCAAATGTGGATCCTGTAATCCAAATTGCTAATGTACTTAAACTACATGGAAGCAATGAGGTTATTGGTAGAGTTGTTATGACATTAAATACTTGTGCTCCAATTGGGCACGCGGAAGTACAAAGTTTTAATAAGGAAGAAGAATTATTATCAGCCTGGTCAGATTTTGTATGCAAAGTCGATCCGGATCTTTTAACTGGTTATAACATAAACAACTTTGATCTTGCATACTTAATTGATCGCGCGCAACATTTGAAATTAAAAAAATTCTGTTATTTGGGGAGAATTTTAGACGTTCCTTCAATAGTTAAAGAAGTCGTTAATCAAACGAAAGTTGGTAGAAGAACATTTAAAACGATAAATTTCGAAGGGAGGATCGCTTACGATATGTTAGTAGCCATTAAGCGCGATTTTAAACTGAGATCATACACTTTAAATAACGTTTCTCAAGAAATTTTGGGGGAACAAAAAGAGGATGTTCATTATAGTATTATTACTGATTTACAAAATGGTGATGAACAAACTCGAAGAAGGCTGGCGGTTTATTGTATTAAGGATGCCGATTTACCATTAAAATTAATGGATCATGTTAAAAGTTTTATTAATGATGTTGAGATGGCTCGTGTTACTGGTGTTCCAATAACCAGTTTGTTAAGTAAAGGAGAACAAGTTAAAGTTGTTGCGCAGTTATTAAGACATGTAATTGTTTACTTATTTTTAGTTTATTTTAAGTTTTAAAACTTATTATTAGGAATTATTAGGTAATAACCATTTTTTGTGAATTGAAAAATAATCAATTTTGTATATATTTTGGATAACACTTGAACTTATTTCCTGGTGGAGCATAGGGCGGCAGTAAAGGTTCTCCATCTGATCCATTTCATTTCCCTCCATGTTTTTCCGGCTTCTATTTCTTTTCCCCCAACACTTCTCTTCCACATCTTTTTTGGGCGCCGTCTTTTCCATGCTTTTTTTTTAGTTCCAGTCAAGTGCTGACATCTCAACTGCTCCATGAGGCATGTGCGTAAACTTAGCCCCCTTCAAGATTTTAAAAAACTGTTTTGATAGCCCCCTAAAGAGTTCTAGACTTCTCTGTAGAAATAAAAAATAGTTCCGTCTATTAACACGGTCAAAACAACAAATAAAAAGATGGGGCTAACTTCATGATTGTCTAAATTTCTAAACTGATCATAGCATTTAAACTTTAGAGCAATAATTTATAAGAATAATCGATAGAACTCTTTGGGAGGGCACAGGAACTCCAAAATTCTCATCTCCTTGAGACTTCGAAAATTCGGTCGCACATTACGAAAGGTTGAACCTCTGTAACTTTTTCAATTGAAATCATAGTTCAAAATTTTATAAGAATAATCGACGGAACTCTTTGGTGACCACTGGAGCTCTCACCAGAACTTAAAAATTCGCAACACCATTATTTATTTATTGATTTTATCTATGCTTTCACCTTAATAATTCTTGCCTATATTAAAAATCTATCTTGAATTCGACACAATTTGTCAATTAAAATCGTTTAAAAATCTCAATGTGCGACCGGATATTTCTAAGTCCAGATGGCATACGAATTTTGTAGTTCTGGTAAGAGTTCCGGTGACTCTCCAAAGAGTTCTATCCATTATTCTTATAACAATTTGAGCTATGATTTCAAATGAAAAAGTTATAACCATTCAAACATTCAAAATGCTATTAGAACAGGGATCAATTTTTTGAAATTTTGAAGAAGAGGGGCCAAGTTTTCACACATCCATGAGGCTTCCTTAACGTGTGACCAATCCAGGATAGAAAATGGTGTCTCCTTGATTTGGTCGTTCGTCCCATTACATTTATAATGCGTCGCAGGTACTGATTAATGAATACCTGTAATTTGTTCGATATTCCCTTGGTGACCTTGTTTCACACCCTGACTTTACGTTGCTGTTGAATAAGCGAAGTTTTGATCTTTTTGAAATGTTCTTATTTCGCCAGATTTGCTCTCTTCGTTTCTTTACATCCTCGTTTGCCCCTCCATCTTCCCCAACAATGCTACCAAGGTACACAAATATTTCAACTTATTCCAAGTCCAAAACTACAAAATTTATCCTCATCTCCTTCATCTTGCAGTTCTTTCAGCTTTACCTCCTTGTCACAAAATCACTGTGAAAGTCGGCAAATGTCACCTTCAAACTCAAGATCCTCAAGTTTATCTTATCATTACTCCTCCCTTCTGTAATCTTTCTCATTAGTCTATCCAATAACAGGAGGAAAAGTATGGGTTATAGAATGTACCTTTGTCTTACCCCAGAATTTGTCTGGATATATTTCTGACAATACTGATGATCTTCAGACGGATTCCATATTTTTCCAGAGTATGTTACATGATTCTTCTTTTTAACGAGTTAATGACCTCAAAGTCGATGAGAGTCAACTCTGCCATTCTGCGCTATGATCAATAAAGTTATGTAGAGTGTTCCTCAACGCTATTGCACGGAGTCCTTAACCCGATTCAGGATTATTCTCGAAAGTACTTTACTTGGCACTGACAGAAGAGTGATTCCTCGCCAGATGTTACAATAAGTAGTATCACCTTTCTTTGGTAGTTTTACTATTAATCCACGTTTCCAGTATGCAGTAACTGGTGTGATAATCCAATCTTGTCTTCACCTAGTGCCTTTCCATTACTGATCTGCTTAAGGGCTGTTTTCATTTCATTATTAGTTGGTGCCTTTCTGCTAATGCCAGTATCACTGACTGCTTCATTTCCTTGGATTGCTCTCTCTCTTTTTGTTCTTTCTATTTAAAACCTCGTAGAAACGTTCTATCCACCTCTTAAGCTGGTCTAAATGTCATCTTCAAACTCAAGGTCCTCAAGTCTATCTTACCATTACTCCTCCCTTCTGTAATCTTTCTCATTAGTCTATCCAATACCAGGAGGAAAAGTATGGGTTATAGAATGGACCTTTGTCTTACCCCAGAATTTCCCTGGATATATCTCCCTGATAATACTAATGATCTCAAGAGGGATTCCATATTTTTCCAGAATATGCCACATGATTCTTCTGTTTAATGAGTTAATGGCCTCCTCAAAGTCGATGAAAGTCAACTCAGCCATTCTGCGCTTTGATCAATAATTATGCAGAGTGTTTCTCAACGCTGTTACAATAAGTGGTATCCCCTTTCTTTGGTAGTTTTACTATTAATCCATCTTTCCAGTATCCAGCAACTGGTGTGATAATCCAATCTTTGACTGATTTAATTTCATTACGTGTTGGTGTTTTTCTGCTAATGCCCCAGTATCACTGACTGCTTCATTTACTTAGATTGTTCCCTCTCTTTTTTGTTGTTTCTATTTAGAACCTCGGAGAAAAGTTCTATCCACCTCTTAAGCTGGTCTAAATGTCATTTTCAAACTGAAGGTTCTCAAGTCTATCTTACCATTACTCCTCCATCTTGTAATCTTTCTCATTACTCTATCCAATACCAGGAGGAATAGTATGGGTGATAGAATGTACCTTTGCTTACCCCAGAATTTGCCTGGATATATCTCCCTGACAATAAGATGATCTCAAAGTCGATGAAAGTCAACTCAACCATTCTGCGCTTTGATCAGTAATTATGCAGAGTGTTCCTCAACGCTGTTACACGGAGTCCTTAACCCGATTCAGGATTATCCTCGGCAGTACTTTGCTTGGCACTGACACAAAAGTGATGCTTCACTAGTTGTTACAATAAGTGGTATCCCCTTTCTTTGGTAGTTTTATTATTAATCCATGTTTCCAGTAGCGGGTGTAATAATCCAATCTTATCTGCACTTGGTGCCTTTCCATTACTGATCTGGTTAAGGGCTGTTTTAATTTCATTAGCAGTTGGCACCTTTCTGCTAATGTCACTATCACTGACTGCTTAATTTCTTTAGATTGCTCTCTCTCTTTCTTGTTCTTACTATTTTGAATCTCGTAGAAATGTTCTATCCACCTCTTAAGTTGGTCTTCTTGTATTGTAAACAGTTGTTCCTTACCTCTTATTAAATGAAGACTGCATTTTTGTAATGCTATAAAGTTCCTTGGTGTCAGCTCTTGCTGCAGCAATCTTTGCCAAATGTGTTCAGGGTTTCCCAATCTTGGCCCACTTCGAAGACGTTTGTCGCCCCAAGTATTACAAACAGTACTTATAGCCGAGATTATTTTCTCCATAAACTTCAAGCAGGGTAGACTTGTAAAACTTCGAAATCTTGATCTAGATGATCAGTGCCCCTATACTTTGCTTGTGCTTTTTACTTTTTGAATCGATTCTGCACAAAACTTAATATAAATCTAATTAAAATGGTTATTATCTAGTAGTTTCTATAAAGTAATTTTTTAAGTATAAATCATCAATATTTTTAGGGTAAAAAAGCTGGCTATTTTATGCCAATACATGAAGGTGCACCATCTTCAGACCAATACGAAGGTGCCACTGTAATTGAACCAAAACGTGGTTACTACAAAGATCCAATTGCTACGCTCGATTTTAGTTCTTTATATCCAAGTATTATGATTGCACATAATTTATGTTATACAACGTTGTTAAGAAAGAATATGAAAGACAGATTGGGGTAATTTCTTCAATTAAGAATTTTTTAATTTATTTTCAAACCAATTTTAGATTAACTCCTGATAAAATAACGACTACACCAAACGAACACATGTTTGTTAAAACTTCGGTTCGTAAAGGCTTATTGCCAGAAATTTTGGAACAATTATTAACTGCCAGAAAGAAAGCTAAAGCAATGTTGAAAGATGAAAAAGATCCTGTGATGAGAGCTGTTTTAGATGGTCGTCAATTAGCTTTGAAAATCTCTGCAAATTCGGTTTATGGATTTACTGGAGCTCAAAATGGGAAATTACCTTGTTTAGAAATATCTGGGGTATTTTCTTTACCTTTTCTTCAAGAAAATATGATTTATTATATTATAATTTCAGAGTGTAACAGCTTATGGAAGATCGATGATTCATCAAACGAAAGAAGAGGTGGAACAACATTATTGTTTGAAAAATAATTTTCATGCTGACGCTGAAGTTATTTACGGCGATACAGATTCTGTTATGGTTAACTTTAAAGTAAAAACATTAGAAGAAGCTATGGAATTAGGAAGACAAGCAGCTGAACATATCAGCGAAAAGTTTATTAAACCCATCAAATTAGAATTTGAAAAAGTATTTTTTATGTTTCATTAATTCTTTTAATAAACCAATTTTTTTAGGTGTATTACCCATATTTATTAATAAATAAAAAAAGATACGCTGGTTTGTATTTTACAAGACCAGATAAATATGATAAAATGGACTGTAAAGGTATAGAAACAGTAAGAAGGGATAATTGCACTTTAGTTGTAGATGTTATCAATACATGCCTTCAAAAATTGCTTATACACAAGTAATAACATCAACAAATTATATTTTAAATCTATATGATTAAAAACATCTTTTTAGAGATCCTGAAGGAGCTATCGCTTATGTAAAACAAATTATTAGTAATCTATTGCAAAATAACGTTGATATTTCACAATTAGTAATCACCAAAGAACTTACAAAAGAAGACTACGCAGCGAAGCAAGCTCATGTTGAGTTAGCAAAAAAAATAACAAAAAGAGATCCAGGAAATGCCCCAAAATTAGGAGATCGAATTCCTTACGTTATCATAGCAGCAGCAAAAAATACCCCAGCGTTTCAAAAAGCTGAAGTAAAAAAGTTATTTTTATTTTTAATAATATCTAACTTTCTTTACTTTTTAGGACCCAATTTATGTTTTAGAGAATAGTATTCCAATCGACACCGTTTATTACTTAGAAAATCAACTTTCCAAACCTCTCATAAGAATTTTCGAACCCATTTTAGGCCCAAACGCCGAATCGGATCTTTTAAGAGGCGAACACACGCGAAAAAAGACTGTTGTTACATCAAAAGTGAGCGCATTAGCAAGATTCACCGAGAAAAAAGAGACTTGCCTTGGTTGTCGAACCGTTTTAAAAGGCGATTATGAAAAGGAAGCTTTGTGCCAATATTGTAAACCCAAAGAAATGTCTTTGTATATTAATGAATTGGAGCAGCACCGACAGTTAGAGAGTCGCTTTTCCGCTTTATATACAGAATGTCAACGTTGTCAGGGTTCTTTACATGAAGAAGTACTTTGTACAAATCGAGATTGTCCTATTTTTTATATTCGTAAAAAAGTTCAAATGGAATTAGAAACTACTGAAAAGAAAATTTGTCGTTTTGGTGTATTGGAGGAGGATTTTTAATTAATCCTAATGATTGTTTTAATTAAACTTAATGTTATAATAAACAAAATCACTGTTTTCTTTATTTTGAATATATAGAGATGAAGTCTCACAATGCACCTGAAATGTTCCAAAAAGATGAATAGAATTGAAGTCAGGATTTTTTGTGTATAGAAACAATTATTGTTAATTTTGAAATGTTTTTTTTAATACTCATGTAAGTTATTACAAAAATGTAGTGTGAAACTCGCTTCATGCTCCAATCTCAAACAAAAAAAAATCTATACACCAAGGCAAAGACAAGAAGATGTGAAGAAATAACAGATTTGGAATGAACGAAATTATATGAAAAAACATTTAAAAAATAAATACACTAAAATACATTTTTATATATTCAAAATAAATCTGTAACTTTATCTCGTTTTTCTTGTGTTAAAAACTAAGCCTTTTTAAAAGAATTTTGCACATAAATTATTATTAGGTAGAATTATTACGACTGGAAAAAAGTTCAATTAAACAAGGACTAGAACATAATTTAAAAGATGCTGTGTTATTTTTTATTTTGCAATGCGTTCGCCAGCCAATCCATCGCTTGGTCCAAACCTTCACCTTTTGTAGCAGACGTCTTAAAAATTTGGAATGTCCTATTTTTTAATGCTTCTAGCCCTAACGCTTGGTGTACTTCGGCTACTGTCATACATCCAGCCATATCTTGTTTATTTGCTAATACAACTAAAATTGCATCCGATAACTCCTCTTCCTAAAATCCGATATAATAATTACATAAAATACAAAAATATTGATTTAATATTACCCTTAACATATGAAATAATTCTTCTTTTGAAATTCCTATTCTTTCTTTATCAGCAGAATCAACAACGTAAATAATTGCGTCTGTATTACTATAGTAACACCTCCAATACGGTCTGATACTCGTTTGTCCACCTAAATCCCAAACTTGAAACTTTAAGTTTTTATATTGGACTTGCTCAACATTAAATCCTATTGTGGGAATAGTCGTAACTACTTCCCCAACTTGAAGTCTGTATAAAATGGTCGTTTTTCCAGCCCCATCGAGGCCTAGAATTAATATTCTCATCTCCCTGGCACCAAGAAGTCCACGAAAATAACTCCATAGTCCGCCTACAAAGTTAACATAACCTTTAATTATCAGATTAATGTGCATATTACGAAATCGGTTACCCATTTTAATTCCGTTGTAAAACTAGGATACGTCCGTTATTTGATCGTTTCGCTTCGAATTTCCTTTAATTCGATTTCATCGTTTTGGGTAAAACCGCTTCTCGAATAACATTTAACCGAAATTGACGTGTACAGTTGTAGCTGTCATTTTTTATTACCAACTGTTAATTGTGAAAATTACTATGTGTAGATAATTCACTAAAATTTAATAATTATTGTTTAATTTTTTAAATAGTTTATTATTTAATAATGGCAAAATATTTATTATTTTCATATAAAGTGTTAGTTTACATACTTTATAATCGACTAACAACATACTGTGTTGTTGGCTTTTTTGACACCCACTTATTTATAAATTTTAAAAGTGCCTATGATAGTGTAGAGTGTAGATAAAAGGTTAAATGTATTTAATAAAATTAGTAAAAGTAACACTCTTACAAATTGAGTGTAAAGTGAAGGTCCAAAATAATTTATCAAGATCCTTTCAGACAGGTGTGAGGATCACCAAGGAGATACCCTATCATGCCTACTATCGCTCTGGAGAAGGCTGTAAGAGAATCAGGTATAGCAAATACGGCAGTGTTTCTTAATAATTAATAGGATGGTTGATGTTGCTTCTTCCTAACAAGATTTCTAATGTTTGGATAACTTTCTGATAAAGCACATCATAAGTCATGCTCTATGCTGACCCGATTCCTCAATTTTGTTTTGATAGAAACCAAAGTTGAAAATCCGATCTCACTTAAAGTCTTGTCAGCTAAAATACAATATTCGCTCCGCATTTTTGTCCAAAACGTAACTAGGTCACAACTTTGGAATTCCACCTTTGAGGTGCTGCCTTCGCGTAGTTTGAGAAACTGAACTTTAGCTGAAACATCTTCATCTTTCAAGATTTCTTCATCTGTAGAAAATGGTCTCAGTATCCAAGATGAAGTTTCTCTATATCCGGGAAATATAGGTTCAACAAATTTATCAAAGAAGTTAGGTGCTGAACTATGGAATTAGTGAAATAGTATATTTCTTCGTTGTATGCGATTAATGTTTCGGACAAGTGCGTGAACATGGATATGTCACCAATTTGAACTCTACGTTTGCGGTTAGAAAATTTGAAGTTAGCGTCTTAACACATTAAGGACAGCAGAGAAATCAGTAAGACAGTAAGCCAAGTTAACAGCCAAGACATATCGGGGTATCATGCAGTGATAAGTGAAGCATTTTGGGGTAACTTGTTTCACTAATGTTTGAAAACCAGAACGAACACCCATCATGGAACGCGCACCGTTAGTACACATGCTAACTAACGATGACCACTTCAGATCCTTTTCTTCAATAAACTGTTTTAGAGAGAAAAATACATCTTTATCGCACGTAGCGGTGGGTAGCTATTTAGAAAAAAAAATCTTTAACACGATCATCTTTAACCCTTCGTTAATCACCTATAGGTTAACGAGACCTATGGGTTACTACATCGTATGAATTACAAAAATTAGTTAAGGTATAACGCTGTATCTCCGTGACATCTCAGAATGCTCCGTTAGTTATCTTGTCACGAACTCATACATAGAAATTCACACTAGTTTCTCATGAATCGGGGGATTTACCGGTCAGTTGAGCCGGACTGTTTTATTTTTTTAATTTATTGTACGATAATTACGTAAACTTCCTTATTTTAAGATATAAATGGATAAAAACAGTAGTGCTTGAATAAAAATTATGATAAAATGAATAAATATAGCAGCAAAGTGAATATAAATAGTAGTGAAACGAATAACTCTAAAGTAATACGACGAGATTCATCGTATTACTTTTGAACATGATCTTATAAATGTAGTGCCCGAAGAAAACTTCGAAGATTCAGAAGAGGATAATTTAGAAACCAGATGCGTTGATTCGGATACTGACCATGATATCGACGAAATAGACATAGAAGCTTTAGAAGCCGAAGAAAATATAAAAAGTGATAACTTTTATAGTGGTAAGTAAAAGTTAGAATTTTTTAGTTTTTCTTGGTAAGTCCGGTTCATCTTTGCCATAGGGAGAGATGGTACTCAATGGAGGAAAACACCATGGAAGAATACACAAGCACTCTCACATAATATATTAGTCAAATCATCCAGGCGCGTTGCTTCAGCAACAAGACACGCAAAAAAAGAAATCGCCTGTTGGTGACTGTTTTTCGACGATGAAATAGTAAATTTTGTAGTACAAAATACGAATATTTACATAAATAGTATCAAGGAAAAGTTTCTCCGTGATATAGATTGTAAAGAAACCGATCGTATAGATATTGAAGCTTTTCTGGGTCTTTTATACTTGGCAGGAGTATTTCGAGGCAGTCATCAAAGCCTTGGTGATTTTTGGTGGCTTTGGAAAAGAAATATTCCGTATGGTGATGTCTAAAACAAGGTTTAGATTTCTTCTAAGATGTATTCGTTTTGATGAAAAAGCAACCCAATCTCAAAGGAGTACAACAGATAAATTAGCTGCTATAAGAAAAATATTCACTCCTTTTGTGGAAAATTGTAAGTCTTGTTACCGCCCTGGAGAAAATGTAACTGTCGATGAAATGCTTCCAGCATTTCGAGGACGATGTGGATTTAGACAATACATTCCTTCCAAAGCCAAGTAAATATGGAATCAAAATCTTTTGTCTAAGCGATGCTAAGGTATGTATTTTATACTTATAATATGGAAATTTATTGCGGTCAGCAAGGTGAAGGGCCCTATAAACAGAACAATTGTGCTAGCAGTTTAGTACTTAGATTGGCAGAACCAATATTGGAAACTGGTAGAAATATTACCGCCGATAACTAGTTCACCAGTTTAAAACCTGTGATGGAATTAGAGAAAAATAAATTATCTTATGTTGACACCGTACGAAAAAACAAACAGGAAATTCCTTCCGCTTTCGTTTTACCAAAAAATGGGAACCAATATGATAGTCTTTTTGGATATAGCAAAAAAGAGACATTAGTATCGTATGTACCAAGAAAAGGCAGAATCGTTGTATTACTGTCAAGCTATCATACATCAAGTACTGCAATATCAACAGAAACAAAAAAAAACTCAGAAATAATACAATTTTATAATAACACAAAATCACGGGTGGACGTTGTTGATAAATTGTGTGCTACCTATAACACAGCACGATCTACACGAAGATAGCCAATATTTTACCACTTATTGAATGTGGCTGGCATTAACTCTGGATTAATATTTATCGAGAATAAGATAAATTATGTGCCTAGACGAGCTTACTTGAAAAGCCTTGCCTTGGCTTTAGCAACTCTTCATCTTGCAAGAAGATCTATTATGAAAACTTTACCTCGAAACTTACAAGTGTCTTTGGAGAAGTATAAGCCCCCAACACCAGCAAACGATAGGACAACTTCAAGTAAAAGAAAACACTGTGAACCTTGCTATAAAAATACCAAAGAACAATGTAAAATACAGTTCTCATGCGAAAAATATAATAAATCATTGTGCCTTCGACTACATACGAAAAAAGTTTGCTTGGAGTGTCTCATAAGCCAAACAAACGAAGATGATAAACAGGATGATTTTTAAATTAATCCTTTTTTATTTTATATTATAGATATAAATATATTATAAATTAATTTGTTAAACATAGTAACATTTATAAAGCATAAACATTATGTTTTCATGAATGTTTATTTTGTTCGCCTTTTTGATTTTGAACAGAATTGTGAACTAATTATATTGTGGGTAAACGTAATGGGTAGTCTATAACATACCCAGGTGACCAGGTGAAAGAAAGTCTAAAAATGCTGGGAGTTAGAAACTGAAAGGCCAAGGCACGTGATAGAAGAGAGTGGAAGATGATCATGTGGAACTATATTCGGTATTAAACACGATGGAGAAAATGTAGTAAAAGCACGCCAAAATTCTGTTCGCTATGCACAAATAATTACAGCTCAAAGTAGTTCACAACGGACACAGCGGAAGATATTTGTGTCACGATATCAGAATTACCATTGGTGTATCATGGTGTAATGCATCAACACAGTTACAACAGTGTAGATTGCACTGTGAAATTAAATAACGATTTTGCATTTAACAACGTTCTTATTTGATGCTTGTCTCTGTCTAAAGCTGTTGACAGAGTATTGTCATAATAGCCTGCAATCAAGCAGTATTTTCTAAATCAAGGACAAGACAATTGCGATGTTTTCATTTGGAAATTCATCAAGTCTCAGGAGAATGAATTGGAAAACGATTTAACATCACCATCTTTATCCGAACTTTACCTCTATTTCATTGCTCATTACCTTTCTTTTATGATTGAATCAATCTTATTAACAGAGAAGCAAGACGTAACTGCAACAGAACTTCATGATATTATGGTGATGGTTACAAATAAGTTAAAAACTCCATTACAAGACAATTTTTTTAGCAGTCAGGTTCGAGGGGTATCTAAGTCACTTCAAACATTACAAATTTATATTTGAGGTTGGAGAAGTTTATGAATGCACTTTGGAATATATTACAAAATACTATGATTTGGAAAATTCTACTTTTAAATATCTGTCTGCTCTTAATATAAAAAAGAATAATTTAGATTTTGAAAGCATTTTGAAAATTGCCTCAATTTGGAATATAAGAACGCTTTTGTGGAACGAATATTTTCAATAATGGAATCGAATAAATTCAGAAATCGCTTTACTTTGATATGTAAGTATAAAATAAGAAACTTTGATATGGACTGTGACAAATTCTATCAATATTTAAAATTTCCAAAACAAAAACAAGTAGTGAAAAGTGCACAAAGTGACAAGAAATATAAGTTTAGAAAATGAATATAACAAGTATTCTAATTTAGGATTTTTGTCGTTCTTCGTTTTGTACTATACCAATGCTTGTTTTATTTTTGTTTTATACTACCTATGTTTCATAAAAAAACTCGTTGTTATAAAAAAAAAATAGTTTTTTGTTATATTTTATAAATAGTTTATATTTATTCACGATGCTATAGTAAATTTTACGGCATTTTTTTTTAGATTTGATTTATTTTTGTAAGTATTTTCTACGGTTTGACAATTCCACCATGTTGGTAATCCTAGATGATGATTCATTTTTATTTAAAATTTATTTTATTTTCATTGCGTGTAATTCATAGAATATGGAAGTATTATGTGTAAAAGAAAAAGATTCTTTTATAAAGTTATAAGAAACACCTTGGATTTTTATTATGCGAAAAGAATCTAAAAATAAAAAAAAAACGAAATGTTACCTAATCTTTAAACTTTACCTGACCTTTTATAAGCATACTTTTTTCAAGAATGGTTTTTAATAAAGACGGCGGAACAAGTTTTTCATATGAGTGTGTCCCAGGAGGAATAGTTTTAATTCCTTCTAAGAATAAAATCGCGTAAATTCTTGCTAAAAATGTCTTATTTATTGTAGTTATAACCAAAGAACCTCCTGGTTTTACTGCTTTTAAAGCTTCAGTAAGAAATTCTTCCACATTTGGAACATGTTCAACAAGTTCCGATGCTACAAGAACATCAAATTCATTTTTATGTTTATTACAAAATTCTTCAACAGTCGTGCAAAAATAAGAAAGATTTTTTAAATTTTCATTTTTTGAAGCATGTTCTTTGGCAACTTCGATTAATTCTTCGGCCATATCAATTCCTGTAACTTGTAGTTTTAATTTTGACAAAGATTCAGCCAAAATTCCTCCTAAAATAAGTTATTGTTTAAAAACAAATTGAATGAAAATTAATTAAAAAATACCTCCACATCCAACTTCCAACAACTTAATATCTTGGAAAGATTTTGGAGATGAATCAATTTTTGAATTTTCCATTGCATATTCTATACTTTGTTTTATAAATGGTATTCGAACTTTATTCATAAATTGAAGAAGCCTCATTGGACCTTTAATATCCCACCAATAAGATGTGAATTTAGAAAAGTGTTGAAGCTCGTTGTAGTCCACAGTTGAACTTAAAAAAAAATAATTAAATGATTTTTACATAAAATTAATTATGATAAAATTACCTATAATTTGATACATTTAATCGAATTCTTTTGAATAAAGAATTTGAGGAATGTATTCTTGGAAACATTTCTGAGTAAATTAAGAATGTATTTTTGAGTTGCATAAACTGTTTAATCAAGATAAGCTACAATATAGTGCGGTTATTATGCTAGTTTTATATTAATTGTTGTAATTGTTCATTGTCGCTTAATCTTACGATTTATGTTTTTATTTGCTACTTTTAACAGCTTGTAATCCATAGAACACAGTAGAATTATCAGATAACGACCATTTTTCACTTAAAAAATTGTACCACATTCCTTGCTTTCGAACAACACGACAAGAATCTAAAACATTTTTTTTATCAAGTGTTAGATTTTTCTGTTATCTTTTCTACATTAACAAAATAAAACGAATACTTACTTTTTTCAAGTATATTTTTTAAAGTTTCTGGTGAAACAAATTTTTCATAAGAATGAGTTCCTCGTGGAATTATTTTTACACCCTCCAATAAAGATATAGCGTAAAATTTAGCTAAAAGAGTTTTGTTGATAGTGGTGATAATGGCGGTTCCCCCCGGTTTTAATCCATTTAAAGCTTTAGTTAAAAAATGTTCCACGTCGGCGACATGTTCAACAATTTCGGATGCTACAACAACATCAAAATGTTCTTTGTTTTCTTCGCAAAAATCTTCAACGTTTGCAAAATAATAATTTAAATGTTTTAAGTTTGTATTATTGGAAGCGTGATGTTTGGCTACTTTTATTAAATTTTCGGCCATGTCAATTCCTGTTACTTGTAGTCCTAAGTTAGATAAAGGTTCCGATAAGATTCCTCCTATTAAACAAATTATTAAAATAAGCTAAAAATTAAGATAAATAAGATTTACCTCCACATCCAACGTCTAATAATTTGATATCATTGAAGTTTTGAGGGAAACCTTGATTTTTTATTCCATATTGAATACATTCCTTTATAAAAGGCACCCGGATTTGGTTTAGCGCATGAAGAGCTTTAACTGGTCCTTTTTCATCCCACCAATTCTTTGATTGTTGATCAAAATGTTTTACCTCACTTGTATCAGAATAAGAAAGTTTTGTGGATGACGAAATATTTCTAAATATCGATTATTTCTTTTTGTTATTGCTAAAAACGTTTTATATAACTTACCTCATGATATCAAAAAATTGAGATTTTGAAACAACATCGTTTCTAAGTAAAATTCTCGAACACATTTTTATCAAAATATAAATAGTAATGAATCTCGATTGTTGTTGATGAATAAAAATACTAAAATAGAATCAGGTTATTTAGGAATTTATATATCTGCTGGAACATTTAATTTCATAACTTTTAGAAATTTTGTGTACGAAATCGATAACGTAATAATTCATGATAATGGGAACATGTTATGTAATTCGAAAATTTGGAGTAGAATTATATCATATTAACAGTGTGGAAGTTGAGAATTAAAAAAAATTGTTTGAATTAATACAAGAAGAACACTCGGATTAATAATTAAAAATAAATAATAGTTACGCTTTATTTCCAGGATAGAATTACATGCCAATATTTCGCATGTGAAAGAAGTATTGCTGTTCTAATAAATCCTTAATCCTATTCTGGAAATAAAGCGTGACTTTTAGCGAGGTGAAAATCGTCTGCTTAAAAATAGATAATAAAATTAAATCTTACATATTATGCAATACTTAAGACGTGATCTAGACGAAGTGATAAACGAACTTATAAAATATGGATTGAATAAGTAAATAAATAAACAGAGCTTCAGAAGACACAGATCCATAGAAAGTCAAAAGTAATACAGGAAATCCAGGTTGGATCAGCTGTTCGCCAAGAAGAGACAGCCTCCTAACCTTGCTTGTTTATCTCATTACGAAGAAAAGTCGAAAATGCTAAAGAAACTACAAGAGGATACGCAGACTACATAGTACTCCTCGCCGACAGTGAAGATAATCTGCAGTGCCAACAGTTAAATATCAGTACCAAAAGAAGAAACAACCAAACTATAGAACAACCCATGTCATTTAACTATTTCTAGCAATTGAAAAATCATAAAGGCAAGGAAAGTTGGGTGCTCATGGGACGTAAAATGGCAAAACAAAGCAGCTATAAACAGCAGCTGAAACAAGAGCAGACATAAACAAGATGAAGCAAATTTTGAGAAGTTTTGAAAAGGTGGACAGAATAAGGAGTGACGAAATATGGCACACATATGAGACATCATTTAGTGTGCTCGGCAGAAAGAGATACTGGTTAATAATTAATTTTACAAGAAAAGCTTTTAATTTGTTAAATGATGAGGCGTTAAAACGCCCACATCTCTTAAGAAATGGTGCCTTTGACCGTGACAGAAAACGAAACCGACAAAACAATAATGGGAAATGTACCCATATTCTATTGTCTGAAGAGTCGACGTGCTCGTCTATGGCTTTTCATTCAGTTGGTAACAGTTCTTCTCGCCAGTTTCTGCCTGCCGTTCGTTATCCTCACACCAAACGATGCGTTGCCACAAAAATTGCTCTTGCATCCTGTGTTTAGAACTAACTGGTTGCGAGGCGAACATACTCGACCAGAAACACGACACTAATTTTATTCTATCGTCGAGGCAGCAACAACAAACAGAAGCCAAAAGTTACACGTTCTTCGGCATGGACCAGTGAGGATGCAGAAAGAAGACAAAAACCAAGAAGAGTCGATAAAACCATATACAGAGTGTCCCGAAACTCAACGTCAAGCGAGCACCGGGTGAGAGGCCAACTCATACCTCTTCTGGTAAAAAAATTCTATGTCTCTTAGTTAAGTGGTAATAGACATATTTTTGAAAATGTTAAAAATCGTTTCCGTACATCATATCAAAACATATACAGTGTGTCCCCGGATTGTGTCCCCGTAAGGTATAATTTACGATAAATTTTTGAATTCAAATTCCATCTTTTGCAATTAAAGTCTGGATGTCATAAAATGAAATATAACCAAGTTTTATGTTAAATGTCCTCAAAGTACCAAAGTTAACGCAAGAAGTTTGTTAATCGTTGCAGGTAAAGTGGTCTTTCTGAGCAATATACAACAAAACTTGATTAAGATAAAATGTTTGTTATGTTAAATTATAGCGATATGCTAAATTTAGAAAAAATGAGTTTTTTCTTGAAAATTTTTTTTAATATTCCGTTTTACAATAAAGACAGAGAGATCTGAGTGAACTATCAATTATCATTTGATAGCTTAGCTTTAACCTATTGTCAAATATTACTTGATCCTGTTTACATTACAACGTTAAATATTTATAGTGCAGTGCTATGGATTGAGGAACATTAGTTACAATGCAGTTTTAAGGCAATTTGAGGAAAAATTTGGATTTTTAGTAGATAAAAAAACAATTAAGAGTGTTGTTAAAAATTTTCGGAAACGGGCAATGTGGAAAATAAAAGGAAGGAAAAAAAGCTTTCAGATTTACATGATGCGGGGTCGATTGTTGCAGTAACGAACGCAATGGATTACGGTAAGGTGTCGCTAAGAAAAAGGGCAGTTCAAGTCGGTATAAGTAAATCCCATTTACAAAGAATTTATCAACAAAAGAAAATATTGCTGTATAAACCAAAATTTAACCACACTATCGAATTAGGTGATGAAGCAAAACGTTTAGATTATTGTTTGTGGCTTGGGTACAAAATTTTGAGACAGAACTTTTTTAAAAAACATAATATTTTCGGACGGAGCATCGTTCACCACTAATAGAGTGGTTACATCACAAAATTGTCGATTTTGGTCAAAGACTAATTCACATTATCGCATAGCTTGTAAACGTCAGTATTCCCAGAAAGTGAATGTGTGGTGTGCTGTTTCGTGAAACGGTGTTATTGGACCTTACTTCATAAACGGCAATTTGAATCAACATCGATATTTGGAAATACTAGAAAATTATATTAGCAATAAATTATATTTTCAACAAGATGGTTGCGGCCCACATTCGACCATTTTAATTAGAAATTTGTTAAATACGTTATTTGGAAAAAATGGATTGGCAGATATGGTCCGCAACCATAGCCGCCAAGAAGTCCGGATTTATCTATTATGGATTTTTATTTTTGGGGTTATGTAAAACAAAAAGTGTACACTAAAAATTTTAATAACAATTTAGACACTTTAAAACAAAAAATTGAAACTGTTATTAGAGAAATTCCGTTGGACCATATTAGAAAAAGTTATAAATAATGTCGGAAAAGGGCTGAATTATGTGTTAGTGTTGGTGGTATCATTGAATAAGCTTTTATGTTAATTTAGCTTAGATCGAAAATGTTTTGTTAATCTTATGATTTAAAAATCTGCATTTTGCTTTTATATCCTAAATTAATAAAATTCGGCATATCGCTATAATTTAACATAACAAACATTTTACTTAATCAACTTTTGTTGTACATTGCTCAGAAAGACCACTTCGCCTGCAACGGTTAACAAACTTCTTGCGTTAACTTTGGTACTTTGAGGACATTTAACGTAAAACTTGGTTATATTTCNCGAGGCGAACATACTCGACCAGAAACACGACACTAATTTTATTCTATCGTCGAGGCAGCAACAACAAACAGAAGCCAAAAGTTACACGTTCTTCGACATGGACCAGTGAGGATGCAGGAAGAAGACAAAAACCAAGAAGAGTCGATAAAACCACCGGGTGAGAGGCCAACTCATACCTCTTCTGGTAAAAAAATTCTGTCTCTTAGTTAAGTGGTAATAGACATATTTTTGAAAATGTTAAAAATCGTTTCCGTACATCATATCTAAACAAAGAAGTAGTACAACACCCTTGGCAAGTTATTTTAAAAAATGGCCTGTTTAGTCTAGATATACAGTGTGTCCCCAGATTGTGTCCCCGTAAGGTATAATTGACGATAAATTTGTGAATTCAAATTCCATCTTTTGCAATTAAAGTCTGGATGTCATGAAGCGAAATATAACCAAGGTTTACGTCAAATGTCCTGAAAGTATCATAGTTAACACAAGAAGTTTGTTAACCGTTGCAGGTAAAGTGGTCTTTCTGAGCAATGTACAACAAAAGTTGATTACGATAAAATGTTTGTTATGTTAAATTATAGCGATATGCCGAATTTTATTAATTTAGCATATAAAAGAAAAAATGAGTTTTTTCTTGAAAATTTTTTTCTAATATTCCGTTTTACAATAAAAACAAATGATCTGAGTGAACTAACAATTATCATTTGATAGCTTAGCTTTAGCCTATCGTCAAATATTAATTAATCATGTTTACATTACAAGATAAAATATTTATAGTGCAGTGCTATGGATTGGGGGGAACATTAGTTACAATGCAGTTTTAAGGCAATTTGAGGAAAAAGTTGGATTTTTAGTAGATAAAAAAACAATTAAGAGAGTTGTTAAAAAATTTTCGGAAACGGGCAATGTGGAAAATAAAAGGAAGGAAAAAAAGCTTTTAGATGAGCATGATGCGGGGTCGATTGTTGCAGTAACGAACGCAANTCGGGATCAATTTGTTTCAATTTCCTTTTGTTGAATTTTTTTTTATTACCGAATATTTTCTACAGTTTTTTTTTATTTTCATTTTAAAGTTAATTTTAACGTCTCCCAAAACAGTGGGTTTCCCATTTATTTAAATTTGAGTTATAAGTTATAATACTTTAGTTTATATTTTCGAATCTTCATTTTTTTTATTATTCAATTTCTTTCTACAATTCAATTTTTGTTTTTAATAAACCAAATTATTTTTTTTTGTAATATCAGGTGTTTTATAGAAATTTTGTATATGTGATCCTTGTGTGCCTATTCCTATTCCTGAACATCTACATTTCGTAATTGATGGACATCGCTGTAATAAATTACGTGGCGCCAGATAAAAATTAACGAACCTCCCCGTCTTCACTGAGCTAGTTGAGGTTCGGCGGTGTTTTCATTTTTTTGGGTTAGCACGGAAGGGTTAAGGGAAAACCATCTTGGTCAAAAATTTTTTTTTTGTTGATTCCGGTACGTAACGGCGTTATACTCTTTAAGAGCATCTGTTATGTTATCAATGTCCGGAGATTGTACTTTAAGGCAAAGTAAATCTTCGAGAGCTGGGCTTCAAATGCATGTGGGGAGATTTCATCGTTGGATGACAGATGTTAAATAAGCTAGATTTATTCATGAGTATATAGCAGTTTATCTTTGCGCTGGATTAGAAAATTTGCTAGAAGAAATTTTTATGCAATGTTTTCCATTTGACTCGGATGTTACAACTCTTCTAGAACATGCCATTGCCAATAATTTAGATTTATGGGGGTTACTTCAACCTTATGCTCATTTAAATGCGGGAAGTATCGCTTGAGGTTAAATAAAATAATTCTAATGGTTTATAATATTGTGAGGATTTTTTTTGTCTAGGTGCTTTTGCTTTATCAATATGGGCTTCAGTATCCAGTGTGGGTTCCAGTAGGGATTCAGAGACAGGTTCTCCTGAGCCATCTTTAATGTCGATTTGTGTAGTATCTTTGAATGAACTTCAAGATGTTATTAGCAGGATGTAACCAAGAATTCCTTTGTGTCCAAGTTGAACAACTTGAACATGGGGAACAAGGGGGGAGCTCTGTACAAGTAAATAAATCATCAATGCAATGAGATGATTAATTTTTTTTCTGTAGGAATTATATTATGAAAGACCATATGTTGTGCATCCTCCATTAGTTGAATGGCTTCGCGTTGCAACCGCCGATGGGGAACAAGATACGCAGCTATTTTAGATAAAGATGATATCATGCAAGCAGCTCGATTATTGCTATCTACCGGTAGTTGATTGTCCAGTAAGACCGTTTGGAAGAACCTAATTATATTTAATGTATATCTGGTGTCACAGATGGGGGAAAACCCGAGTTAATTGAAACGTGTGTCCCCGAAAGATATTTATCGCAAAAATTTAAAAAAATTATCAGTCATATTGTTTCGCTGACTCAAGCTGAATAAATCGATTTATTCTTATCAAACCCGATAGGAAATAAAAAAAAACAACTATATGTATATGTTACTTGGTGTTTTCATAGAATTATGTTTCTAATTTTTAATGTTTCAACAAAAATTAACCACGATCATAATATAAATATCGCCTACTTCAAATAAACAATGAATTTTATAGATTTACTCATTCAGAAAACGTACTTTATAACTGCTGCAGCAAAACCGATTGGGATTGTTCATACTTGTGTTTATTAAAATTGGTTAAAGGTGATTAATTTTTTGCGATACTAAACCCCTCTCCTACCAAAATATCATTAGTGTGGAATCAAATCGTGTTTTAACACACATATAATTTAGAAAGTGGGTCAGTTAAGAGCCAGTCGTCGGGTTTTGTATTTTTAGCGATGTGTGAGACGAAGAAGAAAACGCCCTACCAAGGTAAGAGACGGTGTTTCGGTGAGTTCAAGTGTCCCAAATGCGAGAAGGTATGGACTTCCGGTAATTCTTGGGCTAATATGGGGCAAGAATGTAAATCGTGCTACATTAATGTTTATCCGCAAAAACAGGTAATGTAAATGAAGAAGGAAGCTGTATTTTTTAGTAACGTGCGTTGGGTTGAGAGTATTTCTTGTTTTTTGACTTTTTAGTGGCGTCTTAGAAAAAGAAAATCGACTAAATCATCATCTGCACATCTTAGGGATCTTTGCGAAAAGTGTAAAGCTCTCGGATTTTCTTGTATTAATTATAGAAGAAGAGGGACCTAATTTTTATTTTTACTATCAGTACATTTTTTATATAAATAAAAGAAATAATTAGAAAGTAAACTGTAATTAAAAAAAATACATTAATGAAACATAAATATAAAGATATAAATAAAGAAAAAACAAGAAAAAATAATAAACAGTGTTTTATCCAAAAAGAAAATATTGCACCGTAAATACGGAATAACAAAAAATAAGCCTATTTACAAGAAAATAATTTCAGTCGAATTTATTTTAAAACGCTTGATTGCATTTTGGAACTTTGACCTCTTCGATTTTGTATCCGATTCTGTAAGGTGTGAAGTAATCCTGTTAAAACATCGTGATTCGGCAGCTTTTTAGCAAAAAGTAGTCTTTTTACCGAATCGTCATAAGTAAGTAGTGCAACCATATTTTGCAATAAAAACCCTTGGCAATATTCTAATAATTGCATAGCGTTATAAACTTTTGCGTGAATATACATCGAAACAACATTATCCAAAGCTAACATCGCGGCACATCTGCTCTCGCAATATCTTAAAAGACCATCTAACTGAAAAAAATTTGCTGCTGCCATTAACTCCAATACATCTTCAGGGGCAGGTTCCAAAGTCTGGCAACCTCCTTGATACAAAAATTGCATTACAATCTACAAATAAAAAAATAATCTCCAAATTAAAAATAAAAAAAAAAAAATACTTGGAAAATATGATATCGAATATCATTAATTTGCACAGTTGGAAGTCCACCTTCACATAATTTCGAACTTAACATCGCTCTTAATCTTGGACTTGCCGTCACCAAAACGATTTTGTGCGCGTAAAATAATCTTCCTTCAACGCGAAATGTAACGTCGCTTAACTCGGGGTTATTAACATATTTCGGATCGATTCTAGAACTTGATGGATTCGAAAGTGTGCATTCTTTGATGGGTTTAATTGGTTCCCATCCGAAACACGTCGAGAAAATATCTGCCAATAATAAAGTTGTTCCTTCCTTCTATTAAAAAAAAAAAACAATAAAATTAAAATTCTTAAAATTCCATCAAACTTACTTTGCTATATCTAAATATGTTAAAAAGTAATGGTAAACATTCTTGTACAAATTGCGAACTATAATCATCAGGACAAACTTGTAAAAAATCTTGTAAAAGCTGATCGATAACGCAATCTAATCGAGCTTCATGAGCCGCGCTTAAAGAATGCATCCAACAATGTAAAGTCCATGGGATTCCCAAAGATCTAATTTCAACTGTAATATCGAGATGATTATTTTCTGCGCTATGATACATGGCTTCTTGTAATGATTTAATTTGGGTTTTGCTAAATTCTGGGGTGGCATTTGAAGGACTCGATCGATTTGTCGCGGCACCTTCCGCCAACATCTCTTCCAGCGATAAAACCTCTTTATTTACAGAAGTCATTGGTTGCGATAATAACTTTTGCAATAAACTTCTTTGACCGTGTGCTGCAGCTACAGATATGGCACTATAACAACCTCTTTGAGCAGATTGTGAGTAACACAAACTGTCTTTTATTTGGGTTGATAAAAAGGGATGAGCTCCGTTTATTAAGAGAAGAGAAACAAGGTCGTTACTTCCACTGCTACACGCAAGCTAAAAAATTTATTTTTGTAACATTGTAAGGTTATGGTTAGTGTTAAAATACTTGTAAAGGAGTTAAAGTGCACTTATCTTCTGATAATTGTGCTCCCCCTTCAACACTAGCACCTCTTTCTAGCAACAATCTAGCGCATCTAACATGTCCTTTTGCCGCTGCATATGAAAGGGCTGTCCAATGTTGAGTCTCCCCATTTATTGCTGAAAAACCGGGTGTTGCACTTGGCGGGGTTTCCGCGTCAACTGAAGCACCAGCATCTAATAAAGCCTGAAACGCAATCAATTTGTGTAATGATAAAATATTTTTGTAACTTACAGTTAATGTAATATCATCATTGTTTAAAGTGGCCAACATTAAAGCTGTATGTCCTTGTTGGTCTAATGTATCAAGTCTTGTTGAAGAAGGTAGTAAAGGTATGGCTTGTTGGATGAGTTCTGGTCGTCCAGTTAACATTAATCTAAAAGCTAACTCAACCTGGAAATTAAAAAAAAAATATTACAAGAAAGGACTCAATATATATTTTACGTGTATTTGTCTTGTTGCTTCAATGTGATCATCTTCGCATCCGGTTAAACGTCTAACTCGAACTGCTTCTTCACCAAACGGTCTTACTGGACAATCAACTCCTGGTAGAAGTAATCGGGCTGCTTGCATGATATCATCTTTATCTAAAATAGCTGCATATCTATGTTCCCCATGGGCAGTTGCAACGCGAAGCCATTCAACTAATGGAGGAAGTACAACATATGCTCTTTCATAACATAATTCCTACAGAAAAAGAAATTATAATCATTTCATTGCATTGATGATTTATTTACTTGTACAGAGCTTCCCCCTTGTTCCCCATGTTCAAGTTGTGAACACCTCATAAAATAAAACAATGCCCGAACAGCTCTTGGGCACAAAGGAATTCTTGGTTGCATCCTGCTAATAAGATCTTGAAGTTCATTCAAAGATCCTACACAAGTCGTCATTAAAGATGGTTCAGGAGGACCTGATCCTCTCCCTGAATCCCTACTGGAACCCACACTAGATACTGAAGCCCATCTTGGTAAAGCCAAAGCACCTACACAAAAAAATCCTCACAATATTAAAAACAATTAGAATTGTTTTATTTAACCTGAAGCGATCCTTCCCGCATTTAAATGAGCGTAAGGTTGGAGTAACCCCCATAAATCTCCATTATTAGCAATGGCATGTTCTAGAAGAGTTGCAGTAAGTGTAACATCCGAATCAGATGGTAAACATTGCATTAGAATTTCTTCTAGCAAGTTTTCTAATCCAGCGCAAAGATAAACGGCTGCATACTCATGAATAAATCTAGCTAATTTAACATCTGTCATCCAGCGATGAAATCTCCCCACATGCATTTGAAGCCCAGCTCTCGAAGATTTACTTTGCCTTAAAGTACAATCTCCGGACATTGATAACATAGCAGCTGCTCTTAAACAAGCTTTGATACAAGAGTCAGCTAAAGGTGGGCAAAGAACGATTCTAAATGATAATGTAATATCGTGTTTAGTGCATATCCCGAGATTTGAAGCTAATCTTTGCGTTTCCCTTCCGATTCTAACTAAAGCGCGTTGTAATAAATACGATAATCTTGGGATCGTTTCAACGCTAACTCTAGACATATGATCGCGACATCTTCCGGTTTGCAAAACCCTTAAGATGCAATGATTCGTCCATGGTAAATGTTGGAGTTCAACGAGTCTGTTGTGGGAATCGACCCAAACGAATTCATCGGCATTTGTTATGTTGGTGTTAATTGTTTCTAATGAAGAGTGTCTCATTAAACGTCTCATGGCTGGTTCTGAAGATTCTGAACCGGCACTTACGCTAGAGTATGTGCTTGTGGAGGTATGCGAGCGCATTGTTAATTGTTGAAGTGCGAGTTTTATATCTTCTAATCCACCATTTCCTGTCCATGGTACTTGAAGCTAGAAATTAAAAATAAAATCATAAGAAAGATGTGTGTATTTTTCATACTTTTGCCGGTGTTGCACGATGTCTAGATCGATTATGTTGACCATTAGTTCTTGTTCGCACCGGTTTTTGCACAACCCCACTATTTAAACGTTCCGGACAATTAGGAATACCTTTCGGAGATCCATTATTACTAGCATCTGACATGGATGCGTGTCCCGAAGATCGATTTTCATCTGATGAACTGTTACATTGCGCACGTTGTAGTCGAAGTTCTTGAACGCTAACATGGTGATGTGGTCGAGCTACGACTAATCTATGATTGTTGTTGATGATGGGTTCAACTTTCGGTCCAGTATCTCTTTCTGGAACCATATTTCCTGAACTATTCCCATAATGAGAATCAATAAGACATTTTGTGGTGGTATTTTTGTCGGTTTGTTCGCTAAACGATGAAGTTTTTACGTTGTTCGCCACGTAAAGATGTGGAAAGTGGTCCAGTTTTCGTTTCGGGGACACCATTCTTTCGGGAGAACCGTGATTATCGTGGGAGGAACAGATTTTAGTTGAACTGGGAATTTGATGGTCTTTATTTTGGTTATCTTGGGGCACATCAACCGGATGTTCACCTTTAGAGTTGTTTGATAATCTGAAATAAGTAAACAAAAAAAGATTTTTAATGAGAAAAATAATTTTTTTGGATGATTTCTACCGCTTGAAACTTATTTTATTGTAGATGTAAGCTTCAATTCCCAATGGGAAATCATCGGAACCTGTGTCGCTGTAACAATCCGGAAGTTGAACATCATTTATAAGTTGCGTTGCGTAACTATAAGTGTTTTTAAATAGAACGTTTACGATGTTACTCTTTTGAACCGAAGTTAAACTAGTTTCTTGGTCGATTAATTCATTTGCGACCACTTTTTCGCAATTTTCTTGATCATCAACGTAAATGATCGATTTATGTAAATTTGAAATCGTCTCACCAACTTTCTTCTCTTCAGATATATATGGTTTTATTGATTCTTCTTGGTTTTTGTCTTCTTCCTGCATCCGCACTGGTCCGTCCATGCCGAAGAACGTGTAACTTTTGGCTTCCGTTTGTTGTTGTTGCTTCGACGATAGAATAAAATTGGTGTCGTGTTTCTGGTCGAGTATGTTCGCCTCGCAACCTGTTAGTTCTAAACACAGGATGCAAGAGCAATTTTTGTGGCAACGCATCGTTTGGTGCGAGGATAACGAGCGACAGGCAGAAACTGGCCAGAAAAACGGTTACCAACTGAATGAAAAGCCATAGACGAGCACGTCGACTCTTCAGACAATAGAATATGGGTACATTTCCCATTATTGTTTCGTCGGTTTCGTTTTCTAAACTGCGCGCGCGAACTGTCACGGTCAAAGGCACCATTTCTTAAGAGATCTGGGCGTTTTAACGCCTCATCATTTAACAAATTAAAAGCTTTTCTTGTTTTCTTGTAAAATTAATTATTAATGCTAATTTTGCAAAAAATTGCAAAAATAATTGCATAACATTATTTTAAATTTTACCTATTTTCGATTTTTATGACTCTGTGTATATTTGGTTTTACAGCAATAGTAATTATAATGGTATGCAATAAAAAAGTTGATAATCATAAACAAAATGCCAAGAATTAACGACATTCCTTTCATGTTAGTTGATAAAAACTTTTTTGTAAGTATTTATTTTTAAATACAAATTACAAATTTGGTGTATTTGGAAATGGTTTTAATGTTAACTATCGGAAGTTCTTAAAACGAGCTTTTCACACACTTTCTTCAGTCGTTTTACTTTCTACGCCGCTCCTCTATTCGTTTTAGTTCTCATATTAGAACCCGTGCTCTAAGGAGATATCGGAAAAACAATACCCGAGTTAGTTCGGGAATGATGGGATTGTAGAAACAATAACTATTAGAAAATTAACCAGCGAAGATGGTAATTGTGTCAAGCGGACGAAGAAAGATCGTAAAATATAAAAGGTTTTATACCTTCTAGGTTTTGGTCTGAGGATTTCGTGATTTGCGTCGGTGATGCAAAGGGGGTTTAAAGGTCCTGAGAGGTGATCAACCCCTGTCCAATGCTCCTTAGGAGAGGCTGACTCCCACCCAGAAGGGGTTGACCTGCTTTGATGGGCCATTCTTCACATTCTTCCACGGTTTGAACACTCAATAAGAAAATACTCGACGCGTACGCGACGTATTTTTGAGAATTTCGGGCATTTCACTGCGATTCAATGTGGATTTCTGTCAGAAAGACACGCACGCACGGAGAGGACGAACGTTGGTAAACACGAGGGAATGGAGAAGTAAAAACAACGGTTGAGAGACGAAGAAGGCGCCTGCACTTGGTGAACCAATGCCGAGCGCCGCAAACAGGTTTTTGTGTGCTCAACAGGTAGTTTCGAGTCCTCCGAAAAATGACTTCGCTATCGAAACTCGCTGACATCGAGTCTGTTTAGGCCACGATTCATATTGCTAGATATTCTTTAATTAAAATATATTTCAATAAATTTTACTACCTATAATAATAATAATAATGCATCTTTATTGAGACCACAAAATAAATACAAGAAAACAATAGTAATAATTCTGATAAACATTAGACCTTTATTGATCTTAAATCCCTCGCGATCTCTTAAATCAGACTCAAATCTCAATCAAATCCCAAAATTATTCTAGGATTTTGCATAAATTTCCATTACTATCTAGTGTCTTTAACCATGTTTTAACAGTGAAAGCAGTGTTCCTCGAGCTGACACAAATGTGACGTTTAGAATTGCATTTTCTAAACTTTAAGCGCATAATACGTAAAACACTTTTGACTTATCGCATTATATCTCTTGTTAGCTGCACCATACGAATTCTAGAGCGATTATCATGACCATAATCTACAACTCGTTGGATTTCCGGGTTAGAGGGATTAGAGAGATTGATAATACCTCATATTTTATAAATAATTGTTGACTTTGGAATCTTATACCCACATTAAGTAAAGGTTTTAAAATCAACCTTTGGATTGTGCGTAACTTTTCTAAGTAAATATCTGAAGTTGCTCCCTAAGCAATAATGCCGTATCTCAAATTTGCTTCAACAATTGCAAAGTAATATTATTAAGTTGACCTCTTATGCCATAATGCTCAAGCTTGGCCAACAATTGCTTATGATCCTGTGTCAAATGCTTTACGCAAATCTAAAAATATTGCCTTACTTAGTACAGAGTGAATCATCGACACCACTACATACACATTTAGACTCTGCTTTCCCTAAAACCAAATTGGAAATCTGATAAGCTCTTAAAACGCTCTAGAAAACTATTTAGACAACGATAAAGAATTTTCTCAAATATTTTTGTAAAAGTCGATATTAAAGCTATGGGTCTATAGCAGAAATAGATATTTCAGATTTATGCTAATAAAGATATTTATGCTATGCTCTAAAATTCTCAATATGCAAAAAATCATGACCATAGCTTTTAAAATCAGCAATTCTATCGGAGCAAAAAGTTTACAAAGAAAGCTTTTTTAATTATACGTAGAAGAAAGCGGCCACGTGTGATGCATACTGAGGTCAGGTGGTCTTTTTTGACAGATATTACAAGTAAGCTGAATGATATGAATTTAGAACTTCAAGGACAGAATAAAACAATTTTTGACATGATGAGTTCTGTAAATGCCTTTAAACAAAAACTAAACATAATGTTATCTAGAACGAATGATAATAATTTCACTTCATTTCCCAATATGACGTCTCAATTAAAAAATATTGCTGCCATCGATTTAAATAGGTATAAAAATGAAATTAAAAACCTAATTACAGAGTTTGACAATCGTCTTCAAGATTTAAAAAAAATTGATGATGTGGCACTTTTTATCACTTTTCCGTCTAACTTGTTCGAAATGAATGTACATAAGTTAGAATCAGAAATCATAACACTGCAAAACGATATCTATGTTAAAGCAAGGGCATCTGAAGAAAATTTTTGAAAATATTTATCGGAATTCAAGTATACAAATTGTGGAAAATGTGAACTGCATTTTCACAAATGAAAATAATAAAATCTAAATACCGAACGGCATTGACAGATACTCATGTAGAATCTTGTTTGAGAAATGCCCTAAGTAATTACATTCCCAACTTTAAAAAGATTGTAGACTCATAGCAGTGTCGAATAAGTCAAATATGTACCAATGCACCTGGAAGCTCAATTTAATATCTGTATTAAAACTTAAAATATTAATAAATGAGTTAAATGAAATGATTTTTTTCTTCATTGAAAAGATGTGATATTATTATAAGCTGGTAGGTAAATATCGCACCTTTAGAAATAAAGTGGCACAACTCAAAAATTGAATATTTTTAGTTTTAATCATAAAATGTCATAAAAAGGTGCCGTCTATCAATTGCCGCGCTTGTTTTCTTATAAATAGTCTTATTTGAGTTGAGTCACTTTAGTGTTAAACGTGCGATATGATAGGAGGAGGCCAGTTGTAAACCGAATTGTAAACCATTCGGTCGATCTTGGCAAAACATTTATATAAAAAGTCGATTTTGGTCAAAAATTAGTGGACACCACTGGTCTATAGTTTCCAATATCTTTCTGTGAGCTCTTTTTGTGAACAGGTATTATAATAGCTATCTTAAAGTCTAATGGAACTGAACCCTTGGAGAATATTATGTTATAAATTACACAGAGTGGTCTCGATAGTTGTCGTGCCACTTTTTTTAACAGTGTATTAACTAATCAAATCATGACCTATACTAAATTTAGCCTTAAGACTTGAAATGACTGCCTTGAAAAAAGTGTATGCCATCATTTAATGGTGTTTAAAATCCGCGTTGTTCTGAGTAGTTGTCCAAAAGTTATAGCTCAAGAAAGTTCAAATCTTTTCGACATGTTATATACTTTGATTTTGATATTAACACATCAAGTAGTGGACAGAATAGGGGTATTGCTCAAATAAATTAATTGCAGCGTTAAATCTAAAGTATTCTAAACTCTGGAACTGGAACTCTAAAGTTATCCTAACATCATTAGTCTCCATACACATATCTATGTTGTAGTGCTATCTTAATAACTTCTTGTAGATGTACGATTTCATTAATTATTAATAACTCAATATCATCTAAATCCGACGGGCCTTCACTCAAGCGACACAACCGGAATATTTATTTCGTTTTATTCAATTTAATCTTTGAATAACATTTACCATAACATACATATACGCATACGGTCATAGGTGAATTATGAATAAATAAAATAAAATGTTGTTACAGCAGAATAATATATTTGAAGTGGTAATCTCTACGTTTATGCAGATTTTACAAGCTAAAGGATATATTTATGTTGATGTCTGATTGAAAAACCGCTATATTCATATGTAACTTACTATTCTTTATTGATATATTACATATGACCACAAATCCCTTACATTTATGTATGGATTATGGTGTTTAATAGTGTGAGCTGTGTTTGTGGAGTTTGTGATGTTTCAGGTGATGTCTTGGAACATAATGACGGAATTTTGTGCCATGGAATTTACCCTTGCATCCGTTGGGATGTCCTTTGCAGTCGTCTTTATCATTGTCTTCGTGACTCCCACTGTCATTTTGCGAAGAATTTTTGTCGAATTCGCCTTTATTCTCCTTGCTGTTGTCTTTACCGTTGCCTTTGTTGTTCCCATAGCCGTTGCCATTGCCGTTGCAATTGGCGTTGCCATTTCCGTTTCCATTGCCGTTGCCTCCGCCGTTTTCGTTGCCATTTCCGTTTCCGCCGCCGTTGCTGTTGCTACCGCCGTTGCCATTGCCGCCACCGTTGCCGTTGCTGCCGCCGTTACCACCCTCATTGTCGTTACCACCGCCATTGCCGTTACCGCCGCCGTTGCCGTTACCGCCGCCGTTGCCGTTACCGCTGCTGTTATTGCCGCCGTTGCCGTTACCGCTGCTGTTATTACCGCCGTCGCTGCCGCCGCCGTTGTCGTTTCCACCACCGTTGCCGTTGCCGCTGCCGCCGTTGCCGTTTCCACCACCGTTGCCGCTGCCGCCGTTGTCGTTGCCGTTGCCGCCGTTGCCGTTTCCACCGCCGTTCTCGTTGCCGTTTCCACCGCCGTTCTCGTTGCCGTTGCCGTTTCCACCGCCGTTCTCGTTGCCGCCGCCGTTGTCGGTGCCGCTGCCGTTGTCGTTGTCGTTGCCGCCGCCGTTGTCGGTGCCGTTGCCGTTGCCGTTACCGTTACCATTGCCGTTATCATTGCCGTTATCATTGCCGTTGTCTGTGTTGTTGCCTTCGTCAGTGCCGTTGTCGGTACCGTTATCTGTTCCGTTGTTGTCACCATTGCCGTTGTCTGTGCTGTTGCCGTTGTCGGTGCCGTTACCGTTACCATTGCCGTTACCGTTGCTGTTGTCTGTGCTATTGTTGTTACCATTGCCATTACCATTGCCGTTATCTGTGCTGTTGCCGTTGTCGGTACCGTTGTCGGTGCCGTTGTCGTTACCATTGCCGTTACCATTGCCGTTGTCTGTGCTGTTGCCGTTGTCGATGCCGTTACCGTTACCATTGCCGTTACCGTTGCTGTTGTCAGTGCTGTTGTTGTTACCATTGCCATTACCATTGCCGTTGTCTGTGCTGTTGCCGTTGTCCGTACCGTTGTCGGTGCCGTTGTCGTTACCATTGCCGTTGTCTGTGCTGTTACCGTTGTCGATGCCGTTACCGTTACCATTGCCGTTACCGTCGCTGTTGTCTGTGCTGTTGTTGTTACCATTGCCATTACCATTGCCGTTGTCTGTGCTGTTGCCGTTGTCGTTACCATTCCCGTTGTCTGTGCTGTTGCCGTTGTCGGTGCCGTTGCCGTTAACATTGCCATTATCGGTACCGTTGTCGTTACCATTACCGTTGTCGTTACCATTGCCGTTGTCGTTACCATTGCCGTTGTCCGTTCCGTTGCCCGTGCCGTTGTCGGTGTTGTTGCCAGTGTTGTTGCCGTTATTACCACCAATACTTCCGTCAGTGTTATTACCTTAAACAAAATGAAACATCAAATTCTTAGCCTTGTTTTGAAAGGTATAATATAAAGCGTACTTACAGTTTCCTATTGTAATATTTAATTTAATGAGGGCCTCTTGACAGATGTATACTAAAAAACAGAATTGTTTCTATCTCGTAAAAAAGTTATAGCGATATCGTAACGTTATACTTACATCCGTTTATTGTTGCGTTCAAACATTCTGAATTCGAAAGTGAGTATGCTTGTTTTATGACCGAAATTAGGGTATTTAATGGTGGAATCGCAGCTTCTATACATTTTTCCAGTAGGATTTTACTAATACGTGATGTGATGGCATTAACTACTTTTTCAATGAGGTTTTGTACGGGGGTCCAGAGAGACTGATGTATCAGACACTTGATAGTCGATAGTTCTTTCTTGATTGATATCATACCTTGATTTAAAGACTCAGCAAAAACAGTTAGGTTACACCGTTCGGTGCCATCGTCGGTGTCGTTATCGGTGCCGTTGTCAGTATTGTTGTCAGTAGTGTTGTCAGTGCTGTTGCCGTTACTTCCGTCATTGTTATTACCTTAAACAATATAAAACATCAAATTCTTAGCCTTGTTTTGAACGGTCTAATATAAAGCGTACTTACAATTTCCTATTGTAATATTTAATTTAATGAGGGCCTCTTGACAGATGTATACTAAAAAACAGAATTGTTTCTATCTCGTAGAAAAGTTAGAGCGATATCGTAACGTTATACTTACATCCGTTTATTGTTGCGTTCAAACATTCTGAATTCGAAAGAGAGTATGCTTGTTTTATGACCGTAATTATGGTATTTAATGGTGGAATCGCAGCTTTTACACATTCTTCCAGTTGGTTTTCACTAAGATGGGATGTGATGGCATTAACTACTTTTTCAATGAGGGTTTGTACGGGGGTCCAGAGAGACTTATGTATCAGACACTTGATACTCGATAGTTCTTTCTTGATTGATATCATACCTTGATTTAAAGACTCAGCAAAAACCGTTAGGTTACACGGTTGAATTCGTTTGCCGACATGATGTCTAGTTTGATGGTGTCTTTGTAAAAGATGGTGTTTTACAGAGTGGTGATGACTTGCCGAATGCTGATGCTTTGTAGCATGGTGATGTTTTGTACCATGCTTGTGTTTTGTATCATGGTGATGTTTTGTAGCGTGGTGATGTTTTTTATCGTGGTGGTGTTTCACACCATGTTTATGCTTTTTATCATGATGAACTAGAAATGATACAATTTTATTATAGGTTGTGAATGTGTAACAATATATAAATTCATAAACTTACCGTTAGCCAAAGCAGCTGCTAGGCAAACTACCAAAAGCAGAAGAGCAAAGCTAAATCTCATGGTTTACCCAAGTCTTGCAGAGTTAAACAAATGATGTCGTCTTGGGCCACTGAGTTCGCTTTTATACGCAAAATTTTACATTTTAAGCATACTTTGAAATTTTTTTCTCCGACATCTTCAACATTTTTTGTAATTCGGTGCAGATAAGCCTTTAGGAATGTTCTAAAAGTACGCATTATTTCGAATACGAAAAACTAATTATACCTTAGATATGTTTCTTTGCATGTTTCAAACGTTTGAATTGATAAGAAAAAAACAAAGAGACATGTTAATCACCTTAAAAAGCATTATATTAAATAATTTAGATATTTATGATTGACCGGGGCATTGTTTTATAAGATATTGAATTTATACGTAACAGTTTATTAATAATTATTGACAACGTTAATAATTATTTTATAAAAACATATATTGAATATGTTTTAAGAATGCAGTTGTCATCTTGTGCATCTCAAATATGCTGCCCCTAGCAACAACGTAGATAAAAAATATTTTGTTTTTCGAGAAGTTCCGATGTTCTACGTCAAAGATAGACGTGGAATTTGCAAGATGACACGAATAATTGGGATAAAGTAAATTTTTAAAAATTTCTTGTGTACGTTATCTCTTAATGATCCTAAAAAATGTTGTAAAAAAACGACGTGTATGTTAAAGACATTTTATTTTTATTTAATGCGTATTTTTTAAACTTGTGTTATTTTATTAAAAGTATACACACATTTTGCAAAAAAAAATCGACGAAATAGTGCTTATTTGCGTATATTTAATAATAAGGTAAAGTATGAATAAGCAGAACTCAGCACCTAAAAAAACATTTTTAAATATTGATTGAAAGTATTTGTAATCAAAAATTACTTTCAAAAATGTGCTAACCGTCATTGAACCTAAATACATAGCTTTTAAAGTTAAAGGTTGTTGAGATCTTGCTATAATCAAACGAATATCTTTTTGAATATCCGCTGAAGTCGTATACCAAAGACCATTATAAGCAGCATTAGCAACTTCAAATCCCTACAAAAAAAACTCAAATACTTACAAATACCTTGATCATTTCATTATAACTTTCTAACTTCATCCATAACACGTTGACCATAATAGCTTAAAAGATACAATAAAACCACCCAACCACAAAGATGTAACGTATAGCGTAAAGATTCCGGTACATTCCCAACCATTATTATTTCAAATCCCAGAACGCTAATTACAAATGATGTTAAAGTAAAATGAAGAACCACTTGGCTTCCAAAAGCTTCATTAACCCTTTTTAAATACTCTATTATCTCAATGTGATATTGCACGGCGAAGCGAACACGACTTCGACTTTCTTCTATGTTATTCTTGACAACCATATCAATCATAAATCGATGTAAATGTTTTAATTGATTTTCAATATGCATCATAATCCCACAAATTAAAACAGTTATCGTTACAATCAAAATCGACGTCATGCTACCAACGTAAAATTGATATAAAAAAACCACTTGGTGCATTGGCCAACTATCAAAACGAAAAGGTAACCTAAAACGGACAATCATCGAACAAGGAACTCCGTATTGTTCCATACTTTTTGGTTTGTGTTGTTCGCAGTAGTCGATAACGAAGAGAGGAGCTATCGAATAAATTAACATTCCGGCGATTGAGTAACCAATTAATAGTTTTGAATAGAAATTTGTTTCTTGGTCAATTTTTATTGCGTCGACCCCAGCGAATTTTTCGAATACTTCGATATCATCTACTAAGGATTTTATTTTCTCGCGGTTTTTTGTGAAACAAATTGCCATGTAGACCATACCGAGTACGCAAACTGCTGCCAAAACGCTTTGAATTTGGATTATTATGTTTACGTCGTCTTCTAAAATTTAAAAGAAAAGGGAGGGTTTATTTAGTAAGGTTCAAAAAGAATTAAAAAAAAATAAAATTAATACAATAATATGCCTTCATAGTAAAATATAATTTTATAAAATTAATTTTGACTTTTCGTTGCAGAGTACCAGAAATTTTAGTCAAATTTTTACGTTTCTACACCGCTCATGTTGGTGAACTTGATTATATTTAGTATGTATACATATTTAGTAATTTTTGAAAAGATAATAAGAAAACGAATTATACCATTAATGTAATAACTAAATTTAGGCATTCTCCAATTACTCATGGCCATAGTCAACTCATGCCAAGCAAAGGGAAACTTAATTTGTGACTCATTTATCATTTATATCTACGTCATCAACAATTCTCTCCAAGCCATCACTCTTTCGTCATAGGCTCAATACACTCACACAGAATGTCCATCTTAGCCTTTCCCATACACACACATGCCGTTGGTGTCTTGTAACATTCATCAGCCTTACAGTTTTGACAGTTATAGTTATTTCAGCCCATTTAGTTCTTCACTCCTCGTTATTTCTTTCCTTAATTTGCCTCTTAGAGACACTTCTCATTCTTCAATCATCCTACATCCCCAGCCGATCTCAATATTCTTAGTATACGGTTTGTGGAAAAAAATGATTGCTACCCTTGAAAGATNATTTTTTTTTCTTTATATTATTGTTTAACTTTTTTATGTTGGTTATTGCGGTCAATAAAGTACTATTATTATTATTTTAGTAAGTCTGCCTTTCTGTAGTTATACCTATGATCACAAATCTGTACCAACAGACTTGGTTGCCAGTAAACTTAGTCCATACCAGCTAAATTTGCGATTTTTGATGCGATATCAACTTCTTCATTAGAAATTTTGACTTAGAATCTTGGTCACTTAATGAGAAAATTTATTTCATTGCAAGGCGGCTTGGTATTGTTAGCTAGTCTGATTGTGGAACATGTGTTAAGATGCTACTTTACCTTTTACTTGTAGATATCTGTTGGAGTGATCAAAACATATCTAGAAATGATAAAACTTATAAATGAAGAAAATCTCCAGACCTTAACACTGCTAATGAACAAAATGTATAGCACGGGAACCTTCCCAGAAAATTGGCTTATCGATTACGAAAAAGCGTTTGATCGAGTAAAACATACAGAACTGATGGAAACTCTAACACAATATGGTCTAGACTTTTAAAGTGTGACCCTTATTAAGAACATGTATTGGAAACAAATAGCATCGATCAAAATAAACGATCTGACAACAGACATGTCGATAAGCAGAGGACTGCGTCAAGGTTGCGTTCTTTCTCTATTATTATTCAATATATATTCTGAAAAAATCTTTCAAAATGTCCAAAACAGAGATGTATGTAAATAACTTAACCCCAGCTGACGACACAGTCATTATTGCAGACAGTGCTGAGGGTTTGCAACGACTTTTGAATGCCATGACCAGGGAAAAAGATACTCTAGGATTGAAAATAAACATAAAAGTAATGGCTGTGACACGTATGCCAAATCCCTGCATTAATATTCGTATCTACAACAACAAGATAGAACCCATACACAGATTCCAGTATTTCAATTGATGGATAATAGATAATTTTGATGTTTGATACCGATTTGTGAAAACGTACATCTATTGTTATATGGAAGGGAAGCATGGGTTCTTGGAGTTAATGGTATGAAGCGGAATTTTCCAAAAAATGTGTTGGATGGAGCAGATCACCAACGATGAGGTGCTACGAATTATGACAAGAATCTGACAGAGAAGTCTTAAATATGTCTAAAATATCTAGGACATATGTGTAGAGGACAAAAATACAACTTTCTACGACTCATAATGGAAGGGAAGGTTGAAGGAAAAAAGGCTCCAGGGAGGAGAGAATGCTCATGGTTGAAGAATGGATTGAAGCATGGACACTATTGGCATTCACTATTAAGAACAGCACAAAATAGAAAGCACTTTGCCGAAATTATCGCCAACCTTCAATAATGGAGAAGGTACCTTAAGAAGAAGAAGATGAATAATAGAATTCAAGCTTTTAGTATGATTCAAGCTTCTAGCATGATTCAAGAGTACATTTAGTGATATCACTTAACCAACCAGAGTAACAACAAGATGATCCTCTTTAATAATAGCGATGTATTTTAAATTTTAAAGAGAACGTTAGATTTATATAATAATAATAATAATAGACTTTATTGCCAAATCAAGTGGCTCTACTTAGAAAACGTTTTGCTATTCATACGATTTTGATAATATTAATAAAAATAACTAAATATGCGACTAAATAGAATGAAATTCACCTACATTAACCCGCGGTGTAAAAATATAAAAATATAAGCATGATTAGCTTCTCTTATTTTCAATGCATGAATTTTCTTTGTTTAATTTGAATTTCTTGTGGCGATATTTCTTGGAAGACGGCGATGTTGGTTCATCCACTCTGCAGCTATGGTATCGAATAACATGATCACGTGTTTTGGTGAAACCAGGTCATAATTCTTCAAAACAATGCTATCGAAGAGCTTCCGTTATCACATTGGCATAATTAGCGAAGAACCTAATTATCTTATACAAAAATGATATTAGCCTCTTAAATTAAGAGAACGTCAATACATTACCCAAGAAGATTCGAAATCGCTTCGACTCGTTTCATTTAAATTTTAACTTAAACATCTCTTGCAAACTCCATTTATATCCTCAAAACATAAAATTCCTGTTTAAAAATGAAACTGACATATTTCAAGCGTTCTTTGTAATTTTCTTAAACCGTTCTTTATGCAAATTATTACTTAGAATTTTCTTAAAGAAAAACCGTGATTTGATTGATTGATTGACATGATACGCAACAACGATAAAAATTTGAAATTGTTAATTTAAAATAGAAGTGTTTAATTTATAATTGGAGATCTATATTAGTTAATGACATCTTTCGTTTCCCTTCAAATTAATAAATTATTAACGAACCAGCCTTGTGTTGAGTTGAAACTGTTGATTAAATAATCAGACTTCTTTAAAACACTCCGCCTACTTTTGAATAATTAGGGTTGGTTTGGAAAAAGTTTGAAAACTTTTTTGGTTTAAAAAGAGGTGAGTTAAAAAAAAATTAAGTCGAAAAAAATGTCTTATTCGTTTTTAAGTTATCCAAATAAACCGAGTAATTATTTTGCTTTACAACGATTCGTTCTTAAAATTTATGGAGTTTCTTTTGACGGTTACGATAATTATTGGTATAAAATGTATGCATATTTGTGGTTAACTACGGTTTTTATTACTTATACAATCGTTGATTTACACGAAGTTTGTAAATATTTTGATAATTTGGATGTTTTGGTGAATATTTTGAGCTACTTCGGAACCGATGTTTTTGGTGTTGCTAAGATAATTATGTTATTATATTACAACAACGAAATAAAAACGATTTTAAACAACCTCGAAAACGGCATTTTTGCCCCAAATAAACAAAGAGGAGGAGAAGAAGAAGAAAAATTAATCAAAAAATGCATTCTAATCAACAACAAACAGGTTCAACTTTTTACTCTAAAAATTTGTATTTTAAAATATTTTTTTTAGACGTATCTTTATTATTTAACAGTCGTTGTTGTAATTACCATAGGAAGTACGGGAACGATGATTAAACATATTTATTTAAACCACACAGAAATGCCGTTTATACCGTTTTCTTGGTTCGATACATCTTCAAGTCCTTATTACGAAATCGTTTGGTTATATCAAAGTTGTTGGAGAATGAGTTTTGCTTTATTGGTTTGTTCTTGTGATGCATTAATCATCGGGATTTTGTCCCATATAAGTAATCAGTTTAAAATGTTACAAAATGCTGCTAAATGTATGATTCAAAATGCTTATGAAGAAGCGAAAAATAAAAAATATATAAAAAAGGAATTTGAAATAAACGAAATTCCTTTGAATATTCTCGAAAAACATCTCGAAGAAATTATTTATTATCATAACTCAATAATTGAGTTAGCTAATCAATTTGAGGAGCTTTTTAGTTTATTGCTTTTAGGACTCTTTCTTGCTACTTTATTTATTTTATGTTTTATTATGTACCATGCCTCTTTGGTAAGCTAATTTCTTTTGATACAGTGCGACCTCGATAATCCTGCATCAATCTTAACAGTCTGGTTCGTATTTTTTATCTCCTGACCTTCATTTTCACACTCGTGTTGTTCATCTGGTTCATCTATGCCTTCTTGTCAATTACGTATTTCCACGTTCATGATTCTGCTCACTGAGATCATCCATCATATCTAAAACATCTATTACCTTTCAGTTCTTCATTCAAGAAAAGAAGATTGCGCCACAATTTTACTCAGAGCATTTAGATCTTCAACGTCGTATTCAATGTCTGAGTTGGTATTGAGTGAGGCATACTTTTGTGTCAGCACTTCTCAAAACTTCGGGGAAGATTATACATCTAGCCTTCATTGATTTCCAAAAGACTTTTGATACCGTTGAAATATGGTCCAAATCCTAATAGCTCCATAAAACACAAGAATAGATGCAAGGTATACTCAAATGACCAACAGAATAGCAATGAAGAGAGGAATTACCATAAATGGTGTAAGATTTAACCACCTCAGATTTGTAGATGATACACTCCTGATAGGTAACATCGTTATAGAACTGGACGAAATGTTAAATGAATTAAATCTAGCATCTGCAAGAATAGGACTGAACATGAACTACAATAAAACAAAAATACTATACTAAAGATACCAACATATATATACAAAATAATAACATAGAACTGGGGAAAAAAACCATCACGTAGAAATCACAAGGCGCATACGATTGGCGTGGATAGTTTTTGGCAAACTGAGATGCATTCTAAGAAACGATATAATTCCCATAAACGTGAAGTGAAATGTATATGTTACAGTTAAAGAATTCATTCCGTGAATGTATACATTGTCTAGTCTAGACGCCCAGTTAAAGCTTAAAGTACGTTTACTAGTATATTACATAACGAAACCCTTTTTTTTATTATAGAGGGGGTTAGGAAATCTGCTGACAGACACCCGGGCTAAGTTGTCATGCAGCCGGATAGTGTCGGGTTGGCTTCCCTCTTGGGTTGCCGACCGACTACAACCCTTAGTTTTCTTCCCGCGACCGCCCTTCAGGGCATTACTTCGGGAAAACCGATCATTTCATCCTTCCACCATATTCGCTTCGCTGATGATATATCCGTTCTTTTGGATGGAAGGGCGCCTTCCCTCTTCTTCTTCTTGCTCTCCGCGTTGTGGGGCATATATGATTCTATTATTTTTTTAAATATATTATTTATTCAACGTACCTGCCCGGAAGGTTTCCCCCTGTGCCTTCTTTCCTTCTCTCTCCAGTGTGGGGATTGCCCCGTCTTTCCGTCTCCATCTCTCAATCTCGTCCCAGTCAACGTCGTAAAACGAAATGAAAGGATTCCCATTACTTTTTGAAATATATCATTTATTCAGCGTACCTGCACGGGGGGTTTCCCCCTGTGTCTTCTTTTCTTCTCTCTCCAGTGTGGGGATTACCCCGTCTATCCGTCTCCATCTCTCAATCTCGTCCCAGTCAACGTCGTAAAACGAAATGAAAGGATTCCCATTACTTTTTGAAATTTTATTTTTTACCTACATACCTGGATGGGCTAGGGATAGCTCCCCCCTGCTCGCTGAGTCATCCTCCTTGCATCACCTGCAATCCCTTCCATTAAAAAAATTATACCGTAAATTTTCTTTGTTATAACTTTTACTAACGTCTATTAGCAAATGTATACACTGCCTGGTTTATGTACACATTCACTAGTGAATGTGTACACTCTATGACTGATAAATACTTTCACTAAAACGTTACGTTAATGTATACATTGACTGGCTAATGTGTACATTAACTGAAATGCACGCTTTACCTGTGACATATTTATATAACAAGTGTATCCTGCCTACACAAACATACAGACTGGAAACAACCAGTCTAACAAAAGTGTGTGCAAGAAAACTCTTAGTAACTCAAAGAGCTGTGGAACGATGCATGATGCTAGGTGATAAAATAAGACCCAAAAACATCAGGAGACAAACAAAGGGTACTGATACAACTTAAGAAGTGATTAAGATGAAATGGCTGGGCATGTGTCCAAACTGGCTAGTGACAAGAGGGCATATAGAGTAATAGTAGCGAGACCCAGACAACCTAAAAGAAGTGTAAGACGTCCACAAAACCGTTAGGAGGACGACATTACATAAGTTGCAGGTAGACGGTGGTTTATTGCAGCACAGAACAGGCAGACTTGGAAGAAGATGAGATAGACCTATGTTCAGAAGTGGAAAATCACAGGTTGATGATTCGGCATTTTAATCCATTCTATAGTTCCGTTATCGACAATTAGCAGAGCTCTTTCAGGCAAATTAAGACTTCTTAAGTGACTTTTAACTTGAGGAATAAAAGCGCCATGAAACCAGTCTAAGAAGATTGCATTAGTCATCCATGTATGATCATTTATATTTAATAGGTATATTTACGTTTTTAAAAGTCCTCGGATGTTTTGCCTTTCCTATCGCTAATAGTTTCAATTTTTGTGAATCATCAGCTAGAAAGGTAACGCGTTCTTTGCTTATTTTTCGACCTGGTGTGGTCTACCCATGAGAACAAACCAGCGATTTTTCAGGTAAGGTAAATGCAGGAGAGATGCCTCACATTTCAAAAAAGGTACGTTTTTTTGGCAATATAAGTTTTCTTTACAAACTACTAAAAATGTCCCTACATTGAGGTGAGACGCCACACCAGTCATTGTTAACCACCAGAGCTTTTCTTTCGGAAATCTTCTCTAGAACATATATTACATATTATGTCATCATACACCGTGCATGTTTCATGAAGCCATTAAAGACACCTTATGGACCGGCTCCACTCATCTGCTTTTACAGTTTTTGCATATGGTTCAAAACACTCTAAATTTAAAGCAATACATTTTTCTTCTTCCTCACGTGATGTTGCTGTATGCTTTGGTTGTTTTTGATTTAACCTGAGTTCTTCTTTATACTTCTGCTTTCCTTTTCCTCGTACTTTTACAATATTTTCTGGATCAATTTCGTTGCTAGCTGTTTCATCCTTTTGTTAAAAAATACTGAAATTTTTGGATCAAATATTTGGCCGGTGTAACATTTTCTTTACATTGATCAAAAGAAGTACTTGCTCCGTGTGGTGCTTTTAGCGAAAAAGTACTTGTTTGAAGCTCGCTGGTGTCCATATATATGTGGGCTAGATGATTCAGACAGAGCAGATTCATCTGCATTGTATATTTGAGTAGGTCCGAGGTTTAATTCTTTTATCTTTTCTGCGAAATCAGTTCGACGGCATTTTGATCGTTGGATAGTTTTTCGCCGCAGACTTTTAAAGCACGCAGATCATGTCTTCTTCTGAAGTTTGAAACCCAGCCTCTGCTAGCTCTAAAATTATCATTTTCACAGGTTTCAGAATAAAACTGTTTTGCATTGGCAGATAAAATTTTGTAGGAAATCCGTTTTTATTTTTGGATTATCAGCTTTTCGTCATGTTTTTCTGGCGCCAGAACCAGAACCACATGATATCTAAAAGATTGAAATTTGAAATACATGTTCGATTATCGAGGTCGCCCATTATTTTATTAGATTACACTTAAATCTTCAAAATATACTTTTTAGTTCGATTTATTAAGTATGAGATCAACACAAGATTTAACTTACGTATCGGTGATAACCCTACAAATTTTCCTGTATTGTTTTTGGGGTAACGAAGTTCGAATTGAAAGTGAACTCGTTTCGGATGCTTTTTGGGAAATGAATTTTACCGGAACCGACGTACGATTTCAAAAAAAATTAATTTTCATTCTTCGTAGAAGTCAAAAACCGATCGTTATAACAGCTGGAAAATTTACAGATTTATCTTTAAAAACATACGCTTGGGTTTGATTATATATTTCATTAAATTGATTAAAATAATAACAATTTTTTTGGTAGGTTATAAGAGCATCATATTCGTATTATATGGTTCTTGGAAGTCGGAAAAATCATTAATAATCCAATTTAATTTTAATTTTGATATTGCCCGCGTTTAAAGCTACTAAAATAATAATACACCGCAACTACCTCGTTTAAAGCTATAATTAATTAATGGCCCCGCTCTTTTACGTCGCCAATAATTAACAAGTACTTAAAGATCGAAAACGCGTATTTAAACAACACCATTTGGGTCGACCATATCATAAAAAAATTAAAAATGACCATAGTATTTTTGAATTATCCCAATGAAAACCCACAAAATTATTTTAAAATTCAAAGAACGGTTTTAAAATTATTTGGGGTTTCTTTCGATGGTTACAAAAATTATGCTTACACCATTTATTCAATTTTATGGCTTTTATCAATCTTACTAACCAACACAGTAATCGAATTATACGAAGTTTACGTTTATATTAATAATATTGATACTGTTGTCAATATTTTAAGTTATATAGGAACTGATGTTTTAGGTAATCTTTCTTAATTAAATTATTTTTTTAATGATGCAAATTATTTTCAGGAGTGATTAAAATCGCTGTACTCTTATATTACTCCAAAGAAATTCGTGAAATGTTGGATGGTTTAGAAAAAGGAGTCTTTTATCCCAATCAAAAACGTGGGGGGAAAATTGAAACAGATCTCGTTAAAAAATGCATCATAATCAACAACCGGCAAACGTTTATTTATTATTTTACCGTTGTGGCTGTCTGTGGAATTGGATGTTTTGGAACGATGATAACACGAATTTTTTTCGGTCATAAGGAGTTACCGTTTATGCCTTTTTCATGGTTTGACGCGTCCGAATCACCATACTATGAAATTGTATGGTTTTATCAAACTTATTGGCGCACTTCTTACGCTTTAATGGTTAGTTCAACCGATTCTTTAATAGCGGGAATACTTTTGCACATAAGCACACAATGTAAAATTTTACAAAACGCTGTAAAACGTGTTATCGAAAACGCTTACAACGAAGCTTTTGGAAATAATAAATCACGAAGTGATGATATTGATCCATCAAAAATCCCTTGGAACATTTTAGAAAAACACATCAAATTAATAATTAATTATCACGGAGATGTTATTGGACTAGCTGATAAATTTGAAAAACTTTTCAGCTTACTATTACTTTGTGTCTTTGCAGCCACACTTTTTATTTTGTGCTTTATTATGTATCACGCATCTTTGGTGAGTTTAATTTTTTCTTTTATTAATAATAATTTTTTTAATTTAAATATTTGTTTAAGTTTGATTTAATAAGCATGAGAGCAGCCCAAGATTTTTCGTACGTCGGAGTTGTAACGGTTCAAGTTTTTCTATATTGCTTTTGGGGCAATGAAGTTCGAGATGAAAGTGTAAAAATAGCGGATGCTTGTTGGGAGACAAATTTTGTTGGAACCGATGTTCGGTTTCAAAAAGCTTTGGCATCAATTATAAGAAGAAGTCAAAAACCGATTGTTATTACAGCTGGGAAATTTAGTGATTTATCGTTAAAAAGCTATGTTTGGGTAAATAATTAAAAATTAATTAAAATTTGTTCGGAAAGGTAAATTTTGAGGAATGATTAAGTTAAATCATAGTATGTAGAAGGGCTTTCTGCATTAATTGGGTTATGATTGTATCATATTTTCCACGGATTATGATTACCAGATCATCTGCATATACTTATATGTGAATGCCTATATGGAAGGCGGAAACACTCCCTTTTTAGGGCAGCCCTTAATAGTCACAGACTTCAATAAGCCTCCCAATCAGGCTGTGATCTGCCGACTTTTCAGCAAGGTTTTACACTAATAACTCGTCGATGGATGGATGTCTTTTACATTTAGTGCTTTTTCCATGGATTCATAAGAGGTGTTATCAAAAGCACCCTCTATATTTATGATTGCACATAGGGCTATCTCTTTGGTTGCAATTGTTTCTTCTAAAATGCTCATCAAAGCATGGACGGCAGTAATTGTTGATTTTGCTTTCTGGTAAGCATGTTGGCTTGGATGGAGTGGGTTGGCAACAAGCAGTCCATTCCTAACAGTCTTTCATTGTGTTGATGTTTCCACTAATAACCAATAATATTCTGTTTGTTTGAACATTTGACTTCGTCGTTACCGTACCAGTAAGAATAATTAAGGCTTTGTTAGGCTTGTAGGTCTACAAGCGCCCATAAGAGGTATTAGTTCATAACTGCATAGTTGTTCTTACTTGCAGAACCTTTTCTGTTCAGATACATTCACCATAAGTTGTAATTCTGGGTATACCTCAGTAGTATTTAAAGTATTTTGTAGTATCACTGGATCATCCTTGCAATGGCATGCGTTGTTGGTGAATGCCATGATATCACTATTACTTGTCACTTTCTTTTTTTGATAGAGCCTTCCCCGTGCTTAAGTTGATCATCTCCAGCGCGATCGTGGATGTCGATCTCTTGGCGCTCGTGATTAGCAAGCAGACCACTCGTTGCAATTGATACAGTAATGAGCACCAAACTATGGCTCCGTGAGCTACCATGGGTCTTATCACAGACGTGTAGATCCACATTGTAACCCTCAAATTTAATCCCCAAGTATTCCCAATTGCCCTTCGATTCTGGGTGAGTACAATCGTTGCTTTTTTGGTTTTGCAACTAATATGTTATTTCCAAGTCAGTCCTTTGTCCAAGATAACACCAAGATATTTCACCTCTGGAGCAAAGATTAATGCAATGTTGCAAAAATGAGGTGGTGTTAAGTGTCCCAGTTTCTTCTGTTTAGTGAAGAGAACAATCTCAGTCTTTTTAGGATTTACAGAGAGAGTGTGCTCTTCACACCATCGTTCAACAAGTTTAAACGGCTGCTGCATTCTATAACAAAGAAAATTGTTAGCTTTACCTCTTAACAGAATAGTCACGTCATCGGCGTAGCCGACTATGAAGAGATGTTTATTATTTAACTCACGAATGAGATCATCAACCGTTAAGTACCAGAGAAGCGGTGAGAGTACTCCACCTTGTGGACAGCCTCTAACCACAGCTCGCTGTACTGTATGACTTGTCTTTGTACATTGTCTTTATCCAGCCCGCGATGACCAGCCACTCTTCGAGGTTCCAGTACCAGATTAATACTTTTAAAGGTGGTTTTGTCAAACGTTCCCTCTATGCCAAGAAAAGCTCGTAATATAGATCCTTGGAATCAAGCGCTTGCTCAACGCGCCCCACCATCACGTGTAGGGCCGTGATATATATGTTACGGGCAACTTGAGAAGTCTGGTCACTATGCATAATGATTGATTTGTTATACATAATGCCCGTATCAAGTGGGCAATGTAAGTAAAACTGCATTACTAATTATTTTTCCCGGTCAGTATGAATAATGACTACTCTATCTTGGGCAAAATAATAAAACAGGTAAACTGTATTGTTTTTGTTTATTATATGAAATTAAACTTACATAATTCTTATTGTAAGGTAAAAAAAACAATTCAGCATAGTAGTTCAAAATATTACTTATGAACAACAGTTTAAAAATTAGCTAATAATCTGACTGAAATATTTGAAATCTTAGAATTGCGCAAGAATTTTATTAAGATTAGAATTATTTATTCTTGCAAGGCGAGCTTTTGTGACTTTTTGAATTGCAAAGAATGTTTGATTTCTTGCATTTACAACGTTTTCAATTGCAGTCACCAGTACAATTACAGCGTTGGAAGCCTTGTCCATTAAAATGAGAGTCTTTTCGAGCACATTCGCGAAGAGTGATATCCACTTTTGGAACATCGTCAATAAAAATGCCGTGTTTCGTTCCTAGTTTGTAAAGGTTTTCTTTTTCCACAGAAATAATGATAGCAATTATATTACGAGTACTCGTTTTGGCTTGATTTACATCATACAAAATTTATACGGAAATCAAGGCTAAAAAAGAAAGCATCATAAAAATGTTACAACAAAAAACGCACCAACTATGGCAAACTATGGCATTGCCATCAATGTTATAGAAACTTTTAAATCCAAAGTAAAGCCTTATTTTAGTTTCAAACTACATAATTTGATACATTGAACATAATGGAGTAATAGTTTATGTCATCTCTAGTTCTCATAGTACGTGCACAATTTATTTCATAATCAGTCGTCAAGATATTCAATTCAGAGAATTTGGCTCTGCAACATTCGGCAAAGCGCAAATCATGACTCTCAAACATCTCATTTGCATTCAAAAAGCCTGGGCAACGCAAACAGAATGACCCCAACATAAAATGGCATACTTCCTCAGACATTACTGACACTATGTATATAGCTGTGCAAGGATCAGTGATACGAAGTTATTTTTTTAAATTTTGGTTGAAGATGCTGCGCTAAGTTCCTAAGCGCTATTGTTAGCATGAAATATTCTTTGGGTCTATTTAGTTTATACGTGTCCTCAACACCACTATCTGTATAATCATAAGGTGTGGATCATCGTCGCGGTTTTCTCACAGTTCTCCGTATTTTGCAATGTTTGCCCATCTTACATTTAGGTTGATCGTTACTAGTCAATTAATGTGTTTCATTAGTTCTGTAAGATAAGGTCTGCAACTCACATAGCCAGTTTTTTTATCTATATTTCTATCTTATCTTGCTCTTTTGGAGTTTGAGCAATGTCACAGAAAGGAATAAAAATCAAATTAGTAATCTTAGTTACGCTTCCACTGCCTCTAAATTAGTTCTACGGGATCTTCTTTGATACAGCTTGATTTTTTGGTGTGGCATAAAAAGTTATTCCATCTATAGCAACAAGATGGCAGCATTTTTAAGAATCGATTAAAGAAGAATATCTTTTAGGGATGATACAATAATAGGACTTTGTGACAACTTTTATGTCCCACAATACTGGAAGATCAAATCGTTCTGTTCCTTTTGATTAAAGAGCTAAGGCAAAGTGCCAGGAGATTGAAGGCAATATTCCTCTACATGTTGAACACCTTCTGATTCACGTGACGTTGAGTCAGCACGTTGTAGTCAAGAACAGGCATTATGGGCAACAAGGGTCTGAAGATACGTTTAGATACTTTATTCTATATCGAGTTTTTCTGAAATACTCTGCAATATTTGTGAGGCAGAAGTAACAGTCTGAAAAATGGTCTTTAGGTTCACACCACACCATAAGAACATCGCATTTGATGTAGTAATGCAGGTTATGCAGTCTTAAAAAGTTTGAATAAATTATGAAAGTTACATTAAATTATATAAATTATTATATTTCGTATAAACTACGGGGAGTATTTTTTATTTTTTTTTTTAGTTGATTAGAGCTTCTTATTCTTATTATATGGTTCTTGGGAATCGACAGAAGAAAGAACTTGAAATCACGCTATAAATTAAATTATTCACCTTAAAATTGTTATAATAAATAAATTATTATAAAAAAAATCTATATAATCACCAAACAAAAAAATCTAGGTAATACTTAATTTTACTCATTCGAAATGAAACCACCAACCGATTATTTTAAATTTTCAAAATCTGTTTTAAATTTTTTCGGTATTAACTTAGAATGCACAAGAACGAGCGTTTATTACAAAATCTACTCGGTTTCTTTGATCGTAATTTTAATAATTTGGTATGGATTTTTAGAAGTTTATGAAGCCGTTCACAATTTTTCCGATATAGATGCTTTCGTTCGTGTTGTAAGCTTTTTAGCCACCGATCTTCTTGGATTGATTAAGTTGTTTATTTTGATTTATTATCGAAAAGAAATTTGCGAGATGTTAAATTCGTTTGAAACGGGATTCTTTTTGCCAGATTTTAACAGAGGAGGAAATTATGAAGTGGAAATACTAAATAAATACGTTTCTTATTCGAATTATCAGGTAAATTTTTTTGCTGAGATAGAATCCAATTTTATTTTTTACTTTATCTTTTTAGACGTATATTTACCAAGTTTTATGTTTAACGGTGATTTTATCGGGAATGTGTGGAACTCTTTTAGAAAGAATTTTAAATTCAAACAACTCACAAAATTGGACTATGCCATTCCTTTCGTTTTCTTTATTTCCAATTAATAGAAGTCCAAATTACGAAATAGCCTGGTTTATGCAAAGTATTTTAAGAATAATATTTTCTGGAATCGTTAGCGCTTTAGACACTTTATTAGGAGCTATTTTAGCACACATCACAGCTCAATGTTTATTACTACAAAACGCAATCAGAAGAATTAATTCACACGAAAATAATTCATTAAAAAATATTATACACTATCATTGGGAAATTTTAAAACTTGCTAAAAAATTTGATCGTTTTTTTAGTTATTTACTATTAAGTGAGTTCTTTGGAACGTTAGGAATACTTTGTTTTACAATGTATCATGCATCTTTAGTAAGAAATTTTTAAATTTAATTAATCGTTAAACGTTTTATCATAATCATTTTTAGTCTGACTTATTAAGCAGAAAAGCAGCACAAGATTTTTCTTACGTTTCTACCATTTCAATGCAAATATTTTTGTGCTGTTATTGGGGCAATGAAGTTGCCAGGCAAAGTGAAGCCATGGCTTTATCTTGTACAGAAGCTGACTTTGTTGGTGCAGATCTTCAATTTCAAAAAGATTTGGTCTTTTTAATAAGAAATTGCCAAAAGCCTATTGTGTTAACAGCTGGAAATTTTACTGAGTTATCTTTAAAAACTTTCGTTTGGGTAAGATTTATATTAATAAAAATACTTGTTATAACATGTTTTGAAATTTTTAGATTTTAAGAGCTTCATATTCTTACTATATGGTATTGAGGAGTAATAATTAATACAAAAACATGTTTAATCTGCACAACAACAATATTTGTGTTATATTTCTTAATTGTTTGATTAAACATTTAAATTATAAACTTTAATTAAAGTATTTGAAGTCAATGTTGAAGTCAAATATAAATATAACATAACATTTAAATATTAATCGCTAATATCAATTAAACACTAATTTTATGTGAAAATAATACAAAAATTCCTAAAAATATAAACAAATTACGAAAATAAATAAACATTAATTAATCTCCATCCTTTTTTAACACCTCAATCAAATCTATTTTTTATCCTTTTCCATCGCAAACATTATATTTATTTCCTCGTCTAATCTCTCAATATCCATAACCTCTATACTTCTGTCAAATGTCAAAACAGCTGAGATAGCTGTCAAAATTATGGCTGCGGTTATTTTTAATAAAGCTCATTTATCGCGTAAGTTCAACAATATCCATGCACGGAGATCTCATAATTCATCAATTATAAGATTTTTTTGTTTACACAAAATATATTTATAAACATCCATTCCTTTAAAATCTCGAAAAATATAAGGCTTACATAACTTAACCTCACTTTTCGTTTTAGGGTCTCTTAATCAAGTCCCGATAATCGCTATTGTGAGCCAAAAAAAGTATAGCGATGAAGCGAAAGTGTTTAATTTAAGTCAGTTGAAGCGAGGTACTGGGGGTAGATCAAGTTTTAGCGGAATTGTAGCTACTGTTTTTGGAGCATCTGGTTTTGTAGGACGATATGTTGTTAATCGATTGGGAAAATGTGGTTCCCAGGTAAATTAAGGATACTTTTTATTAATTCTTTTTTATTTTAAAAAGTAATTTGTAGATTATCGTCCCGTATAGAGGTGAAGCTTTCGATGTGCGTTACTTAAAAGTAGCTGGAGATTTAGGACAAGTTTTATTCTGTCCTTTCTTTTTAAAAGATGAGGAATCCCTTGAGAAGGCTATGAAGTATTCGAATGTGGTTATTAATTTAATTGGAAGGGATTATGAAACGAAAAATTTTAAATTTGATGATGTACACGTTAAGGGGGCTGCTAACATTGCTAAAATAGCTAAAAGACTTGGTGTTGAACGCCTAATTCATTTTTCTGCTTTGAATGCTTCAGATAGTCCCACACCTGTTGTTTTAAATAAACCCTCAGGTTTTTATACTTCTAAGTATTATGGGGAGGAAGCTGTTTGTAGAGAATTTCCTGATGCTACAATAATTAGACCAGCAGATATTTATGGACAAGAGGATAGATTTTTAAGGTTAAAACTAAAATTTTCTCTTGCTTTATTTTCTGGTTATTTTTGTTAAATAGATATTATGCAAGTGCTTGGCGTAGGCAATTTGGGGCAATGCCTTTATGGAAAAAAGGTGAACATACAATTAAACAACCTGTTTATGTGGGAGATGTAGCAGCAGCTGTTATTGCAGCTATAAGAAATCCTGATTCAGCAGGAAAGATTTATCAAGCAGTGGGGTAAAAAAATATAGAATCTGTATAAAATCTTATAAACTAAAAATAATTTTTTGTAGTCCCAAACGTTATTATTTATCTGATTTAGTTGATTGGATGTACTCTTTAATGCGTAAATCAGATGATCGTCGCGGTTATTTCCGTTATGACCAGCGTTTTGATCCATCTTTTGCAATGAAAGTTACTTTAACTAACTTGGTTAGCCCTAGTTGGCCCCTTTTTAATCTTCATTGGGAACGCGTTGAACGTGAATATGTCACAGATTGTGTTGAGCATGGCGTTCCTACCTTGGAAGATTTAGGAGTTAATTTAACAAGTTTGGAAAATCAAGGTCCTTGGGAAATTAGACCATTGATGGCGGATCTTTATTATGGACACGCTGCTGACGAACCTTTCCCACAACCCCCTCCACCAAAATCTGTAGAAGTGTAATTTTGATATTTTAAATAAAAAAGTTGTAGGAGGAGTGATTAATCAATTGCTAATAGTCTTTAGATGATGAAGAACAATTGTATTATAATAAATGATGAATAAAATGATTAAAGTATTATGGATCACTACCATTTTTATTTTATTATTTTTTTAGTTGGTTCTTTTAGACTATTAGCTATTGATAAGTAAAATTTTATGATGGAAAATTCGTCAAAAACTTGTACAGAATAAAATATAATATTTAAATTGATGAAATTTTTTTTGGAACAAACTCAAACATTTAAAATTGAAGTTTGTCTACAAACTTATTGCTATTAATATTTAATAATCACCTCATTCTCTGAAGTATAGATACATTTTCGACTTTACTATACCAACCTCAATTAAGACACTAACAAGCATATGTGAGAAGGAACTTGCTTTAGAGTAGATCCAAAGGAAATCTATGAAATGAGCATTTTGTTAACGGTTCGCTTTAAATCCTTCAAAAATTGACGTCAACAACTTTGAGCCACTTTTTGTACCACTGGAAAGAAATTTATCATTTGATCATACTCTCACCAAAAATAGAATGGATTTTGCATACTGATAATGTGGCATACAGATTTTCTACTAAAACCTTCTAAATTTGCTTTATTTTGTTAAAATTCTTTTGCATCAATATTATTAGACCCACTTTCACCAAATCTTGATAATTTTATCCCATTGATAAATCCAGCTTTTAACCAAGAGAGTGTTTAATGCTGCTGTAACCACATAGTTTATCTGGAGGTTGGTAAAAGTGCGCGTTTAGTATTAAATCCCACATAACAATTTCAGTTTGGAGAGTACATAATACACTCAAACACTATTCAGTTTTGCAGGAAAATGCGTATGATAGAGAGGAGTGGAAGGAAGAATTCGGTTTGGAAAGGATTTATTATTCTTGTGATGAATAAGTGTCTGAAAAATCAAAAAAAATAAAAAATTTGGGATGTATAGAATATGTTCAAAGTTCACCTTTATTTTTTATTATCACATACAATTCTGATGCTCGCAATTTTGGACATACCAAAGAAAGTTTGCGCGGCACACCGCTCATTTACTAAAAATGATCGCAAGTTGCAGATAAAACAACACTATCTTAACTTATTGAATGCGGAGCTAAGAGAACTAGTTTTAGATGCCAATCAACATGGGTTGGTATTCAATTCCCGGGAGGTCTGAAGTTACCTGGGTAACCCAGACACAGCGATGTTATACAACTTTGTATTAACTTTCGCAATTATAAAATAATTCTGTCTGTAATTTTGTCCCGATATCAGCCACAAAGAACTACTTACATTAATAATTCGATTTGTTAACACCGAATCAAAGCACGTACAGGAGTCGGTCTGACATCTATATTTTTAGACACAATAGAAGTACTAGGTTTAGACATTTACTACTGTAGAGGACAGGGCTACGACAGTGGAGCCAATATGAAAGGTAAGAATAACGAACTACAAAAACATATTTCAAATATAAATCCGAAAGCGTTATTTGTTCCTTGCTCCTGTCACTCTATTAATCTTGTTTCAAATGATGCTGCAGAATCAAATATAGAAATGGTCAATTTTTTTGGAATAATACAAAGCTTGTATAATTTTTTTTCTGCATCCACTTATAGATGGTCTATTCTTGTCAAACATCTGACTAATTTAACATTAAAACCTGTACGTTCTACGAGATGGGAAAATAGAATAAATGCGATCAGGCCCGTCACATTTTTGTCCCGTCACTTTTTGGTATTGTAGAAGACACGTCTTTGCTGGGTTTTCATCGAAATAATACTAAAGTAGAAGCAAGCAATATATTAGAGAAGTTAAATTATCAGGCCATATGCATTACAATAATTTGGTATAAATAGCAATGTACGCAATGTACTTTTAGATGTTAACAGAGTAAATCTCCTACTACATAGCCCAAAGTGTACGGTTTGTGCAGCAGTTGAAATAATTGAACAGCTTGCAAATAATCTAAAAAAACTAAGAAGTGACGAAGAGTATTAAAAATTATTAGTTATAGCGTCTGAACTTCAAACTCTGCAAATTCAATAAACGTACAACCAAACTTTACAGAAATCAGAACGCATTTTCAATAATGAAACTTTTGACAACCCAATGCAAGATCCGTACAAAAATTTAAAGTTGATGTATATTTTAATTTACTTAAAATAGCGATTTATTCAATAGAGGAGCGTTTTCAACATACATTCGGATTTTTGCACAATCTTGTCGGCCTAAGAAATTGGGAAAAAGAGGACGTCATAAAGCAAAGTATGAATTTGGAGATTAGTCTTAGATATAACAATAGAAAATACATAGACAGCATTCAGCTGGCCTTACGAAGAACCTTATGAAGTTTTTAAATATATTTTAAACAACAATTTAATTGTTATGTATCCAAATCTTTATATCGCTTTGAAAATCCAAAAAGAATTTTAATAAAGTTTTAACAAATTTATATTTGTTAGTTTGCAATTTGCAACTTCAATAAATAAATAGAAATAAATCAAAGTGCATTTTTAAAAGGACACTTTTTTAAATTTTTATTTAGGCAAGGGCGGCCAAATCCATTTTCGCTTGTAGCAGCCAAATCTCTGGCGCCCCCCTGCTTATAGGAGACATCTCCACAGTTATCTATTTTACCATAACATAATTCAGAGGGAAAAGCCACAATATTCAGCGGGTTTTTTCAGTCAGATTTTTTTCAGTACACAGAATTCAGTGCCGCACGGATATTCACAATTTGAATTTCAGATTCAGGGGGCTCTATCATCGCCCTCGCATAACTCTGAGCTATTTAGAAGGAGTTTTCGTCATTGACTGCCTTTTGTTCTGATACATATGTTTCTTTTTTTTGTTAACTGTACTAGATTCTAGGTTTAATTTTCAGATTAAGTTGAGTAGTGCTTAAGGACTGGACTTAGCCTTTTCATACTTATACCGTTATTTTTTTTCTCATTTATTTAATAGAATTGTTGCCTTATGAATATGAATAAAATTATTATTATTATACAGTTTGAATACAACCTTAAGGTATAAAGTGGCATTTTCTGACTGGAAGTTGGCAAACTTCTTAGTTGAACAGTTAACATTTGATAGGAAGATATAACATGTTGCTGTAATTTATTAATTTTGATGCGTTTATTTATATTCTTTCATGAACAAGTAGTAAAACGGTTAATGCCTAATTATCCTAGCTTCCAGAAAATTAGCCTATTTATTTGCCAGAAAACAATTAATTTCATGATGCATTTCATGAATTTTAAGCTTGTAGTCATAAAAGACTAACTTCAAAGATATAGTAAGAAGGTATCGAAATTTGATCAATCCGTACAGCATATTTAACCATGATGAAACCAGTGCTAGCATTGAATAGAAATATAGTTAAGCATGTTGGATATAACTTAGCAAACTCCTCAGTTGAAGAATTAACATTTTATAGAAATCTGTCGGACTTTCCTATACCAGGCTGCTGCTCCGTATGTGATCATAGGTGTAACCACAGTAACATAGAGCCAGTACAGTTTTTCAGTGGTAAGACCCCAACTTTTTCCACAAAGACTGCCCACCCTTCGGGTAGCCACCTCCCGGTCTGAAGCGTATTGTATCACCATGGAGTGAAGTAGACAGTATTCTACTATCAAGCATATTGCGGATCCAACCCGCTATAGTTTCAAGACTCTCTTTTTGTCTTACGTATGTTATATTTCTCCCATTCTCCTAATGTCTTGGCCCGGTTAAAAAGCCTCCGGACCTTTTGTCTTTCGGAGCTAAGAGATTCGTTCCACCAGGGTGTGCCCCAATTATTACTTTTCACCTTCATTGGACTGCTACTGTGGTAGGCAGAACGAATTGCTACAGAGATCTGCTCCGAGGCTATTTCAATCTGATCACAGTTAGTAACGGTAGCGATGACACTAGTTAGGTTATCTGCAAGGCAACTCTTAAACAGATCCCAATTAGTGCTACGGGGATTACGGTACGTACAGTCCGATTTCATCCCTAGGTCAAATTTAAATTGAATATGTCTATGATCTGAACACGACGATGCAGAGGATACTCTCCAGGAGGTTATCTTGGAGATTAATATAATTGAGCCGAACGTAATGTCAAGTACCTCTGCTCAAGCTTTTGCTTCACGAACAAGTAGTACAACGGTTAATGCCTAAAATTTATCTAAGTGTTTGCCAGAAAAGAATTTTTTCATGATGCATGATGTATTTGGTAACAAACATAGCAGCCAATGCAATATGTATCCAATATCGCCTTTCTTGAACATTTTTGATTTCACTTTTAATCTAATCAAACATTCTCCATAGATTTAGTGAATATTCTATGTACAGAAGTAGAAACTGCGTCAGTTTTTTGGTCTGTTCAACACATCGCGATTGATTGGTTTTTTAACAAAATTGTTTGTGAAATTAATTCATAGAAAATTTGTATTACGTTATTAGAAATTCCGTGTGTAATATTATCGAAGAATTTCATTTGGTTTTCCTGTGGAATTCTTTATAATTAACGTTTGTTAACCACTATGAGTTGTTTTCTATAGAATTTTTTGCGATGCGACTACAAATTAAATCAGTTATTAACGATAATAAGTACAAGGTTTTGAGATTAATCGAAATCTGGGTATGGAAGCAGAAATGACTACACAGTCAGAGAATTTTTAATTAATCATGTATCTCTATGTCTTGACTCTGGCTTAAACCAGTGGAATTGCTAGTTGTATACGTACCAGAAGAGAAAAGAATGTCTAAAGCTACGTTCACACCAAAAGGAACAGTGTGTTTATTGCAGCATTATTGCTGCATCATAGGCGATGTAGACGGAAAGTTTTTTTGTTACCTACTATGTTTTAAGCATCATCGATGAAGACCATTTTTATTACACTGTTTTTATGAATAATTCCTACAATCACATTATTCGCTTCTAGTTTATTAAAAAACACAGAATTAATTGTCTTCTATTGCGTATTATTTCGGGGAAAAAACCTTAAACAACATTTTTTTCCCATCGTGCGTTTTATTTTTCAATGAACCCATAAAATCATTAACATGTTAATGATGTACCTGCGACGATCCCCGATGACCAAACCACACGTGTAACAATTTACTTGCAGATGAGTTTCGAACGAGTCGTTTTTTTCGTTCCCCACTAAACCCCGGTGTTTTTAACCGTATTTTTCGCCTTTTCCGCATTGATTTCTTCTACCTCCAGGCATCCTTCAGGTAAAAGGTACATAAACGTTTAAACCTTGATTCGTTTTAATTCTTCATTTTTTTAAAACATTTAATTTCTTTAACACGTATAAATGTTGTTTGGATGTCACGATATCTATTGTAACTATTTGATTGTAATTATTTGATTATAATTGTACACTGAAATGATGATCGTAATAAGATAATAATAATTGTTCTTTTTTTGCTTTAATCAATAATGATAATTGCTCTTAATTTCAGCGATACAATAGAATCAGAACGTGCATAAAAAAACTTTTATGAATGCGGAAATCTTGAGATTTTACTCAAAGAATAATTTTCCTATTGTTTTAATATTTTTTTCTCTATACTACTTACCTGTCGTTGACTTTACCACCTTTTAATGTTGGTGCGTTTATTTGTAAAGGATTCGTTTTTAATATTCCTTTGACATTCAATCGGTGTATTTTACAACCTTGGATGGTTTTTATTGTTTAGTACGGTTTATTATTTGTTTGTTCGATGAAAATACCTTTTAGATTAAAGTTAACGTTTTTCTTAATTACTTAAAATTGATGGGGGAATGTTGGAATTTATTTTTTTTAAGTCTTTTAATTTTTGAATTTTTTTTTAGGTTCCTTTTATGTGCAACACGTTCTTCTTTACAGAAAAAAAGAAATTATTAATACGTGATGAACTCACTAAAATACAATCACAAAGAAATATTGAAACGATCTCAATTCCAACAACCTCCATTGTTCAAAATTGGAAAAAAGATTTATTTTACTTCCCCCAGCGAGTTTAACAACTTCTTAACACGCGATTGGTCGGATTTACTAATGCGTTTCGATCCTACAGGTGTATTTAAGCAGAAAACGGTGCCCAGTTCTCCTACAGATTTTATTTATCCTTTGTTTAGTTCGAGTTAAGTGCAACTATATAAAACTTATAAACATGTTCGATTTACGGTTAAACAACAAATTTTTAACTTCTTTTATATTTGTCAGTTTTCTTTTAATTGCCAATGGTGTTCAAAGGGATTATTGCGATTTAAAATGCAAAAGTGGTAATCAAATTTTTACTCACACCGTTTGCCAAAGAACCAAAGACGTAAGTTGAATGAAAATATTTTTTTTAATTCACGTTTTATTAACAGTTGAAGTGTAGTTAATGATGTAACTTTAATAAATCCAACCTTGTATTTATTGTTACAAAACAATGTTATTACAACGTATTTTTAACTTTAATTTATCTTTTTCCGATCTATTTTTATATGAATCATTTTTTTCCTCTATTATAAAGAAATGTGGTCCTCATCAAAGATGCGGTTCTGAATTTCAAGTTATTAAAATCGACGATAAAATGAAACATTTTATAGTTAATCTTCATAATGATTTAAGGAATAAAGTCGCTTCTGGTAATGAAACTAGGGGATTACAACCATCAGCTATGAATATGAAAGTTATGGTAATTATTACTAATTTTTTTTAATGAGATTCTTTTAATTACTTTTTTTCGTGTCTTTTTAGACTTATGATTCTGAATTAGAATACATAGCTCAATGTTGGGCAAATACTTGCAATGCAAGTCCATTAAAACATGATAAATGTCGAAGAACAAGTAAGTAAATATTATTAGTAAAGATAAAATTAAGTTTTCGTTGACCATCTAATTCGCAAAAAAGTAGGCAAACATAAGAAATACTTCAGTAATAGTGAAACCAATTGTAACCACACTATTATAAAACAGCTCACTGGGTATCATTGCCGGTCCTAAGCTTTCAGTATATGCTTCTATTAAAGAATCCAGAACAGCTACCTAGTCATCAAATATGTTATTTCCACATGTGTGGTCACTCAACATTTTTGCTAGCTCTGGAAAATGTTCTAACTTTTATCAAAACTTGTACAATACTCATTTTATTGAATTTTATTTTTAAATAAAATAACTTTTTTTAAGGATTTTTTGATCATATTGGTCAAAATTTAGCTTACGTAAAAAGCACCGCTCTCAATATCGGATTAAAATATGCCATAGAAACGATGATAATGCATTGGTATGATGAAGTTGCGATATTCGATAGTGAATGGGTTAAATCTACACAACCAAGGTTAGAAATGTTAACAAAAAATTTAACAAAACAAAAAAAAAGTAAAAGATTTTGTTTAACGAATCTGAAATAATTAACATTGACATTTTGATAATTCCTTTGCGTCTTCCTCATATTTCTAGAGGTTCAATTAAGGTCGGACATTATACGCAAATGGTTTGGGCGGATACAAATCGAATTGGTTGCGGATTATCTTTTTACACCAAAACGAGCCAAAAAACTAACCGAAAGTGGTATCATTATTTTCTGGTGTGTAATTATGGGCCTGGAGGTAATTATATCGGTTTACCTGTTTACAAGGAAGGTCCATCTTGTAAAGCATGCAAGAATGGAGTCTGTAATAAAAAGTATTCTTCATTATGTGATTAAGAACAAAGTATTTATGTTTTAATTTTTTGAAATAAATATATTTTTTTAGTAAAGATTAAGTTTTTTTTAATTAGATAAGATTTTAAAAGTTAAATACATAAGTTTTGAAACCAAGTTACTAATGGTTATAAGCCTCTCTATTTGCTTTGCTAATGAACTAAAGGATTTCCGTTTGTCCCGTTTACTTTGATGACCCTCTAATTGTTACATGAATCGGTTTTCAGTCTTTGTGTTAATTATCCACCCTATATTTAAACACAAACTTCTTTTTTTTCCATTTTTTTATTCATAACAGTTTCTTATAATGTTTACAAATCGAAAAATAAAAAATTATAATCACAACTTCTTTTTATTTTGATTTAAACTTAATTTATTTAAATTCTATTTTTTTTTTTCATCGACTCACTACAAAGTACAAAACTTGTTTAGTTTTTATTTTTCTTTATAACTTGTTTTTTTTTTTAAATTGACTTCTTACATTTTTTTTTTTTTTAAGATAAATCTGATATTTTGATATCATCAACAAATTTTAAAAATTAAATAAAATTGATTTATACTCTACGAGATGATTCAGTTGCGCAAGTTCATTTTTGGATTTCCTGAAGTCTTATTTGTAATAGATAACTTGATTTTGAAACAAGACATCTTTTCCTTTGCATATTGCCAAATTAGATTGTGATTCAGATGGCTATTCTGCACAGTTTAAAATCAAGCAGAACGCTATAGGTCTAAACTTTCCATTTTATTGTAGTATTACATTTTCTGTATACAGAAACTTGTAGGAAACCTCAAAATAGTTGTATTTGCACCCTTACCACGTGAAATTCCGTCCCAAAAATTATCAGGAGTGTTTCTAGGTACATAGTTTATTTTTGGAAACACCTTCATTACTAAAAGATTCGTTCTCATCATATTGGGGAATTTTTCAAAAATGTCTAACTTTATTATTCCATTGCCAAAGTTGGCAACGTTGATGCCAGAATTACTTTTGATGCTTCAGATATTGGTCATCCATAGATCTCTTCAACGCTTGAATGCTAAGGTATGAGACGCTACTTTTATGAAACAGTGTCTGCGATAAGTTTGGTCACAAGTTCGAACTGGGTAAGATCGTGTTTAGTTGATTTCAAAAGAAACTAGTAGTGGTGAAGGGAAGTAAGGAACCACACGATCGATTTATAAGACGTCTGAAAGAAAACCATTTGCTTCGTGTGGATTGGAAATCTCTCCGGGCTCTGGCCATCACACACCAAATTTTATACTACATTGAATATCTAAGAAATGCCTGAAATATATTTTTTCTAAACCTAACATGACACCTTTGTAATAGACGTATAGAAAAGGTACACTCAGTGCGGAAACACTGCGGAACAAGAACCTTAAGTTGTAAACAATCTCGTTATAAAGTAATCATTGAAATGGTGAACATCGTGATTTTGCCATAAAAGTGTTTAACAGAAATAATGGCAGGAAGGCTTGCAGAGAGAAATGTGACGTTATTTCAGTTTAGAAAATGATGGTCGAGTTCTCTTGAAACCTTATGGAACCTTACAGAGCCCGCGGTATTTGGCTCATAAGGAAGTAAGTTAGAAACTACAAGTTACAGTCTCTCGAGAAATGTGTTTGCCGAATTAGTAAGAGTAAAACAGTTAGCAAAAAAGTTTCTGAGATAAAGTATGTAGGTAAAATGTTAATCTATGCCAGTCTACCAGATGTCTATCTACGTTAATCTATCAGATGCAAGGTAAAAGACTGGTAGCCAAGATCAAAGTTAGGTTCGAGAGGTATACAGGATTTTAGAAGATTCTACCAGATTCAACTTTTCAAACTGTAAATACCTCTGTGTTTAAGACAAACTATATACATTATTGATAGTTGTTTTACATGAAATTAATATTCACAATGTTGTAGACATTGTTATTATACCACCCAATTATGACATGCAAACATTTCGAAAGATGTGCACGATAGAGATATTCTCGAGACTATGTGATAAGTCAATATCAAAGAAATGGCGGGCTTCATAACAAACTCCCAAATGGACTAAAAGTAAAACAAGTTATGGGTAAAACCAATCCAATGGATATTTAGCGCGTACAAGTCAAATAAAAACTAAGCTATCATTATGCAAGTAATTCATAGATATGCCAAGGAGAAGAACAATTCTGGAAACCTTATGGAACCGTACAGAGACCGCGATATTCGGTTTGTAAGGAAATAAGTTAGAAACTACTAGTTATAATGAGAATTTTCCATTTTGATTTAAAATTTCATGCATACTAGTTGCAGGTTGTGCAAGAACTGATGGAGAATGATCACCAGTTAATTATCAAATGGTATTTTCCTGCTATTAACCACACTGATTTATTAGAAATCATATCTAAATGTTTAATGTAAATAGAACAAGATTGCAGCTGTGGGATATTTCGATTCTGAGGAAGAGTTTATAAATATCACACCGAGTTATGAGCATGCTACCCATTATAGGTGTAAAATCCGCCCAAAAAAGCTTGATATAAGGAAGTTGAAGTTTGTCAAAATAATGACTTAGGTTGCTCAAATCTAGTCTGTGAAACTTTGAAATAGTCATGTGATAATAAATACACAATTGTACAGTTTTTATATTAGAAGAGTTCAGAAACTAAAAGCCAAAAGGTTAATTCAACTTATAGATGCCAACAGTTATGGTCTTTGGCATTCACAACTTTGCAGATATCAGCGTCTACCATGAAGGTTTGCAAAAAGGGCAAAAGAGGTGATATACATGCCATGCAAATACTTGGCCATAAATATTACGTTAAACCACATTGTTTTTCTTAGTGCAAAATGTCTGGGACGAAAGAAGCACTATGCCATGATGCTCTTTCTGTATCTAAATACATCGTTACCTTAAGCAGTTACACTATTTACATCGAATAACATAAGGAAGGAGTCACATTCATCTCCTACCAGTAAGAACAAAGAAAGTTAATGTACCTAATATCCTTCAAGTTAAATATAAGTCTTGGAATAAACATTGATATGATATTTCCATGTTAGTCTTGTTTTTAAATAAACTTCCAGACACTTTATTGTATTTTCATTAGTTTTCCATTCAATCTGTTGGTCATTAATGACTAACTGTTGACGGTTTCTTATTCTTTTTAGTGTAAACATTTTTGCAGCACTTTTTTCTTGATTTATTTCTAAGTTCTATAGATTTAGCCATTTATTTATCTTTTGCGCGTTTATTTGTAATTTTCTTATTGTTGAAGTAAGATCATAGTCTTTGGTGAATAGGACTCTGTCATCAGCGAACATTGCTAGGTGATCATCAATAATTTGGATGATATCGTGCATATGTGTATTAAAAATAATTGGAAATAAGACACTTCCTGCTCGAATAGATGATTTAGAGGAGATTCAGTTGTGGATTTCGATAGAAAAGGTTCATGTGATATTGAAAAACATTTTGCTTGAGAATTTTGTATTTTAACCCAATCAGCCAAATTTGATCAAAAGCTTGTGTCACATTTCGTATACATTCGGTCAACCAATCTCTGGAGTTGATGACTTGTTGAGTGACCTTGTTTGAAGCCGAATTAGAAAAGTTTTTGTATAATTACTTCTAATTTTGAATTTCTGATCTAAGAAGCGTTTCATGAACACTTTATACACGCCAAAGGAATAGTGATCAGGATAACTTTTTTGAAATGGATGGGACAGGAAATGGTGTAACGTTGAATAAACCAAAAACTGGACCGTGATCGATATAAATGGTATTAATAAGAAAAATAAGCAAGAAATTGTTTAAACAGAACTCTCAATAATGATTGAATTTTTTAATTATCTCAACTGAATCATCTTGTATAATAATAATAATGTTTGAGTATTTACAAGAAACATTGAGGAAAAAACGAACACATTCAGTTTTTTTAATTTCTAATCGATTTTAACACTAAGAATCTTCAGTTCCCGGACTTCTGCACAAAATCGTTGTCGTTGACACAACCGTAATTAGAATGAAGATGACTAAAAAAATTCTATCTAAAATAATCGAAGTTTGTTTCCATTCGAGTTCCGTGAGTTCTCTTCTTTCTTGATCGGCTAAACGTTGATCGTTTCGATCGATACTCGTATGGACTTTGTTTAACATCCGGATAATTTGGGTTTCAAAACCATCTGAGGGAGTAACAAAAAAAATTAATTAAGCCATTAAACTTTTCTCGGTTCAAATTTTCGCCCTGTTTAACCTCCTTCTTTTCTAAACCAAACAATTAGGTTTGCGAAGAAAAGCAAACGATTTAAATTTAAACTTGTTGGTAGTAAGTTTCGGTTGGAATTCAAAAGGAACTTCGATGTACGAAAGTAAAACGTAAATTGCTTTACTTAAACGTTCGGATTTTGTGTACCAAATCCGAAGATCTATACCTTTTATATTCTTGTTTGAGTTGATAATGGCCGATAAGTTCCGATTCCAATTGGAATCGTTATCAAAAACGATTACTTTTATAATTTTAAACTTTATTTAAATACTTAAATATTCAAGGGATTAACGGACAATTGGATGTTAAGCTTTCCGTTTTCAATGCGGTTAAGAGCAATCTAGAAGCGTAAACACGAGATCTTGAATTTGTAAAAGGGATTACCTCACCCGTTAAACCTCAATATGTCTTAGCAAACGCAATTTAACTTGGTGTAAGATTACGCTAGAGAATCAATAAATCTTGTTATTTTAAAATTTTTGTTTTTAACCGGCTCCTCCGCCATAATTAATTTATTTTAAACTAAATATACCTAAGAGAAATTGAAATAAATACCAGGATTTTCTGGTTTGTGTCTTGGTAAGAATCGTGGTGATCTTTGTTGCCTAGGTTGAAGAAAATACCCATCTTCTTGGGCGTGCTTATCTGTCCAAGGCCATGGAGTATCCAATCGAGTTCCTGTTTGAGGATTTATTTCCTAAAATAAAATAGAACCACATAATTAATTTAAATCGTTTCATATTGATTTGGAATAAATATCCTGAAACAACAACAAACGTAATTTAAAACTTGTTTAAATTATTTAACCAATTGTTTAAATTACCAATTGAACTGAATTTCGGGTCGTTCTTTTAATTATTTTATTTAAAACTAACCTGTACTTTAGCACCACGGTGCGCAGCTGTTGAATTGTCAAAGTTCATGAATATCAGCTTTCCCATTCTGTCTAACACGACAGTTCTAACTATATTCGGAACCGGTGTTCCTCTCACACCTCTGTGATAAATATTTAATGTTACCACTGAGAGCCCAGATGCAAAAGTTACCAAGCAAATACTTGTTCCATAATAAAGACCTAAAAATTGTTTTAAATTCATTTAATTGTTTATGTTTATTAATTTTTTTTTAGAATGATTTTTTGTTGGTTGATTGATTTTCGTTGTAACAACCCTCGAAGCTTGTCGCGAATATTGCCATAAACCGTCCAGAATGCAACATTACAACCCAATCAGTACTCGAAAAACGACCATAAAAAAAGTATTGGCACTAAACCCCGACAATTTTTCGTGCAGATTCGAAGTTGGGGAATTATGCGAAAGTATAAAAATCGATCCTGTTCCTCCCCCCCGGAGGCCGTAAAAAATCGTTTGTTTGGGTTTAACATCGACGTAAATTTGCGTTTTTAAGACCCCTTGTTCTTTATATAGACATTTTTTACTACCTCTTTTTATAAATAAAATCGATTATTTCGATTTTAATTTTTTATTAAGAAAATTGGATATTTTTAAACTTTTTTATCAAAAAACTTTAAGATGTATCATCCATCATCATAAAAATTCTTTTTTCGTTTATATTTCGTTTTTAATCCATCAAAAACTTTTCTTATCTTTATCCAAAATATTATAATTTAACTTATAACTTATTGTTAGCTTAAACTTGTTAATTGCGAAGTCAATAACATGTTTTGATGAGGATCTTAAATCCCGAGGGTTTAACCCCCGGGAAACAATAAAAGCGAAACGGCTTTTATCTACTTTGTGTTTATTTTTCTTGTTTCCGGTTAAAATAATAACCCTTCAGGCTTTTAATAACGTTTACGAAAATTGTTATAGGATAAAAGAACACATTTTCTATTTTTTAAATTACTTTTTTTTCGAGGGAACGCGAAGAAAATTCGATTCGATTTAATTGAACGCCGTTTCAGTTTGGGGTCTAATAATTTCACGCGACAGAAGATGTCAAGTTACATTTTGATAGGTTGTAATGGCGTTGACCATCACGTTATCGGCGCTAAGAACGAGGAGGACCCTGGAGAGTTTGTCAAGGGAGAAGGGTCGTAAAGAAAGAATTCCGTGCGAGAAATAAATCCACGTCTGGAGATCCGTAATTAAAAAATAATTGGCCAATTATAACGCGAACCTAATTTCCCGGTTTTGGGCACAACGAATATTAATTGCCTTTGAAATCAAGTGGCTAGAATGCAAATTTCTGTTTACGAATATTACCAAAACCATAAAAATTAATTACATTTTTTTAATTGTGATTTCTAAAAGAATTTTTTTCTACTTACTTATTAATGGTGTTTTTTCGGTTGGCGGTAAAGTTTCTCTTATGGTCATCAGGAAGACTGTCATTGATAATAATGCGCTGATACCTAAAGTTACTTTTTCACCTGATTCCGAAGGCACGTAAAAGACCAAAAGAGCTAAAATCAAAAATGTATTCGATTTATTAACAAAAAATTTACCTATGTACTTTGTTTTTCCACCTACTTTACAAGCCGACATCTTCGTTGTCTTTAGAGATAACGAAATATTAAATACACCACTAAAAAACTTTGTTATTTCTTCATCTAAACCTTTTGTCTCGTCAATATCATGCTATCAATGGCGGAAAAAATACACATAATAAACTCATTTTGTGCAGGGTGGGCAAATTTGGGTGTTATTATAGGCTATCTCAGAAACTATAAGAGATACGAAAAAAGTAGATGCCATGTCTCGGTCTCTTTTTCCGAGACTAATCAATCCCGCAAAAACCAAATCTCTATCTTCTTTTGTTTTTATGTTATAATCGAAAAGTCAAATTTTAGCGATTTCGAAAAATGCTCATATTTCGTTTATTTTTGAAATTAGATAAATGGGGTTAATACATTCTACAGGCACTTTTTTAAGTAGAATATACTGTCGTTGAAAAATTTTAAACATAGCTGATAATTTTTGAGATATAACATAAAGTTGTATTTTTTTAAATACAAACTATGGTTGATTATGATGTTATTGAACAGAGCATATTTTTAGCTTTCCAATGATGTATCGCACGCATGATGTATCTGCAGAAAATAAGTGTTTTTTTTCAATTCTAAAATATTAAAGATTAAAATTTAAATTTTTAATTATAGTAGGCGAGGAAAACGCTAAATGCTACTTAGTTACTATAGCAACGTGAGTTTACGTAACGAGTTTCCCGTTTAAGAAGTTCCGCATTATCTTTAAATAAAACGATAAAATTAAATATAGAATATATTGGAGTCCGCTTTGAAGATGATACGTAAGTCTTCATATCCATAAGTCCGCTCCCAGTTTATGATCCCTAATTTCCTCTATCTCACCCAATTTCAAAAGAAAATATTGCTGATATCAAAAAACTTCTAAATCTTATGTTTGGGGAAAACTGGGAAAATACTACCGAAGATTTCATTCGTTGATTCCGAACTGTTCTAACCTTTCAACCAGCAAGTTTAGTAGAAGAAGATGACAGTTTGTGACTGTTTAGTTCCTGAAGTTGTTGTTCATATTAATTATTCATTAATACATTTCTTGTATTTTTAATAAACAAACTTTACTTGCTAACCATTTTTTATTGGTGAACAAAGTCAGGGATAAGATGTTGAGAAATTTAAATTAACTATTCAAAGTTTTTATTCGTTGGTACAAAACCAAGTTTATCCTGAATAATAGCACAAAACCACCTTTATTATTTATTGTCCTGACCCGCCTACTATAATCAAAATTTTGAATAATTTGGCGCTTACTATTTTGGAATTGAAAATTAACGCTTATTTTCTGCAAGGACACCATACATGCGATACATCATTGGAAAGGTAAAAGTATGCTCTTTTCAGTAACATCATAATCAAGTATAGTTTGTGTTTAAAAAAACACAACTTTGTGTTGTATCTCAAAAATCATCAAGTATATTTAAAATTTTTCAACGGCAGTATATTCTACTTAAAAAAGTGTCTTAAGAACGTATCAACCCCATTTCTCTACATTGAAAAATAAAAGAAATATGAGCATTTTTTGAAATCACGAAAATTTGACTTTTTGGCTATAACTTAAAAACAAAAGAAGATAGAGGTTGTGTGTTTGCGGGATTGGATTAGTCTCGAAAAAAGAGACCGGGACATGGCACCTACTTTTTTCGTATCTCTTATAGTTTCTGAGATAGCCTATAATAACACCCAAATTTGCCCACCCTGTACATAATGAGTTTATTAGGTACATGGTGATGGTCTTTCCGGAATTGATATCATGATAGTGACAGATCAAAAGTTTTAGATGAAGAAAAGATTAAGCGTTTTAATGGTGTATTTAATATTTTGCTATCTCTAAAGGCTACGAAGATATCGGCTTGTAAAGTAGGTGGAAAAACAAGGGTAAAGTTGCCGCAGGGGTAAAAAGTGTAACTTACCAATACAATTTATAAGTATACAAGGTAAAATTAAATTAAAAACGTAAAACATGGGTCTTCTACGTAATTTTATCGTATACGTTATGTCCGGATAAGGCTCCGGGCAACAAGAATAATACTCAATGTGACGAACTGCGTAAAAATTCACTAAATCAAATTCTCCGTTAGCTTGATAATTGCTGACGTCGCCTTCTTCAGTTTGTTTAACTAATTCCACCTGGTAATGAAAGAAAGGAACATTATCAAATCAAATTGCAATAATTTACTGCAATTAAAATATTTTAATACATTTGTTTAAATATTTAAAATATCGGACTCGAATTTGTGATAATTTAAGCCCAGAATAATAAGACTTCTCAAACCATCTAATCTTTTGCTTTGCATAATGAAATTAGATTGTGGTTCAGTTGACTATTGCGCACACTTTGAGATTAAGCAGAACGCTATAGGTCTAAACTTTCCATTTTATTGTAGTATTACATTTTCTGTATACAGAAACTTGTAGGAAACCTCAAAATAGTCGTATTTGCTCCCTTATCACGTGAAATTCCGTCCCAAAAACTATCAGGAGTGCTTCTAGGTATATAGTTTTTGTTGGAAACACTTTCATTACTAGAAGATTCGTTCCCAACGTATTGGGGGATTTTTCAAAAACGCGTATCTTAATTATTCCATTGCCAAAGTTTGCTCGCGTATGCTTATCGTGTTTAATATGATTTTCTATACCTATAAGACTAAGAAAAGATTAGTAGGTTTGATGCCAGAAATACTACTAAATCCATTGATGTCTACAACGCTTGATTGCTAAGGTATGAGACGCTACTTTTAGGTGTCTGTGTCTGCGAAAGGTTTAGTCATAGGTTCGAACTGGGTAAGGTCGTGTTTAATTGATTTCAAAGGAAACTAGTCGTGCTGAAGGGAGGTAAGGAACGACATGATAGATTTATAAGAGGTGTGAGGAGAAAACCATTTGCTTCGTGTTACACCAAATTTCACACTATATAGAATTTCTAAGAATTGCCCTTTGAAAAGTTATCTTCAGTGCGGAAATAGTGCGCAACAGGGACCTTAAGTTGTAAATAATCTCGTCAATTAGAAATCATTGATCATTGAAAATGGCCAACATCGTGATTTTGCCATAAAAGTGTTTAATAGAAATAATGGCAGGAAGATGCGTAGAGAGAAGGCTGACGCTATTTCAGTTTAGAAAATGATGGTCGAGTTCTCTTAAAACCTTATGCAACCTTACAGAACCCGCGGTATTCGGTTCGTAGCAAAAAAGTTTCTGAAATAAAATATGTCCAGATAAAATGTTAATCTATGCCAGTCTATCAGATGTCTCTGTGTTAATCTATCAGATGCAAAGCAAAAGATTGGCAGCAAAGATCAAAGTTAGGTTCGAGAGGTATACAGGATTTTAGAAGATTCTACCAGATTCAACTTTTCAAACTGTAAATACCTCTGTGTTTAAGACAAACTATAATTATTGATAGTTGTTTTACATGAAATTAATGTTCACATGACATCCAAACATTTGGAAAAACGTGCACGATAGAGATATTCTTACAGAATGATCAATTTCATAAAGACTATGTGATGATGAATCAACATCAAAAAATAGCAGACTTCAGAACAAACTCCCAAATGGACTCAAAATAAAACAAGTTATAGGTAAAACTAATCCAATGGATATTTAGCGCGTACAACTAATGCAAAAACTAAGCTATCATTATCCAAGTAATTCATAGATATGCCAAGGAGAAGAACAATCATCTATTCACAGTCACTACAGAAGAAATAAAGATTTTTATGGCAGCCTTGTTATTGAGCCCCTTATCTAGAGAAAGACTCTCAATATTTAATTTATTAAATGATACTTGTGAAGATAATTTTATTGATATTAACTATATACTCAAACAATGAGATAAAATCAAATTTGTAAAAACAACTGTTCTACTACTTTATTAAAGAATCCTCCAAGTTATCGGCAATGATAAACTAAATAATAAATTAAGCTATCTGAAAGCTTTTCGTTGCAACATACAATGTCTAAAATACAGTGTGATAAAAATTACTGGGTTGAGTTGGGTTAGATTTTTGTAACTTATCTAACATCGATTGTGAATTAATAGAGATTTCAGTATAGTGTACAATAAGCATCCTAATTGATACAGTAACCACCCTGATTGCGGCATCAGAAGAGGAATTCAACGACCTAATCGGGCGAGTAGAGAAATGTTATCGGTCTAAACGTGATCAAAAAGAAAGCTAAAATTATGATAATTGACCAAGTGAACGATAACAGACCTGAAATAAGGAAACTAAAAGAAATAAGGAAATTAACAGGAGAAGCTCGCTAGCGAAGGAAGCCCTGAAAAGACTAACAAACATGTGGAGAAGTTGTGCAATCTCTTTTGCAACGAATATGAGGGTGGGTCTTCTCTATATATTGGACGTTAACTACGCACAAAGGAAATTCGCTGCCTTGGAGATCTTTTGCAGAATGCTAAGAATTCCGTGGACACTAACGAGTCAATACTACAACAACTGACACCAAAAATGATTGCGAGTAGGGATGGCTGGAAACTTTTGAATATTTCTTGGATACGTGGTGGACTTATCTTAGAGGGCATAGTAGCAGGCAAAATGTCGCGTGGAAGATTCGCTACAAGGTCATCACAAACAACACGTCTGGGGCGTACATTCAAGATCGCTGAGAACAGGGATGAATGGAGAAATGCTGTGGAGAGCAACTCATGACAGTACGATTTTCTAACACGACACGTTTTTGACTTTGTGCGGTATGCAATGGTTTTATCATATAAATACCAAATGTTCAAAAACGCGACCAATAATGATATCGTCCATAATCCTAGCCCAACCTTTAAGAGAGCATCTCCATAATTTGTACTATTAAATCCCAATATTTTTTAGCATAAAAGAAATCAAATTGCAAAGCAGCTTTTTAATGAATACAAAATGTGACAAAAGAGATTTGTCCCTACAAATAATACTGAGATGCAGTATTATTATCAGAGGGCATATTAAATCAGATGAAACTTTTATATTTATGTATTCATCATTAATAATCAAAATTGCTATTAAACAAGATATTGGCATGAATTGTAGATTATTAAAAGCACTATTTCCGAAAATTACATGTTGTCCTACTATTCCTGGAAATGCTGAAACCGCGAGTAAACATCGAGCTGGGTCCTAGTTTAACAGGACGACCTCGTACAACGTAATTAAATTTCAATTTTGGAAACCAACCAATACGAGCACTTTTAGTTGGTGAAATTATATCTCGAGTACTTTCGATATGACACAACATAGTAAGTAGTTAGAAAATAAAAATTAAATAAAAACGCAATCTTTAATATTCTTTTAATCAATACCCCATAATTTGAATAAAATTAATATTCTCGGTTGTTGCTCCATTTTCTTGGTTATTTATAAGTATGTTTATGAATATTTATACGTATTAAAATCCTATTTCTTATTATTCTGTTTATTTATGATATAAGATTCAAGAAAATTAACTTAGTGTATATTGATATCACAATCAATCTTCCGCAATTCTGTAACATCAAACATTTCAAGCCGTTTGAACCTGGTACAACAATTCCCAAACATCAATAACGGAACAAACCCCCTTTCTATTGAGGTAGCAATCTCTCAAAACATTACACGTTACACGCTTTCAAGTCAATTCTGTTCTACTGTTCAAACAATAGAGCGATTCACTGTGATTAAACCAACGATGTGTTTCAATTTATCTCTGAAATTTTTATCTAACCAATTTTCCTGAAATATAGCTACCTTCTTACTTGAAAACTATGTTGATAGATTCCGATACATGTCTCCGCAGAATTTCTAACCTCGCTCAATTAATCCTGAAACTTCTAAGTTTGGGTAAATCAATAGAATTGGAGTTGCGGGGTACGAAGTGTGTATTAGAAGAGGTGTTTTTGGGGTTGGATTGGGTGATTCGAAGTGGGCCTTCATTTACGACGTAATATGGGCAACTGGGGTGGCGACATTATCGTTTTATAGTAAACTATTAAACTCGAGCCGTTTTCCTTTATTCCTTGCGGCAGCTTTACCGCTTAAACGTGATAAGAACACCACATTTTGTATTCAACGAGTCGCAACAATATAAAGAGATAATAGGAGTGTTTTGGTGGTGAAGGTGTTTGCCTCAAAATGTGGATAATCCAATATCTACGAGTTTATGGCGGAAACGTATTGTTTAAGTTTCTTTATTAGTTTTTTTTGGAATTTTAATGAAGTTCTTTTGTGTCAAGAAATTGACTCTATATAAAACATTTGGAATTGTTCCATTTTCCTTGTTTCTAATTTCACGTTTTTGTTACTTCAATATCAACTTTGTTAATAAGGTTTCTCGTAAAAATTCTCCGCTTTCTCGTTTTAAAATTAAAAAATAAGAAATGTTTTTATTCTGTATTAAAGATTTATTCATTATTTCGTTTGGACGACATTGACTTTGACCTAGGAGTAATGCAGGAGTGCAACGGCTTCGATGTTCTATTTAAAGCTATGACCTATTTCTGAAAAGCTTTGTCAAAGCCACCAACCCGAAAGTAAGTGATTATAACTTTAGTGAAAAAAGTTTAATTAATTTTTTTAAAGAAAATTGTATTGTTTGATATTTTATTTTTAAAAACACAAAACAAGACAATGTGCTTAGGTATCATGTTTTCTTAATGAGCACTAAAACGTCTTCCTTGTATTCGATTTGAGTATCTTAAACGGATTTTGCGAAATAATTTGAAGGGAACAATTTCTTTTTGCTGTAATTATAGTGAAAGGTTTGTTAAAGATTTGTAAAAGTAACAGATTGGATTTTTCGTGGCGCTCTTTCTAAATCGTTTGCTTCTCCATAAATAAAAATCTCTTTCAATACTCTTTAACTTGAACGAATTTCCATCTGTAAATTCACTTCATATTGATCGATACCGAAGTGATTCATCAACATTCTTTTTATCGTAAAATTAAAAAGAAATGGAACTCAACCACAAACAATTTAATGGGTTGAGATATCTTTGAAAGAGAATTGATTGCAACAAATGGTGATTTAAAAATAACTGAAAAACCATTAATTCTATGAATAAAAAGTGCTTTGGAAAATTTATTCTTACTATCCGTGCCAAAAGTCAAGGCCCCGCAATTTAGAGATCAATAAATTCGCAACTAATTCGCGAAAAAAATAGATCGAGAAAAAACATTTTCATTTTGAACAGGTTGTAGCCTAATGTAAGGCGGGAATAAGTTTTATACTGTACAGAGCCATTAAGGAAACAATTATCAAGTGGATAGTGGATATAAGAAAGAATACTGATCATAGAGGTAGTTAGTAAAGTTAGTTTTCTTTTGAGACGTAAATCACTCCGGAACAGAATGTTAGGTAAGGTTAGTTTATCAGGATCTCAAGTAAAAAATGTTATAATCGTTGTGCAATTCCAGCTAGATTTTTAACAACAAGGTTTTTTTCTTCGTATCTGTACTAACGGTAACAAAAAACAATATTGTTTTTGATCAAATAGATACTATGGAGTTCGTATTTTTTGAATACATTGTCCTAGTAACAAATAAGCAGGGAAGAACTCAATAGAAAATCAGAAACAGCAGCTTGTAACTTGTAATGGCATAAATAGCAATATAACAAGAAGATAACATAGGTACATTTCGTTACAAAGTGTGTGGTGGCTTCCATAGCAATTATATTAGCTTTGCCACAATCAATTTAGGAGGTTATGGTCGGAAACAAAGAAGAGCAGGGTTTTGACTGTCTTCTTGAGGTGTTTCCAAAACTTATTTTGTTGGCCTCAGTAAGTGTCTGTCAATGGAGAAGCAATTCATAAACTTCATTTGTTTTCAACTTGGCTATCGCAAGAATCTGATTATGGCGGGTACATAAATGGACCGCAATGATTTTTGGATTCAAATAAGATGTATTCTCAGGATCAGTATAAGACTTACGGATTAAGTAAACAAACTCGACACTAGTCTTCCAGAATACTGCTCGAATTGATGGTTACTGCATCAAGAATAGTGTTCTCATTCGGAAGGCCGGAAATATCTTACCCTTACCTTTTTATTATTGTGTTATGTGGCCTCTAAGGAAGTCATCCCAGATGGAAGTCGATAAATAGTAGTGATGGAACGAAAAGTGATTTTGCGAAAAGCCGAATACCGGTTATCCGGCATATCTATCCGGCTATTATGGTTATAATTTCTGGTGAATTTCTGAAGTGATACCCTACATTGCCACATTATTGCGATATTTGAATAAAAATGAAATTAATAAGAAAGCTGATAAGATATGTCAACTTATTTGGATCCATGATACAAAATGAACTGATTGAGGAACTGATTTAACTAACGAAGCAACTCTAAAAAGAGGATACTTTAATTAATAATTGGTGATATTTCTACAAGGATCCTCCAAAACGAGTTAGTTCATTGGAAAGAGGATACTTTTATTAACAATTTGCGAAATTTTCATATTCATATTCCAAGAAATGGATTTTATAGGAATTTTTAAAACTTAATCGGAGAAAATTGCAAAATTCGAAAAAATTGTCGGTCATTTCAAAAACTTATTTCTCAAAAACTAAAAGCGATTTTTCAAAACCGCTTGTTGCATTAAAAAGAGGATACTTTAATTAATAATTGGTGATATTTCCACAAGGATCCTTCAAGAAATGAATTTTATAGTGAATTTTGAAAATTATCGATGAAAATTGCAACATCGAAAATTTTATCTAAACTTCAAATATTGTTTTCTCAAAAACTAAAAGCTATTTCTCAAAACGGGTTGGTTCATTGAAAAGAGGATACTTTTATTAACAATATGGGAAATTTTCATATTCATATTCCAAGAATTACATTTTATACAAATTTTTAAAACTTAATCGGTGAAAATTGCAAAATTCGAAAAAACTGTGGATCATTTCAAAAATTTATTTCTCAAAAACTAAAAGCGATTTTTCAAAACGGCTCGTTGCATTAAAAAGAGGATACTTTAATTAATAATTGGTGATATTTCCACAAGGATCCTTCAAGAAATGAATTTTATAGCGAATTTTGAAAGTTATCGATGAAAATTGCAACATCAAAAATTTTATCACAACTTCAAATATTGTTTTCTCAAAAACTAAAAGCTGTTTTTCAAAACGGGTTGGTCCATTGGTAAGAAGACACTCTTATTAACACTTTTTGGAAATTTTCATACTCATATTCCAAGAACTGGATTTTATACAAATTTTTAAAACTTAATCGGTGAAAATTGCAAAATTCGAAAAAACTGTGGATCATTTCAAAAATTTATTTCTCAAAAATTAAAAGCGATTTTTCAAAACGGCTTGTTGCATTAAAAGAAGGTACTTTAATTAATAATCGAAAGTGATAACAGCGATAGTTCTGTTAGTAATGAATTTGATGATGAATTACAAGCAAAGAGAAGTTGTATTCAATGAAAAAAATCCTATTGGGGTTAAACTTGATTATTATCTGTAGTGTCCAACACCTAAAAGAGATACTAATTCCTGTGAATAGTGGAGTACTAAGTGATAGGTTTTTAATATCCGACCAAAGCCGGATTTTCGGAATCCGGCCGGATTTAAAAAAATGGCCGGATATCCGTTCCACCACTAATAAATAGCATCAATACCTCTAATTCAAAATTTTTATTTGTCCTCTCCGGAATGCCAGATAAGATCAAATTATTCCGCCTAAGTATCCATAGAAAATCGCCCACTTTTTCACAAAAATTCATATTTTGTTAGAGGAGCTAATTTAAGGTAAATTTTTTGTTTTGAGATTATTTTCAATTTAAATGAGACGAAAAACACAAGGTATTTGATTAAGCCATATAATATCACAGTGCACCGAACAAACCGTTTGTAAGCTGCGCTTTTACCCGTCGTTTAATCCTCTCAAACGATTTAGCACCACCAAGAAAATTCTCGCTCGACAAACATCCCACCCAGAGAATGTTTGTTTTCTTTTGGCCGACCACCTGTCTGCTTTCTGCGCCATTTGTCTTTGCAGAAAAAAGTATAGAAAGTCGTGGAAAAAGAGGGAGTTTAACTTGTAAAGTTTTAATCGTCTTTCAACAACTTTAACAGCAGGTAATAAAAGTTTATGAAAAATCTTTGAAAACGAAGATTTTATAATCTTTTTTTTCGAATTAGTTGTATAAATATTTCATTTCGACGACAATCAATTTTAATAAAGCTTTAGCTCCTTTTCAGACATACGTCTCACTTTACCGGAAAACGAAATAAATTGAGGCCATCAACTTCCGGTGACATTTTCAACCAACTAAAATTGATTTAGTTTACTAAAACTATCTATGCTTTACTTTATAATCATAACAGACATTTACATCACTATTTCAACATCGGTTACAGGTATTTATACAAGAGCAGGTGCTTTAATGTAACGCGAAATATGGATGTGATTCATAAGTAAATATGTCACTAACATACTTAGACATTTCAAGTCATGATCTTAAAACAACTTCTCTTTTGCGATAAAAGGGAAGAGCACGAATCGACGACCACTTGTTTGCACGTGCTCTTTACCACGATATTCGTGCCTCGGTTACAGCTATTTATACAAGAGCAGGAGCTTTAATGTAATGGCCCATATGCGTCATCGTAACATCAGGAGAAGCTTAGATAACAATATTCAACTTACTTAATTCGTTGTTATTGAAGAGTTTTAATTTTGTATTTCTTAAATTAATAAAAATCATAATTAGTAAATTTCTTGAACAAAACCAATCCACGAAAACTTAATTCAAAAGTAAATTTACATAATCACCCCCAAGATAGGTACTAGTTACAAGTAACGTTAAGTTAATTTTCTGTAATAAAGGCGTTTGAGTCTTTCCCTAACACCTGGTGACATTGAAGACATTTAATTTCAGCTAAGACCATCCCACTCTATAGGGAAATCCTTCAAACTCGTCTTTTTAATCAGAAAACTTGTCGCCGTGTGGCTTTCATTTCGAAGGCTCCCTAAGGCCTTCTTTTTCTAAAACGAAATGGAAAAATGTGAAATAAAAAAAAGCTCACCTGATAACCGTCATAAGTCCACGACGCCCACTTCATCGGACAGCTTTGCAGATCGAACGGAAAATATTCCACGTTAATATCACACGAGGATCTATAAATCCCGTGGCTCAACCAAACAACTTCGCCGTTATTTGAAACGATAACGTTTGTATTTATTACTGATGATTGATATTGAGGATCTGCACTGAAATATAAATTAGATTTTTTTTTGTTTTTACGAAATAGTCGATAAAAAATAAAAAATTACTTGTTGTAAAGAATAATATCTGGTTTCCAAACTCGGTGATAAGGAATCCTAATTACTTTTATACCAGCGAAATCAGAGACGTTCCATTTTAAATGATGGTCAAACCAAATTTGGGTTATCCAACAATTTGTAGTTAAAATTTGATTTTTTTCATCCTATAAAGAAAACATCGTTTTATTATGTGTTATTCTGCAATGTCGAGTTTCGAGATTCAAAGAGCTTCACAAAATTTTTTGTTAACGGAAAATTTTTCCAGAATCGTGTTATCTTAAAGTAAATGTTATTCATCAATATAATATATTCCAAGTTCTTGTTACCGTGAGATCTAACATCGTGTGAATCCGAATTAAATCGTCTTTGAATGCTGAATATGCCTGGTTATTTGTGCAATGCGGTATGCATTCGGAACTCCTTTGTTGGTGGTGTTTTGAGAGTTTAAGCTCTATTTCCAATGCTCTATTCTGACCACAAAATCTACATTTTTGAGGATTTAAATTTAAAAGTGTACAAATCGGTAAGTGTTTGGAATGATAAATATCGTGTGAATTTTTACAAGTTCTCTACAACTTACTTTTGTTGTCTTGGAATTTTTTTCGCGCAACTAAGCCACCCTAAAATATAATTTGACACAGCTTGCTTAAAAAAACAAAATGAGCAGCTTCATACATTACTCCAAGTTTCATTTATTAAGAGAATGACATTGCAATTTGGAACATGGAATGTATGTACATTCTTTCAGGCAGATAAAATCCGAATGTGGCAGAGAAGTAAAGTAGAGCAGTAGGCAGAATAAATATGATATGCATTTAACAACAGAGCAGGAGGTAAGATAACTAATTTAAAAATAACACGTTTTTCTACCAAGGAATGAAGCAAAAGGAGATTATGGCGTAGGTTTTATAGTGAATAAGAACATTTCCAAATCGACATTACGCTTTTTCCCAATTAATGATAGAATTTGCAAATAACAAGGGACAGTAGTGGGGCAGTTCTATGAAGAGCTTCAAACTACTTATGAGGCCATACCAAAGAGTGACTGAAAAACTACTAAAAATGGTATGAGACTAGCACAATTAGCCACAAGCAATTATTTCAGGTCAAATTCGCCAACCACACAAAAAAAATCTACAAGAGAACATAGATAGGTTCACCATAATGCAACCAAATCGACCATATCGGTCATATCTAACAACTGAGGTTCTTCTATAAACAATGTGAAAACCTGTTACAACACCCAGTAAAACTGGATGTAATAAAGCTTAATAAATATTATGTTAACTGGATCGAATGTAACTGTCAGAATTATTCAAGGTAGCTAATAGAACAGATCTAGAATAATCCCCACAATAACCACAATCAGGATATACGAAACTCTGATTAGGTCGGTTGCCACATATGGATCAGAAACATGCAGCTTGACAGCTAGCGATACAAAAATACTTCTTGTTTTTGAAAGAAAAATAATGAGACGAATACGCTACAACGATGAACTGGAGAGGAATCTTGGAAGTATGGAAGTACTAAATTGGAAAGGCAGAACTGCAGACCGAGATGGATGGCACGAAGTCGTGAAGCAAGCTAAAGTTTACCCGCAATAATAATTTGGTTTTAAAAGTCAAAATCATACGGGAGCTGGAATGATATCTTGGACTACAAAATTTCATTAACACGAAAAGTTAGCAACTATGTACCTACATAGATGATATAGTGATTCTAAGTGGGGCCAAAGGAGAACTTTTCTCAACTCACAAAAGAAGGTTTAAAAGTAGGACTCATAACTAATGAATCCAAAAGAAAGTATATGGAGTCCATAATATCTCGAAGAAGAGGCCCCAACATAGAAAATTACTCATTTAATGCTTCATAATCTTGGGATTTACAGTACACGAAATAAATAATCTCACTGAAGATATCGAGGTTACAAGAACAAGAAGTTGCTAAGAATACTTAGCGGCAATTAGTGCTACTATGCCTACAAACATCTAACGATGAGTAAAATACCAGGCAGATAATCGAAACTCAAGATCTATCCCTCTATTACAAAAATATATCTCTTCTCATAACGCTGATCTGTACTAAGAACTTGGCCCGCGAAAAAATGTACAAGTACTTACATCTGGATTAAAAATTATATTATTCATACCCTTAAGGATGACAGATTGAGATCGTTATTTATCAAATCTCTATCTGATTTGTTAAAACTGTAACAAGTTTTCATACCTCTAATTGTCCCCTGACTTGGTCGTTGTAGCCAGAACATCTGTGACTTACGAATCTTACGATCAAAGACTTTAACTTATTTTCTTTACTCTTTGATTATGGTTTCCTGCTCTTAACGGAATCTTATCTTAACGATTCTGTCGAGTTTCTTTGCGACAAGTATATATCGACGTGATAGATCTTCTTCAGATTTTGTGAAATCAGATGGTGGTGGAGTCCTGGTGGCTACGAGGAGGGATCTTCCCGATTTATCAACTGTGGCCGAAGATCTTCCTCCAAAGATTCAGATTTTTTCTCCAATTCAGAATATCTCCGATTGTGTCCATATCATCTCTTATTGTAATCTGTTACAGCATAATAATATTCCTAACGTTAATGATATCCCATATTGATTATGTTTTTTCAAAGACCATCAAGCAATTACGGTTTTTTATTCGCACATATTTCAAATTTTTCAACCTATAGTGTATTAGGTCTATTTATATGGCATATGTAAGTAGTATTCTTAGAATTGGGTTGGAAGCAGTGCAACGCCCATTTATGGGATTTCTGGACCGTAAATTTCGTTTAAGCACTGTTCGTATTAGACGAGATGTAAGGTTTTGTAAGACGTTTTGCCACTGATATGGGTTCTTGTATAAACTTGTTAATGGGTACGTCGATGCAACGGAAATCTTATCTCATATAGACTTCAATATTCCGCGGTATTCCGTGGCAGTTTGGTGTTTACCAAACTCCAGCTCCCGTGTTCTAAGAATTCAGGATTCCTTTAAGAAGTATTGCAAGCACTGACATTTTCATTTCACTCCATTTATGTTTAAAAAATATATCTATTTATTCGCATTTTGATGATAAGACTTGACCACGAATCGGACCAGCTCATGAAATATGTTTAAATTAATTCGCTGTATACAAAAATACAGCGGTTGGCTTGACAAGAACATATGGAAAGAACGCAGGGAGTCAGAGGAGTAAAGAAAATTGTGAAATGAATACCACAGGAACAGAGGACTAGAGGAAGGCTAAGGAAACGATGGAAGAGTAATGTGATCGACGATATTAGGACATTTAGTGTACGAAACTAAAAGCGTGTGGCTTGTTTGATGAAAAATTTTGATATTGAAAAATGCCACGTTGAGTTACTGTGCTTTAGATGGGTAACTATTAAAATCAATAAATTTAATATATTTTAGAGTATCCACTTCACATTTATCTTAATAATATTTTAAACTTATTAGCTTTCCCATCTTCCTATCTGGCGGGATGTAAGCAAAATGAAAGAATAATAATGTTCATAAATTCACACTACATTCGAAATGGAAAAATTCCTGCTGTGAAATGTATTACAAATTTAGATGTATGGATAACAAGCTAAAAAGTTTCAAGATGTTTCAGAATAGGAACTTGATTTAATTTAAGGAACCTTTCGAAATCTTTTTGTTCAAGTGATTATCTGTGTGTTAAATAATAAAATTTAAAAAACAACACCCTCTATTCTAAAAAAAGGAATTGGATATAATGCGGTTTTCTCAGCCTATAAATATCGATTTTGAAAGGAATTGGTAACACGATGAGGGATACGATCTTTTGGGGTATATTTTCCCATTTCCATATCGCTAGAAATCGGTCTTATTTCCCAGTACTACGATCTCCTATAGCCCTTTTATTCTCTCTTGGTCTTTGTATGCTGACGGAGAACGCCATTTCGATTTAAGATTGTGTTCGATACGAACAGGCCAGTTTATCTAGAGTTTCAATCGGCTATTTATATAAATTTTTCGAAAGGAAAAGATTTCAATTTTAAAGCACCTCAATTTTTTAATTCCTTCATGATTATACTTTGATTTCTTTTTATACTCAATCGTTAAAAAGGTTACCTGTTTTTATTAGGGTTGATTGAATCAATCTTGTTTTAAAGGTCCGGTCACGATTTCCAAGAATTCGCAGAACCTACAAAATGTACCTCAAACGTGCCAACACGACGTTTTCTTTGTCTTTGAAAGAGTTTGGCTTTGTGATGTCCACTTTTTTTTTAGCACGGAATTAGAGTGCTCTTGGAAAATAAATGAGTGAGAGAAGAATTTTAACATAACGTGGATTAAAAAATTCAAATTACTAAATTCCCCTTTAAAATAGTTTTTTTTCACATATTTCACGTCAATTAAGATCCCACTTCATTATGCACTTTCCGAAAAATCAATACTCTCCATGAATAGTGAAAGGAAATTAATTACTTACCACGTCGATGATGTGATGTAAAGATACTCCAAAGAGTACTGTAAGAGGTAAAGAGGAGTTTTCTGCAGGGCGAACCGCGGGATCGTAATCAGCCATTAAAAATCGCATCAATCTTGATTCATTTTCATCCGCTTTTCCAAAATTCGCTATAACAAAAACGATATTTTAATCAATTCTAAGTCGTAACACCTGTGCGAGTTTCTCTAAATAATAATTTACGGTTCCAAGTTTGTCTATTTGACTCTAAAATTGAAACAAGTTAATTCCGAGATGGTCGTAAATTCAGTGAGGGAATTATCGAAACGTCAAATGAGAAAGCTTTAGGCTTTGTTGTTGTGATTAGAATGATGTCATTTGAAAACGAGGTGCGTAAATCGAGATACTCGAAATCGATCCCATTTTAACCCAGAAAAGAAACAAGTACTGGGCCGTAATCAGTTTTACTGTGCGAGTTTTACGCCGAAGTTGCAGTAATCGAGCTTAACAGCCATTTCAGTTCGATTGGATTCGTGATCGTAAATAAAACACCCTATAAAATTAAAACATGTTTTATAGGATTCATTAGTTAACATTTTTTAACCATAATTTTGCAATTTTTTATTATTTTGATTTATTTCGTTTCAATTGTATCACCTGTTTGAATTTAATTCAAATCAGCAAGTTGAGTAAAATAGTTTAAAATAATCAAACAAACTCAATATTGTAAAACAATAATAAAATCGAAATTTAATTTTAATCCATATCGATATCAACCATGCTTTATTTATATAAAATATTTCTGTTTGAATTGAATTTGTTTTTGAAAAGTTGGCCGAAGTTTAGTCAATGAATGATAATTTATTAAAAATAGTACGTTATTTTCGTCGAAAGTTGTAAATATAAAATATAAATTAAACTAAAAAACAACATATCGGAAAACGTGGAATCAATTTCTGTCAAATATGTATCAACTGCAATATTTTGTTACCAGTAATGTTTGCCTTTCCATGCACTTGAAAACTTTGTCTCCCAATTTTTTGGCAATCCGCAGATTGGATAATACCAAATATAACAACCTCAGTCTTGGAATATGAATTATATCCGGGAAGTAAAAAGTTACTGGAAAAGATTTCTAAGTAAGTGAAGAAGAAGTAAAGAAAGCGATGGTGTTTGCTATAAAATTACAGTGGAACTGAATACCATACCAAAACAGTGATTAAAATACATAATTTGTCACATATAATCATCACAAAATAAAGAAAAAGGTAAGGAAAATATGATACATGATTTTTCGAAAACCAAGGGTTTCGTTATTGACAGAAACAACAAAAACCCATTTTATTAGAAGACTGAGATCTATGTATATCGCACTGATTGAGGTATACAAAGAGTTATTTATCAAACGAACCGAGCTAATTAGTATCTTTAATGAGAAAACTAAAATTTTAAATATAGATATGTCAAAAAGTGAGTTAAAAACATTTTGTGAAATCACAGTTTCTAGTCTTCCATTTGCATTAATAAGCATGCATTTATTCAAGCAGCAGTGTCTAGGCTTCTCTAAAAAGGATTAACGCTTCCACTGATAGTTTATCGTCTTCTACCGATAATATCTAGTATTCTATTAGCAGTATCCTCTGCCAACAATATATTTATTTGTAAGCAATGTATTGTCTTAAATTCAACTTTCTACAACAAACAGCTGTGCAATTCACTGGTTCTATCCCATTTTGCCTACTGCACTCCGCTTTACCATACCTCAATTCATAGTGTTGATACTCTACGCATTCAAAGAGTGCAGAATGCTTGTTTGAGGTTTGTATACAGTATTCGAAAGTATGCTAAAGTAAATTGCTAACGTTCTGTCTCTCTCATAAGATTTTGACCAGTGGGAAGCCTTCCTACCTGACAAACAAAGTAAGATATCGTTGTGATATGCACAATCTGAATACGAGTTTCAGGGGTAAAATTTCTCTTTCTAAGTATAAGTTGTCACTATTTAGAAGATTATTTACGTACCAGATTTGTGTACTTTACAACGATATGCCTGATGACCAGGTTATCTCTGAGTCTTTAAGTCTATCCTTGTCAACTTGCTAATGAGAGATTAATAGTATATGGTGTGCCATCTTCAAGACAGTGCTCGCTGTCTTGCATTTTGCTTTTCTAATAAAATTTTCGTATTTTATTTATACATAAAATTGTAATTAAGTTTATTTAGTTCAATAAAAGGCATTAAAGGAAAATGTAGTCTTCAACAAGTAGTATCTATTCTTCTCACAACAATATCTAATCCTCAGCAAGCAGTAAATAGTCTTGTACAAGCAGTATCTAGTTTTTCATTAGCAGTATTTACTCTGTTAGCAGTATCTAGAGTTCTGGTATCTATTTGTTCTGCACGCAGTATTTACTTTTCTATTAGTAGCGTCTAGTCCTCTGCCTATTATATCTGATATTCCGCTAGCTGTATCTATCCATCTACCTATAAGTAGTATCTAGTCTTCCATTAGCAGTGTCTACTCTTCCATTAATAGTATCAAGTCATCTACCAACAGGAAGTAGTCTTGTACAAGTAGTATTTATTCTTCTGCGAGTAGTATCTGATACTTAGCAATCAGTAAATAAGCTATTAAAAGCAGTATCTAGTTTTTCATTTTCAGTATCTAGTCCTCTACCAGTAGTATCTAGTCTTCTATCAGCAGTATTTCTTTGTCTGTCAGCAGCATCTAGTTTTTTTATTAGCAGTATCTTCTACTCCATTAATGTCGTCTACCAGTAATAGTCTGTTCAAGTAGTATCTACTCTTCTACCAATAGTATCTAATATTTTACAACCTATAAGTGCTATTCTGCCGACAGTATCTATTTTTTATTATCTCTATTTGTTAACTATTTCTTCTGCATGCAGTATTTAGTCTTCTATTAACAGCATCTAGTTTTCTATTAGCAGTATCTTCTCTTCCACTAAAGGTATCAAGTTGTCCACCATCAGTAGTCTTGTTCAAGTAGTATCTACTTTTCTAGCAATAGTATCTAATATTTTATAAGCCATAATATATTTCTTTATTATCATTATTTCTTAACTCTATTTGATTGAAATCCGATGATATGGAGGTAGTAGATGGAATAATAATTTATCAGAAATGGATACATCAGAAATATTTGAAACAATCATAAATAACACGACTATCAAAAATGGAGAAATTTCCAAATACTCAGTGTACCCTATAACTAAAATATTTTAATGATTACGTTTAATCATAACTGTATTATATTATGAAATATATGGTGACTTGTATTATTTTAATGCCATATAATTAAAGTTTTTTAGCTTTTTCTGATCTCGCTGAAATTTGGGAACTTAACAGTGCATCTGGTCTGCGACAACGCATCTTTAAAGCCAAGATTTTTTTTTGATCAGGTAATGTGGTTGAATTATTTCGGAGTAAACATCAACACAAGATGCAGCGGTGGTATCGGGATGTAATATGGAGGAATAAATACTTCCAAAAAGTAAGGTGAGGATATATATCCATTGAATCACAGGCGAAAAACACCTTCTCAGGAGCACAGTGATGAAAACTCTTCGAGCAATGCTCTGGCTACTCTTTGCATAAGTATCATTTATAGTTTGAAAGATTCGATTTATTAATTTAATGCATCATATTTACATATTGCATCAGATATCGCCATTCCTGATTATAGACAAGATCAAAGTGTCTTTTTTGCAATAAATTAATTAATATGGAACATTTGTTTGCACAATGCACTTGATGTATTACAAGTTTCGAAGACACAAAAACAATGCGTCAATAAGATTCAATAAGATGAAAGAGTTTTGTTGCAAATAACCTCCATAGATAATTACCATAGATGACGTAAAAAGTACCAACGCATCTTAATAAGTGGTAGGATGAAGACTTGAATTCTCTATGAGATTAAGAAAACATCAACCCTTAAACCACTATGCATTGCGCTGTTGCGAGATATGAATATTAATAATAATAAATTATTTCCAAAGATATGTAAGTGTATGATTATATTTATTTGAAAGTGTAAATGTAGGACAGATTAAAACAACATCTCTTTTTTACCCCGATATTGTTGATGTGTCATTATTTTTCCTCTCCTCACAGTGATTCAGAACTCATCAAGAAGCACGGTTCATTACGAAATAACGACGGCGTATATTGATTGATGGCTTTGCGCACGATGGTGGATTATTTTTTTTTGCCTCTCTCGTTTTTCAAGCATGAATCCTTACTATAGATCGGCGTCATTCGTCTTTCTATAATGACGACACACTTACCGGAATCGACTGATTTATTGCCTACACCTCGCGTCTCATTCTTATAATAAAGAAACTAAGCTACCGGGAAAAAAGTCTTTTAAAACAGGTGATGAGAATAAATTATTTTTAATTTATAGCATTTATTTTTAATAGGAATGATTAAAATGATTTTCGCCTTCTGAAACGTTCTTCCTGAAAGTATTTATAAAGTACAAAATTCCAAGCAAGATACTTTTAAGCCCCATTAACGACGACCGCCATCAGATAAAGACGGGAATCGGCCTTGGAAACAAATTGCAAGGTACCGAAAAATTATTATTCGTTTACCCCCAGGTTCCGTCAAAGCGAGGGATGGGTAATTCCCTCGAAACGACGACGCTTCTAATTAAAATACTTTAACAGGGAGATTTTCAACGCGCCGAGTTTCAAGAAACCCTCTCTCGATTTAGAGAAATCATCTCGAAAAACGGAAATAAACCCAAGCGAATAACAATCAACCATGCCGTTTGAGTTCCAATTTTCGGTGACGACCTCGATTAATATTATATTTCAGCCGGGGTTATAGTTCAATATAATTTTACTACCTCTGCTAGGGGTAGGTTCGAGGTTATTTGATCAAAAAAGTTTTTATTAAAACTCAATTACTACCTTCATAGTTTTACCAAATATGTTTTACGCACAAATTTAAAAATCACCCGGCGGTTCCACCAATTTTCAAACCTTTCTGTATCGTATTAAGTTCTTTAGATGTATTTTGTGATATTTCCGTAGTTTGATGTTATTGTGGTAAGTTATTGCGAAAATGTTACCCGATTAATTTCCATTGTGTGGTGCACCCCTAATTCAATTGAACGAATCAGCATAGATTTGCATAAAA